GCGGAACCGGTTGAAACTCCTGGAGCCGATGTTTGGGGATTTTTGCTGTACTTCCGGCAACTTTTGCTGTGTACACCAGTTCCACAGTTTTCTGGTCCCTATGGATTGGGACTTAAAAACCCCTCAGGGATGTACCACCTGCAGTGGAAGGATTTTGCTCGACTATACCAATATTGGCCATAAAAATAGCAAGTTATATGTTTAGATTAGTACACTACAATTATACACTACAATTATATACACTGCAATTATATACACTGCATACCAGAGTAACAAAACTGTAAATTAGGCAGGAATATGTTCAAACAAAGTATCTTGTGAAATATTAATAAGTAATAAAATCGGTGCTCTTAAAGCGCTTACCACCGAAGTTTCTAAGCGCTATAACAAACAAAATACAATGATGAACAATTACATATTAACCAAAACAAAAAACTACAAATTACAATACATATGAAAGGCTTATTAATGTATGGATATTTACATACACATTGTCAATTAATATTGCAGGCTATAAAATTATAGACGGGTTTATCTGTAAAAGAAAATAGATATATGCTTACAACAATATTAATTTTCTATACAGTGATTCTACAGTGAAGCCCAGTGTGTTGTGTGTAGCCCCATACGATTGGGTGCATTGGACTTTTTAAATGGACAATGTGTGTTTTGGATCTTTTTGGATAAGTTTTATTAAATTCATTAATATGAAGACTTTCATAGCTCTTTCATGTGCCTTTGTTGGAACATAGAGTTTTTGGATGGTGTCCTATAGATGAAGTACCATCATGTAGGCAGTGCATGTGTATTACTGACCAGAAGGAAGGAATCCGTCTGGTTAAAGTTGTTTGTAGTGTCGTTCACAGCTTGATGACGAATAGATGCTTCATGTGTTGAAGAGTAGCTCTCTCATTTGCCTTTGTGGGCACATACAGTTCTTGGATAGTGTCTTAGACGTGATGGAATAGAATGGTCAGAAAGGAAATTGGATGAGTAGTGGCGTGGGGATAGTATGGGAAAGGAAGAGCAGGAAGGGGCTATACAGAAGTAGACCCTTTTTTAAAATTAATTTTGTTTTCATAGGCTATTTACACATACCTTCATGACTAATGACCTAAAATGGAATTCCTGCGGAACCGGTTGAAACTCCTAGAGCCGATGTTTGGGGATTTCTACTGTACTTCGGGCAACTTTTGCTGTGTACACCAGTTCCACAGTTTTCTGGTCCCCATGGATTGGGACTTGAAACCCCTCAGGGATAACTTCGATATTTACGTCAGGATTTTCATTGTACCACCTGCAGTGGAAGGATTTTGCTCGACTATCCCAAATGTTGGCCTTAAAAACAGCAAGTTATATGTTTATATTAGTACACTACAAGTATACACTACAATAATATTATATACACTGCATACTAAACAAAATTGTAAATTAGGCATGAATATGAAACAAAGTACCTGGTGAAATAATAATAGATATTAAAAACGGTGCTCATAAAACGCTTACCATCGAAGTCTCTAAGCGCTATAACAAACAAAATACAATGATAAACAATTACATATTAAACAAAACAAAAAATGACAAATAAACCTACAAATTACAATATATATGAAAGGCTTTTCAATGTATGGATATTTACAAGTACATTCTCATGTGAAAGTGTAGTTCATAAAATCATAATGGGGTTTATCTGTAACATATTGGATATATATATTATTTACCATTATATTAATCGACAGTAAAGTCCATGCTGTGTGTTGTGTGTAAAGCCCCATACGAAGTTTTTGGACTTGTTGAAATGGTTTTATTAAAGTCATTTATTGAAGACTTTCGTAGCTTTCTCATTTTTTGCACTAACAGAACACAACTAATCTTCTCTTAAACAACTATAAGATAACCACATTATTATTGCATTTACAAAGATCTCAGTTGGTATTGCTGACCAAAAGGAAGGAATCCGTCCGGTTAAAGCTGCTTGTAGTGTCGTTCACAGCTTGATGACGGAATAGATGCTTCAGATGTTTAAGAGTAGCTCTCTCATTTGCCTTTGTGGGCATATACAGTTCTTGGATGGTTTTCTAAAGATGAAGTAAAATCATGTAGGCAGTGCATGTGTATTACTGACCAAAAGTAAGGAATTCGTTTGGTTAAAGTTGCTTGTAGTGTCGTTGACAGCTTGATGACGGAATAGATGCTTCATGTGTTGAAGAGTAGCTTTCTCATTTGCCTTTGTGGGCACATACAGTTCTTGGATGGTGTGTTAGACATGATGGAATAGAATAGTCAGAAAAGAAATTGGGTGAGCAGTGGCGTGAGGATAGTATGGGAAACGAAGAGCAGGAAGGGGATATACATAAGTAGACCCCTTTTTTTAAATTAATTATGTTTTCATCGGCTATTTACACATACCTTCATGACTAATGACCTGAAATGGAATTCCTGCGGAACCGGTTGAAACTCCCGGAGCCGATGTTTGGGAATTTCTGCTGTACTTCCCGCAATTTTTGCTGTGTACACCAGTTCCACAGTTTTCTGGTCCCCATGGATTGGGACTTGAAACCCCTCAGGGACATACTTCGATATTTCCGTCAGGATTTTCATTGTACCACCTGCAGTGGAAGGATTTTGCTCGACTATCCCAATGTTGGCCTTAAAAACAGCAAGGTATATGTTTATATTAGTACACTACAAGTATACACTACAATTATATACACTGCATACTAGAATAAATAAAAAACTAAACTGTAAATTTGGCATGAATATGAAACAAAGTACCTGGTGAAATAATAATAAATATTAAAAACGGTGCTTATAAAGCGCCTACCATCGAAGTCTCTGAGCGCTATAACAACCAAAAACAATTACATATTTCACAAAACAAAAAATTACAAATAAACCTACAAACTACAATACATTATGAAGGGCTTATTAATGTATGGATACAGGCGCGTACGCAATGATCTTACTTACATATTGACTTTTTTGTGCACTTTCTGCAGAGTACTTATGTGGGATGTGATCAGTTGGTGTATGATCAGCAAACTCTTCCATGGTGGCATCTAAAATTCTAGAGAATGCACTCCACCCTACTCCTATGACTCGGGAGGAATGATTTTGTGGGCAAGTCTTTCGCCTTTGTCGTGCTCTCATCCGTCATACGTCTAAAAGAAGGAGGACTTATTATATTATAAAATTAATTTTATGAAAATGATATGCTATTTATAATATATTTTGAGTTGTGCCCCAAGGGAGAAGGCACTTATGAGAAACACAGAAATTTATGATATTTTTTTCTCATGACAAATGGGACAGTACTGTTGTCCAAGAATATGTCTGAATCCACTGACGAAATTGCCTTTAATTTACATGGATGACATTGCTTAAGCGCAATGCTCAGCAAACATTTTATTTTTATTTGTCGTTTTATTTCGACAGGGTTGCCCTTGCAGTTATAGAACACTGCTCAACATGATAAAAAAAACTGTATCAACATGATCAAAAACACATTTACAAAACATAAAAACATTCATAACTTATAATGAGTAAATAAATTAAACAAAATGTATGTTAAATAACTTGTAAATTTCGTGAGGGAAAGGAGTTTGTAGTGTTTTTTTTTAAATGAGTGAGTTTATTAAATGTAAAGAAGGGGGTAATGCATTTCATATAACGGAGCCGTGGTAACAGAAAGATCTTTTGAAGTAATCGGTTCTGGGTTTTTCAATGTATAGAGGACAGGTAGTCACATACCTAGTATAAACGTTTATCGTTCGATAGGACATAAATATATTTCGACATTTTTATTATTTATCACCTTAAACATCCATATTCTACATAGGTATTGCACTCGCTCAACAAGATTCTAAACAGGATAATAATGTACTACGATGTGTCAACATATCAACATTTAGTATCAAACGGGCATAAAGATTCTGAAGCTTTTGTAACTTTTATCAAAATGACACTTTGCTGAACAGCCCCACAAAACAATACCGTAGTCAATATGTGATAATATCAAACTATCATATAACAATATCATATAATATTCAATATTTTATACATTGCGAGACAAACGAATGTCACTAGCGATATTATTTTCAATATCTAATTTTTTTCATACATGATATGGATCTAGATAGCTTGGAGACAATTTTCGATATATCCCAGTTCAAACAATGATCAATTTTGAAGATCCTTGCTTCTTTTTTTGCCGTTGACGTGCACTTTTTGGGGACATGATGACGTTCCTGATTTCAGTTCAAAGCAGATAGTAGTTGTAGACTAACAAATGGTAGCATCAAATGAGATTTTTGAAAGAGGTAAAAATCACAGATTTTCCTCCAAAATTCTCGATCAACTCAAACCATGTAGAATTAGAAAGAAACATGTGTGTGATGTTGCTTACATTGGTAACGATTATTTTATGGCAATTCCAATAAAATATGACAAGACAATGCATTATCTTTATAGTCTTAGGTCTTTTATATATATAAAGATTTTCTGACTTATATATGGATACTATCAAAGATAACTTTCTCATAATAATTAATATATATTCTGCAAACATTGTGCTGTAATAATAATATATACACAAGAGATTTTTTTATATCAGAACTAACGTTGTGTATTTGGGCCAGCCTCCTCTCGTTGACCCTCTCTCTGAAGAAGAAAAAGAAAGGAAAAGAAAAAAATCCGTAAGCGTTGGGAAATACTTTTCAATAAAAACATCTTTTGGAGCCTTGCCAAGGAAAAGGTATTGAAGGTAAGGTATTTTCCCAGAAACCTGTTTTTCTGTCTGGCTTTCTTTGTATTTCAGGAACCATTATGTGTGTGCACTTAAAACTTGATGGCACGTATTACAATGTGATAAAGTAACCAGATTTTTATAATCTTGAATATTCCCCCCCCCCCCCAAGTATTGAATATAGTGTTTTTTAAAACCATTTTGGGGGGATGCATTTGTAACTTCTTTATTACCTGAATTGTCTTACACCATTCAGAAATGATGTCATTATCCTGAGTGAGTTTGTCTACGTTCCTTCGAGCAGTGTTCACACTTTGTGTCATTCACACATTGAGTTGATGGCCTGAAAGTGAAATGGAGTATTAAAAAGGTGGTTTTCATTCTCTATTTATTTTGTCAACATCTATATATAACTCTAAATAGTACATTAACAGGACATCATACAATCTGTTGTATTACCCCAACTCTAGCTCTAATATTTATATATGCTATACACAAGTACCAGAAATAATGAAGCTCCGTAGACGAAGAAATTGTTTCACAAATTTTCACCCTTAGGGCTTTGTCAAGAAGTGATTTGATTTGTCTTTGAAAATGTTATTGTTTATTCATCAAAATGTGCACATCCAATCAAAGTCAAATGCAATTATTTATAAATTACTTGACAAAGCCATAAGGACGAACAAATTCTTAACAATTTCTGCGTCTACGGAGCATCATTATTTCTTGTATTTTTTATTACTTTCCCGAACTCAGCAGAAACCTATACTTTCTTGTATGTTGCAGTCCTCTTCTTTTCTCTTTCTCCAAGCTCTCTATCCTCCTCTCCGCCTATCCCTTTCTTCCTTTCTTCTACTTATAATGCATATTATTTATTTGTGTATTCGGGCGTACCAATTACAAGCTCTGCTTATCGGGTTTCGCGCTTTCTTCCTTGTAATACAAGTTCTTTAATTAATGTTCCTACGTATAAATTGAATTGTTTGAACAGATGTCAAATAATTATGTTGTCAAATTGAATGGAAGAAAATAATATATATATATATCTATATAAAAGTTCGTCTCTGTTTTACTCTGAAATTGATCAAACACAGATGGGCAACTCTGTGACGTATATTTTGAGGTCCTCAATCGTTTTTTCTTAAGTTTACAGATTTGTGCTGGATAACAATTCAATTGAATTATTTTTTTTTAAACAATTGAAATTGAGTTTAAATGATGATTTGCATTTGTCTGCTCTGAGTATTCATTTACTGTTGTGTTCATATACCTTTGAGCAACTCTCTGATGTGTTATTCTTACTTTTCCTTTCGTACCACACCTCCACAATACAGATGTAAGGGACCCTGGCAAGTATTTGTGCCGATGTGGACTATGATGGAATAGGGCTGTCATGATCATGCTTCCCATTCTTGATCTGGTGGATCTAGAGTCCAGTGAACTAGTTATCAAGGAGAAAGAAAAGGTAATCACCAAGATGCCTCATGTTTTGAAAGTTTAGGGAATTGTTCACCTAAAATAAAAGAGATAGAAACTGGTTTCTTTCCTACCTTGTCTCGTAGCAACACCTGTTGAAACAGACACTTGGGACAAATTATCTCACGAGGTGAATAATAGGTAGTCGTTCAAATATTACAAAGTACTGATAGAAAGAATATGTAAGACTATAAAAAAAAGTAATACCGCTTCTTTGCTGAAGAAGTAAGTGAGAAGAAACTCATAATCTCTATAAAGTAATAAAGCCTTAGAACCGAGTATAGAAACAAGCGAAGAAGTAGGACATAAACTATTATGAAGCTGAATAAGCTTTGGTATAGACTTTAGACTTTAGGCTCTAAAAGACGTGTGCTCTGTAATAACAGCTCGGGAGAAGTTATGAATATAGGTGTGACAAGAAAGTGTAATATGCATGCCATACCAATGTACCAATACCTTGGGTGGTTGCACATACCAACAAATAGGGTGTGGAATATGCTTGCCAGAATAACTGCGAATCTCAATAAAATAATGTTTAAAATGTGCTTGCCAGAGAAAGTATGTGTGGCACTCTAAAAATGTTACAGGTGAATAAAAGGCCAGACTTCAACCCACACAATAAAGACAAGACAATAATATTTACAAATGTAAAGTTCTAAGGTCAAGTCACTACAAGTATTATAAATCTGCATTATAATGAAATCATAAAGCCTGTATGTATTATAGCCATGTCGACTGATAAGGTCATATTAACCATTATCTTCTCTTAATTTCACTTAAATTATCTTATGAAATGTAAGTAGATTTCTTATATTTTATTTGAAATACTTTATAAGAATACCAAAGCTGTGACATTACATTTTTTCTTTAGAATTTCTCAATTTTCCCTTCATTTTCCAAAAGAGCATAAAAAACAATGTCCGAATGTCGAAAACCAATTGAATATGTTAAGTATTGGCTGAGATATGAACATCTTAATAAATTTATTTCCTATGGTAACTCGGTGTTATAGTGCTCTCAGCTGGTTCCTAATGTTATGAACCAGAGCAGTATAACACCGAGTTCCCATAGAACAACTATATATTCAGATGGTCATATCTCAGCCAATACTTAATATATTCAATTGGTTTTCGACATTCGGACTTTATTTGTTATGCTCAATCGGAAAATGAAAAAAAAAAATTGAGAAATTCTAAAAATAGATTTTTTATGACATCACACTTCACCACTCTATAGGAGAACTTAGGGTAATATCGGTACAATATCACTGGGAAAAAAAATCATCTTGTTATTAATTGAATCTTTTGTATGTTCAACCTCTGTTGTATCTGTGTCATTGCAGCTTATAAAACACTGTAAAGGGTGGGTGCTGCAACTCTAATCTTCTGAGGAAAAGTCGTCCAGTCGAATTTGGCCTTCTGGTTCTTGGGGGAACAGATCCTTCCTCTTTACCATCTCCTTCCTCACTTTGATTTCGTTGGTGCCGTTCAACGCTTCTACTGCTGACGTGGATGGGAGGATTAGGAAAAGAGCCTTATACTTTGATTTTGCCAAGTATTGCACAGCTTTCCTCTTCGTTCCTTTGCTAAATGGTATGAGTCCTGGCAGCTTCTCCTCGTCATTGTTTGCCATTCCAGTGAAAGCTAATTCAATTTCCTTTCTATACAAAGAGTAAACAAGGTGGTTCTTATTAGTTAGCACACCAGCCACGTTAATGCGTAGGACAACTGACCACTTTGTATACATCTTTGAAAACATTTCATTACCAAACATTTCACTATGACTTGCCTGACTATTTAACCCTAATAAGGCCGGGGGGGGGCCATTATGGCCCCCCCCCCCTCCACAATTTTTCCGATTGCTCGGGAACGCATATGGATGGCGCCCCGCCGCTCGCTGACTTTTTTCTTTCGAGTCTTGCGCAACTTTTAAAATAATTTTTTTTGAAAATCGGACCTACGGTTACAAGGTCACGTGACCTTTTGTCTTTGCATGTCAGCCCGAAAATCGCTCATTTTCGTGATTTGTGTACAAAACGTATGGCAAAGTCATTTTTCCTAAAATCAGATCAAACATGGGTTATTGGGTCTTGTTTAAAGTTAAGGTGGTTGTTTTGGGAGTCAAAATAGTTGAATTGTAGTAAAAGATGAAATAAAACAACAAAAACAATGAAATACATAAGTTAAAAAAACAATGAAATACATAAGAAATTATCAAAACAAGGGATAACATAAGAAATAAGGTGGCTCTTCCAAATTTTTTGTTGTATTATTATTCAGAATGGTCTAATGAATATATCTAGTGAAAAAAGAATGCTTAAATATGAATAATATATGATTTATGGGTAAAAATGTGATTTTTATGACTTTATTTGCATAAATTACCATAAATATGCAAATGAGTGAGTTTTTCAAAAAATTGAAATTATCATATTATTCTTTACACTTCACTTGACATGCGTGCAAATTTTCGCGGCGATCGGCCGCTTCGCGGCCGAGATCTTAAGGGGGGGCCATAATGGCCCCCCCGGCCCTACTAAGACTTCAAATAGCCCGGCCTTATTAGGGTTAAGGAAAATTGTACTTTAAATCATCTGCCAACTATTGGTCAAGCGCTAATTTCGTTAACTCTAAAAATAACACCCGATTCCAAGTGACAGGCATTATTTGTCATTCAGAAACGTGCATGGTGTGGTTCAGAACTTTCACCCACTCCCTCCCTCCCTCCTTTGAAATGCCCCCTCCCCCATTTCAATCAAAATAAATTTTGGGTTGGGGGCATTGTGTTGTGTAGGGCATCTTTGAAATTGCCTTTCCTTTCTTCTCCCCCTCCTTTAAAAATGGACCTAAATTATTTATAAAGTAAATAACTGGCAATGTGTATGACGTAATATGAAGAAAATAGAGCAGGAAGATCGGTGAAGCAGATATGTGTCAGTTTGAACGCAATAGGACATTTGAAACTTTTAAAAGGTAATGTCAAACTAATGATGAATTTTGAAGTATCTGTATAATTCAGGGAAATAAAGCAAGGCTTAATTAAAGATAATAGGTAGGGGTTTGGAATTTCGTTAATTTCTTAAAATGAAAAAAAAATCTTGGAATATATGGTAACTAACAAATCCGAGATGTTATATATTTAGTATCGTGGTGATGAGTATTTTGTAATATCTTACCACGTCGTCAAACAATGAACTTCGTCTGAGCAAACAAGACTGAGCTGCTTCTCATCTACAAGCCTTTTGACCCTCTTTTGGAGGATTGACTTAATTGGTACTGCCTCTGACGTCACAAAATGAAGACTTCAAAATCTGCAAAAGGAAGTGCCATCAATAATGCATTAATTAATGAATATTACTACTGTTACAATGCATATATTTTCGCAGCATATTCTTGGTATCAGGAACATAATGTCCCAAGATTAAATATATACAAAACATATACACACACCAGGCGCGTATGAAGGGGGGGGGGTTGGGGTTAACCCCCCTCCCTTGAGTTTTTTTTTGTTGTATGTTTTGTGTATGTTTTCTGGGAAACCCCCCCCCCCCTTTTTTTGATTTATTTAAAAAAAAAATTAATTTAAAAAATAATTAAAAAAATTAAAAATGAATTATGCCAATGGCTGACCTAAAAAAAAGGTGACCTAACCCCCCACCCCCCCCCCCCCCAACGGAACAAAATGTCAAATTTTCAAATTTCGAGACCCCCCCCCCCCCCCAAACAAAAAAACAACAACAACAACAAAACAAAACAAAAACAAAAACGTCCTCTTAGTAAGACATGAATTATAATGAAGCTGGATTAGCCTTGATGTAAACTCTCTCGAAAATACAAGTGCTTTATAAGAACAGCTCAGGAGGAGTGATGAAAATAGGTGTGGCAAAAGCAAGTATAATATGCATGTGTAGGCTATACCAGTACATTGGGTGGTTGCACATCCCAATACAATAGGGTTTAGAATGTGCTTGTCAGAGCAAGAATGTGTGGCACTCGAGTTATTTTACAGGTGTCATTATAGAAATGAGTAACAATTGAATAAAAGTCTAGACTTCTAGCCACACAATAAAATCAATAATAATCAATAATATTTACAAATGTAAAGTTCTTCTAAGGTCAAGTCACTACACCTTTATGTAGTTGTGTGTGTAATAACTTATGTGTGTATGTATGGGGTTTTTATATATATATATATATATATATATATATATATATACATACATACATATCGATTGATTGATTTTAAATTAGAATCATCAAGTAACAGATCCCCTGAATTCCTGAACCAGCGCCCATATTTTCATGTGGTGATTACAATTTTGTTAATTTCTATATGATGAACAGTCCACGACTAAGGGCGCGTTCATGCTTGATTTTGACGGCCAGAATCAGGCATCTGTTATGCGTTTAGTTTAAAACACGGTTGCGTCTTAGCTCACTTTTGTAGAATCACCGAAAAACGGCGATCACGATCGCCGATCGTAAACTCACAAAAAGATGCGTTTACAATTTGTAAACGCGTTTAAATGGGGTCAACGCACTGACCTCTAGTGGGTCTACGTAGCATGCACAGTGAAGGTTTGCGAATCCAGCTGGAAGACCAATTAAGGCCACACACGGAGAATTGCCTGGGGAGCCAGAGAAGTAAGCATGAACACTACATCGTGGAACTGCGATCACGATGAGCGTTTCAGATCGCTCATTCTGCCTTCAAAATTTAAGCATGAACGCAGCCTAAGACTCATATGCTGAAAGCTATGGCCATTTTATTTAAAGATATATCAGCTACGTCCGAGTCTGGCAGTCTTTCATTTATAATTATTTCCAATACACACAAGACAGCCCGTCGTGTTTAACAGTTGTATTCCACTTGTGTATAAAGAACACTCAAGGGAGACAACAAATGTAGCCTTTATGAACAAGTGGTCTTTACGTACAAGTTTCTATGATACATTTTTTAAATAAAAAATACAGTTCAAGGGAAACAAAAATTGTGATCTTTCTGGACAGTTGGTCTCTCTGTACAGGTGGTCACTAAAGCAGGTTTGACTGCACATAGGCTGATGTAGAGACGTTTCCTATTATTGATCGATACCCTTTTGGAGCTTAGACACGTCTCAAGAAATTCTTTGAAAGTTTCAATGATATTATTATTCTTGACTCTTTCACTATTTTAGTAGAAAATTATGCACTTTTCAAGATATGATTATAACAAACAAGAGACATTTAATGATACAGCGTCACTACTGTGTACATTATACACCTTTGTTCACTGTTGTCTGGCTTGATTGAGCGTGCCGTGTGTTATTGTGTTTTCAAGTTATCTCATTTGCGTTGACGATTAAGTAGATTTTTCCACGCAATCAACTGCAAATAATTGATGAAAGCCCATCATCTAAGTTTGTCTTTTCATGTGCATACAAGCATGTACATTTTAATGAGTTTTATACAGGCTGGCATATTGGGTATTGGCGTTGCCTCGTTATCATCGAGGGAGTTCCGTAAACTGCATATTTTCAATCCGGGGGAAATGTGGCGTTTCCCCCTTTACAGTAAGTGTTTATTGTTGATATTTAACTTCAGTATTATATTTGTTGTTGCTGTGTATGACTATATTACAAGAATGAGAACCAATGAAATTGATGGGGATCGAGAGGGAACCGTTGAGCCCCGCGTTGAGCTTTCGAACCACAATTACACTACGTCGTTCTGAGAGCATGCATTTTAATAATACACTGCAAAACCGGTTTAGTCAAAAAGCACTCCCACGGTTGCTTTTTTCGATTCGGGTTTTTCGTCATGCTTGTAACTTATTTTAAGTATTTGTTGTATCTTGTCACAATTTATGAAATGTTAATGTTTTAATTTGCTTTTTAAATTTCATTTGTATATTTACATGTTTTTAATGTCTTGATTGCTGATCAGGCTATTCTGTCTAAATATTCGTGAAAAAATAAATAAATAAAATAAATAAAAACGATATTCTCGTCTGATTTATTTTGCTGATTTATCTTTAGACATCATCCTGTGTAATAAATCGCATGTTTGAACAGTCATAATAATACACATACTGTACAGATGTTGTTCTTCAATGCATGAGTTTGTATGCATTTAATCGTTGAACACGTTTTCCAAAGTCAGGTATGATTAACAACGGAAATTTTGAACAATTAAAAATGTCACTGTGGATATGGAGATGGTGAGTAATATTTTCCTGGAATTACAGAAATCCCCCCTCTGTTTTTGTTTTTGCAATCTCCCATGAAATAGAGCCGGGGTGCGGTGGGGGTGGGAAGCCAAAACGTTGAAAGATCAAAATGTGTTGGGTACATGCAGTGCACTCATTGTTGATCCTACGAGTATAACGCGTTAATCTGAATAGAGAGAGAGAGAGAGAGAGAAAGAAAGAGAGAGAAAGATGGAGAGAGATAGAGAGACCATATGACTGGAATCTATCTATACACTATCATATTTACTTAATATAATGAAGTAGAATTTCAATGAAAGGGAGCTGGCAGTTCTGAGAAAATGTAGGAATATGTCGCAAATAATTTGGATAGTGGGCCTAACTAGGTAGATTACTATGATCTATCCCCGCTTTAATGAGCAGTTTCAGGTTTTCAGTAACTTGGCCAGTTTGCATTTTCTATAACTTGTTACCCCATCATTTTGTGATGGAATTATAAAACATCTTTTTTTTTCAATAATCAACTGTCAAACGAATCAAACAACTCTTTTTCCTTCAATTTTTCTTCTTCATCTGAAGCCATTACTTTATATTTTATTCAATCTTTTGTTTGTATGTATAATATGTATTATTTGTGTTCATATTTGCTTTGTTGATTACAAAAACCATTTTCCCCACGCCATATAGAATTAAACTGTATCTGTGGGAGATCATGCGCGGCGCTCTTTGTCAAACGTCAGACAATGGCAAAGATATTTTAACGATGACTGTGCGGAGCCTTGCGAGGTCTTTTGTTTATCTCGTTATTATGAAAGAGGGCTAGCTAAGGGGAAAACCAAATCGAGGCCTTTATTATTGTTCATAGACGTATGTCATGCCCATCCCACAAAGCAAAGCAGAGCAGAAGAGTAGCGCTCCGGGGCACGACTCAAGAAAATTTATACTTAAATTTACTTGTAATGAAATAGATTAACCTTGTTGCCAACGGGAATCATTATTGGCCTATATCTTCTCGAAGACTGACCGAATTCTTTCCGGTATTCGACCAACATTATTTACAAAAAAGGTAAATACACTCGTTATCATCTTCGATATATTACAATTATTTTGTTTGGTCATTATTCATGCCAATGTAAGAGCTGTTATAAATAAGTTATTTCGTCATTAAGCAACTTTACTCTTTACGTCCTTAACCACTTGACTGCTAATGGCTTAAAACACGTTCATACCGCCTGTGCTACAGCAATTTTTTACTGTACAGAAACTAAACAAAAAATGTACACTGTACACAAAAAGTCGGTCTTTTTCTAGAAAAGCGCCATCTACTGTTCGAGACCTGTATAACATCATCGCAGTGCTAAATACACAGTAGGGGTAGGCCTTATTCAGTGCTACGGTCTTGAAAATGCAATGCACTAAGCACGTACATGTACGTGGTGCGCACAGACATGCAAGAGCGAGAACACGTACATGTACGTGGTGAGCAGTCAAGTGGTATAAGTCTTTACTCAGAGCAACAAATACATGGGTTCCTTATGTAAGTGGGACACTAAAACTGTCACAAAGTAAGTCCCTAATTTATGGAATTACCCATATTTTTGGCAGCATGACTCCAGTATTATTCTCTCTAATGTGGTTACGCAAAAGCTCATACACTTTTAAATATTCCTAGTCACACCGATGAAAATACAGATTTAATTTACCTTAAGTAAACAAAGGTGAAACCGCCGCTTTCCTCCATTTATACTGCCGGTGAAATGCAGTCGCTGTGGCGAGCCCAGGCAGGAAGTGAAGAATTATTTGATTTTTGATTCGGCAGACAGTTCAGTTAGTGATCAGTTTTAGATCTTGTTTTGTTCACCATTTGGTCTAATACATTTAAAACAGTGCTAAAAACACATCTCTTTAAGTCTCGTTCCTGAATAGCCCTTTAGATCTTTTGCCTTTTATATTTTTGTGTAGATTAACGTAGGATATTAATTTATGAACTATTTGTATTTGGTTGTAAGTGATTGGTAATGATGTACAAATCAAATAATTCTTCATTTCCTGCCTGGGCTCGCCATAGCGAGTGCATCTCTCCGGCAGTATGAATGGAGTACTTCGAAAGTAGTTTTGTTAAACTGAATGTACCTACCCTCTATTTTAAATAAAACTGGAATAAATAAATAAAATAAATGTATTTTCATTTGCACAGTTTTAATGTTAATTGAATTAATTGATGTAATTTGTAATACAAATTCTGTTTCCTTTACTTCAACTATTTTCCTTCTAAACTGCACAGAGGCAACATGCAATTTGCTGTATAGAAATATCTTATTATTATTATTATAAATATACAATTTTCATTAATTTTCAATTATCATAACAATATATTTTAATTTGGTTTGAGTTTTAGCCCAGATTCAGTTAAACTGGGTAGGGTCCTTATACAACCTTAAACAACTAATTTCAGTAGGCCTACCAGCTTGTTGACACCAGGGCTCATAGATTTATAGGTGGTCTCGATTTCCCACCTCTTTTTTACTTACCAGGCTGGTGACCTTGATGGACCCTGTCCGGCGGGCACTACTGCGCTCATAATTATGATCACACCCGTTTTCAAAACTAATCGAAAGCCTCCTTACTGAATGACTATTTTTGAAATACAAAATGATTCAGTCGACAGTACAACATATTGTAATCATGATGATGATTGTGACCATGATTCATACTGCTGCATTGCGGATACGGTTCTGATTTAGATCACACACGTTAAACGCAAAATCGAGTTCTGATAAACATGACAAATAATAAGTGAGTTTTTTCAAGTTTTTCTTCTATAAGTTTGAAAGAGCATCACAGCAAAAATGTCTCCTGAAAAAGATTGTGGTAAAAAAATGCCTTTAAAAACATTGGAACTAAACATCATTTCTATGTGCAGTGCAGGTGACCTTCAGCAAGACTGACCAGTTGCTTTCATTTTAATTATCACGAAAATTCACAGTTTACATCAATAATTATGTACTGCATTATAATCGACCTTAAATGATTGCAGCCTCTATGTAGAGGTTCGTGGTCTAGTTGATAAGTCTCGGGATTCAAGATTACATGGTTCGCGGTTCGAGTCCCTCCGCAGCACTAATGTCTTTTGGCAAGACATTAATCTACATGTGAGGTAGATGGTTACCTAGCATGAATTAATTCCTTTAAAAATGCTGGAGCGTCATAATGGCAACCATGCTAAAGCCAGGGTAATACTAATTGTGAAGCGCCATAGGAGTGTTAAGTTTTACAGACATGAGCGCTATACAAGAACACACAAATATTATTATTATTATTAGGATTATGATCCTTATTTGGTGGGGTTTTCATAGGTTGCCCTGACTTTTGTGATTATCTGTTTGTTTGTTTTCGTCGTTATTTAGTGAAGAATGGCTTTTCCTTCGCGACTGACCCTAAGTGGCATCCCCTTCCGATACCTACTCAACTTCTTCTCGGCGATTCAGTCCTTAGCCGTTATCCTGGACAATTCTGATGAGAGTGTTGGCAGAGAGGTTCTACGTGCACTAGGCTTAAGAGAGATTCAGAGAAACTATCTGTATGACAGATATCGACGACCAATCTATGAAGCGTTGATATGGCGTCGCAACTGGAAGGGAACTGTTCAAGATTTTTACAGGTAATCAAAGAAAAATATATCGAAGTTTCTATTGGATTTGATTGTCTTCATTTCCCGATTCGATTTCAATAATGCATCTCGAAAGCTTTAATTGATTAATCAAGAATTGTCTTGAAATTGTTTTTTCTACTAATAAAATGTCATAGTTGCCTTTAATCCCTCATTTGATTAGTCAACATGTGTCAGATTTCTAAAGACATCGCAATTTTGTAAAATTAAACAAACTAGAACTGCCTTTGTAGGGATCGAACCTTGTGGTATTGCGTGTACGCCACAGCAAAGAAACTCATCATGTATCGATCGATTTCTTGTCCTAACTTGAAGCAAATAATACTTTTTAATTGAGTAATAACTTGCCTCTTTCTTTTCTGATGATGAATCTTGATTACAGGACTCCATGATTAGAGTCATCCATGGTATATTCGTCATGAATTAATTGAGATGCAAAATAATACTCCCTTCCCCTTGGGCCAAAATTTGGGCCAATTTCGCCCTGTCACACCTTGGCCTCGTAAGAGTTGGATGAAATAGTTTTTAACGAGGCACTTAACAAAGATTTGTGCATCAAATTTGATTACATTACGAAAATGGAATGTCCTTTGACTTTTTAGGGTTCTGAGTTCGACTAATCAGACGGAGGCTTTACAGACGTTGTTCACCTTTCTCCGTGAGAGTAAGTTTTACCTTTCATGGTCATAACAATAACATCAAAAGAACATAACTTAACAAGAAAATTATGTTTCAGCCCGATCAAAGAGACGTTCGAAAATTCAACTTTAGGCAATTTCAATGGCCTAGACCGTCTCTTGCTAAATTGTGTTTGAAAGGACATATAATTTTGATGAATTATGTAATAGGACATTGCCTTTACCCTTGTGTTTATTTCATGAAAGTCTTTATTATAGTGTCTCAGTATATACAAATCTTTCATTCCATCGCATGTAGTAAAAAGCTTTATTATACCAGTGGCATTTCGGCATATATAACTTATAACTTTAGTTTTGTAGGTGCTTTAATTTTGAACGAGGACTCAAGTTCGAACGAGAATTCATATCTGCGAGCAAAAAGTTAATCCTGCAGACTGAACTTTTGATGGTAGTCCACCCCTCTTGTTGGCTCTGATAAAAGATGGATCAAGTGGTTCTTTTGCACTACGGAAGTTACATCCATCGGTTAAAGATGAAATTTCTAGCACTCATGAACAGAAAGTCTTTAGGCCTATAGTCGCTAGAACGACTTGATATTAATCATATTTTCTTTAATTTCAGACCTGAATGACCGTCGGCATGTACCAGAAAGAGCAACAAAGACGAACTGGGCAATCTTACTGAATTCAACGCAGTATAGGATCTCTCCCGAGATTTCTTGGCCCCGAGTTTTCGTGAAAACATGTAAATATGATGAAGATGTCATTCGTATTTCAGAAAACAAGTCTCTAATGAGAAATAAAAACCTGTCAAATTTATATCCAAAATCATTACCAAAAGTCAAAAGGCTTCCCGCACTTTCATCCCTCACTTCTGCATTCAGACTATTGCTCTTTATCTCTTCAGAATAGCCATCATCTTCTATTACCATCTCCTCCTGTCATCTTCTCATACACCCTTTTCACTCCTATCCCAAAATCATTTTGTATAAGGAATTATTACGTCTTATAAAGGTTTACCACTTGCGCCTTCAGTCTATTACATAATTGGTTTGTCATTTTGATACTGTTGTAATTATTTTGTAATTTTGGAAAAAAGACCATGAAGAAAATTGAATAAAACCAATCAAATAAAATCAAAAGGGTTTCTGCGCGCTGCTGTCTCGCTTGCCCCGAATATTAAAGGTAATACAAAGTTTTGGTATGGGGTCATGAATTTGGTTCAAATGAACACATTGGAAGCATATGCGATCCTACAATATTCAGTGATCGTTGTCGCGGTTGAAATCGAGTCTAAAGTTATAAAATTGTAAATAATACACTCTTTTTGTTATATAGCTCCCTCTTAAGGTCAAGATATTAAGTAAGCTATAAAACAATGTTTCTTGACTAAAATCGATCAATTTGCTATTCTTGTTTGGAAGTTATATATCACATCTACATATTCTGAGATTTGCTTGGTCGCAGCTACCATTGTATACGGCCGTAGGCGCTTTTTGAAATTCATCAAAATTTACCGGGAGCACCGGTAAATTTTTATATTCAAATTTTCTCGAAAGCAGAAGTGTTTTAGAGGCTAAATTTTCTAGTGCTTATAATTAATCCACTGGGGCATCCAAATATATCCACATTGTAAAGAATCGCTATCCAACCAATTTTCAAAATTTCCCACAACTTTGTATTACCTTTAAAGAAGGGTATACCGACTATTAACTTTGGTAGCCATCGGCTAAGCAGGACTGCAAGGCCATCAACACATATAAGTTGAGCAACTGAGTACTGGATATCAGCACCAAGCAGCTTTAAAACATTCACCTCATCAACGTGTCTATACAATTAAATAATAACCTCAAATGACCCCTTAATGATCTTTTACCTCATATCATTGAAGAGGTGTCATAATTCTAAAAGGAAAACTAAACCCAAATTCGTTGCATTCTTGTCCATCATTCTTCAAGATTCCCAACCAAAGTGAATGAGAAAGGCATAAAGCAAGAATAAAGTACAGTTTCTCAGCAAGACATGAGCATCGCCATTTTCTTGATTGCATGACGTATACGGATTCGTTTATCAACTAAATGTATTCAAATTTATGGATGCTTCCTTCCCAGGTGTTTGTGGTGTTGGATCATTCCATTCACCTGCTTTTATCCTTTGTACTCCAATTGCCAGACCGCAAATTGCATAAATAAGTTGGTTCTGTTTTAGGGTGAAGGTCTCGCATACGTGAAATATATTTTCAAGTTTCAACCGCTTTATTTTAGTATTTTTAAATAGACTAGTTACAATAAATTGTTACCCTATTATATATTTTGCACCAAATGTAATTTTTGCCTTCTCGGCTATGGTTTTCCTTCATTAAAAAGTAAAGGTTTTTTGTTATTGAATTGAAAAGTCTTTCCGATTAAAGCTTGGTGAATGAAACATGTACAACTCCGCCTGGTACGTCACTTTTTCGAGAAAATGGCTGCGCCCATGTTAGCCTAAAAGGCAATACATTATGCCAAGAAATCTTCATTTATATATCTATTGTACACTTTCGTAAGATTTATTGTACATCAAAAAAGCAGGAATTCATCTCTTCTTTCAGAATACCTATGGGGTTATTTCCCCTTTAGTCCCCAACTGACGTTTGGTGATAACAGAAGTTTTGAATCAAAAACTTAATCAGAAGTGAAGTTGTTGAAGCATCATTACGGACTTTTAGATTTGCACAAAGACAATGCGGATTGCTACGGTCGACGTCCTCTTAATGCACTGCCTTGAATGGACGTCACACGTATCAGTCCACGCAAATCTAAAAGTCCCTATTAACCATATTCGACCAACAACCTTTTTCTCGCTCTGCAAACCCTTGTGCACATTTTTCATGACATTATGACTTGTTTTGTATATATGAGAAGATAATATGCATAGGATCATTGAATAAAATTATCAAAATTGAATGAAGTACGACGGTACTTAGAATTCTTGTCTTGACCATAAGTGTGGTTGTCATGTAGTTATCACAACATAGATTTCATACGTTGCTTGTGGTTGTGTACTTTTGTTAACAATTTTTCATAACGGCTGGCTATTGGAATATAATCCATTTATCGGGGAATACAACGCCTTTTATAAAATGCAGTATATGATGCCGACTATAAGACCTATTATGCCTATTCCATCAAAATCCCTAGATTGAATTGTCCTTTGAATATATATATTCTCTCCATCATAGTATATGTTCACATATCATTTTTTAAGGGCTAAAAATGAAATGTTCTTTTCAATTTTTTTTAAATGCTATTTTTACGTTTTTATCTAAACTGAATATTGTATGGTGGTTTTATAAATTGGTGCAAAATGGGACATTTTCATAAAGTGGCAATAGCTATAATTATTAGTATTTTTATTGTCCAAATCTTCTTGTCCAATGTTGTCAGGTTTATTATGTATGTTAGAGAAAACCACATGATGATAAGACAACGAACTGTGTAATGAATAGAATTTTCTCCTCATAATTTATTTTCTCTCTTTCTCTCTCCTTTTTCTCTATGATAGACTTCTTTCCTATCTGTAACCGCGTGCAGGAGATTGTCTACATGGTGTTCCCATTCAGCACGGCTTATGCGTCTGACATGTACCGGTCTATAAGCAACCTGCTGAACAACATGAATATCGGCATTTTGTTCCTGACCGTAGTACAGAACGCAATAACCATCTGCCGGGAGGGACGTCTCCAAAACTCGGTAACCATCTTCATCTCTGTCTCTCTCTGGATCAAGCTTTACCTCATGAAGGAACCTTTCAATCAACTAAGAGAAATGGTACCATCGGGAAACGATGAGCAAAAACTCCGAAGGGCCGACTTTCTCTACAAGGAGATACGAATCGCATTGCTCTTTGTGTTCTTCTTCAAGCTGGCTCTTGTTATGTTCGGTTGTGCCTTGTTCTACGCCTTCCCAGATTTCCTCCTTGAAGATCTTCAAAGCAAGATGACTCAGTTCGCCTTGTTTTTGTTCGTCTTTGAGTTGGCCCATAATGCATTCTATTTGTTTACATTCTATAGGGACTCTAATATTTTCCGTATCATAAATGATTTGTTTCCTATGTAGGAAATATTTGAAGTCGCACATTCATGGCTGAAATACAGTGTGTAAAAGTATGCAAATTTATGTGTTTTCCTTAGCGAGTCTCCGAATATGTTATATTTCTGTGTATGTCATGACAAATAATTGTTTCGTAGGTTCGGAATAGCCGCAATTGAGGTATGTCTTGTTGTTGTGGAAACAAAGCATACAGATGTATATATTTGTATATATAAATAGAAAATTAGAACTCATGTCTTTCAATAAATCCAATTTTAAGCAACTTTAAACTCCATATGAAACTCATATCCAGATTTTGCTGGCATTATATTTTAAGAAAACAAATATGCAACATTTTATTTTAAGGGGAAATTTTGAAGTTGGGGAAAGAAAATACATTATAGTTCTAAAACAGATGGTGTTAATTTTTGCAAAATCTATCCTTTCCAAGAGGAATGCTCCTATTATAAATATGATCATATACCAAATTCAGTCACATTGGCCGGGGCCTGACCACTTGACCAAAGACCCGCGAGACCAAAATTCGTTTGGGTCTCCTTACCATATTCAATAATGCAGTATTTATCTCTCTTTTCTTTAAAGCATCTCTTAAAAAAACTCTTGTATCGAAATATCAACATAATTGATTTCAAAATGCAATATGCCATTATTGACATTTTCATTTAAATTTCACCCTGAGATTTTTCTTTTGAGGCCGCCATCCTATAATAATAATAATAATAATAATTATAATATTTAATTTTTATATAGCGCTTAAAATGTCTCTAAGCGCTTAGTCATGCGCCGCTTATGGTGCCGATCTCCAATGCACGTTTCCACAGATATTTTGGAAAATTCTCTTGATATATGATATTATACATGTATCATAGAAATATTAAGTTTATTTTATGTAAATAAAAATTATGTACATCAGATTTTGACATGAAGTTATTATTGTTTACATGTTTGTAATAGGCCTATACCTTAGGCTTTACGTTCAGTTATTTTATTTGGAAAAATTGTACCATACCTTACGTTTACATATTTAGTTATTGTATCGCGCCTTTGAATGTTTTTTGAAACAGATATATGGCGCCATACAAATGCTGTTCATCATCATCATCATTTGGAAAAATGCAAAAACAAAATGAATAAAATATACAAATATTTCGGATGCGTACGGTTGACAAATTACGTACAACATTTATTCACCGTTTACAAGACAATGCATAAATAATTGTAAAAACCATACTGAGCATAGTTTTATCATGACACTTTTTTTTAAAGCACCATTGCAACTGTGGAAGTGTTGTCATTAATTTTGCCGATGTTAATGTGCCTTCAGGCTATAAAAAATGCTCTTGGTTTTTTTTCATCAGACATGCAATCAATAACTTTATGGCCTAAGTTTGCTAACATAAGAACTTGCTCTTCATGTTTATGGGGCTGTTCGTATTTCCATAGGACGATAGGCATGCGTGCATACTTCATTCTTTGAGAATCAACACAACAGGCTTTATGCTACTTTATCAAGTCGTATTTACTACATGTACTAGAAGCATTATTATGTAGTTGCGATACAGACGATGTGTATAGCAACAAATACATATACGGGTTGCAGTTGCTAAATCCATCCAACGACTCTTTGTTCCTTTAGTAATTTGTTTATACCAATACAATTGTTTTACACGAAATATTTCATTGTAGTCATTTATACTGTGTCTATTATATTTTTGTTAACATGGTTTGTATGATATATAGGCCTAATTAGATTAAAAATTGCCTGTAATGAAATATAAAATGATTTTGTGAGAGACTAATGTTTAATAAACTCTTCAAGATATCTGACATTTGATAGAAAACCAGCTTTCTCACGTTGTGATATTTAACGGGAAATGAGTCGAACAGTACGGGGAAAAAAAATCTTGCAATCGTTTTCAGTTTTCAAATAAGAACGGCTTCTTCTTAATAATCATTCCCTAACACTATATTTATACAGGCTACACAATTTGTGCGTAATACATGCATATTGTGTAACAAATAGTGGGTGACGAGAAAAACTTTTGTGGAGTTTGTCTTAAATTTTCTGCGATCGACGTCTGAATTGAGGCAAATAAATGTAAGCGTGATAAACAGTTGCATTTTGATAGCGGTCCTCAGTAAGCCAAGTCGATGCGTTATTTTTGCCAATTTCAGCCATTACCACTAACACAAAAATATTTCTCATTATACAACTCACTCCCAGATCCTAATCAAATGATTGGTCATGCGCGGTCACGTGTGATTCATTTACTGAAACTATTGCACGTTTTTTCATGAAAAGGCGTGCAATAGTTTCCAGTACTATTGCACGCTTTTTCAGTGCGCAGTAGTGCGCAGTAGTGCGCGAAGAAGCTAGAGCGCTTAATACTGCGTGTGCATGGGCCTATTCTTGCGCAGCACTATGCATTAATGGGTATAGAGGTTTAAGGTTTTTAATTACGGTCAGCTGAGCATCCAGGGGCCTTCTTAAGGTCCCTTAGTGGGGTCCAGAAGCTCAGAGGTTTTAGGTATTTAATTTAGTGCTGTCTTGCCTTGTGTCATTTGTGTTACATATTGAAACGTTGTATCCGGCATCCACTCAATCCGACTCGGGTGCATAGCACAAAGAAGCATTTTTTGCATGAAAAAATAAAGTTTTCTAAAAAGTGCGTCTTTTTAAAGCATTGGGGTGCCCGGGAGCCACTTGAGTAACCTTTCAAAAAGTATGATATAAACAAATAATTTGCAATTTCTCTGTACTTTTATCGGAAAAAAACATAGTAATCCAGCACAATGCCCGGCATTAAAGAGAAGATTGAGTTCTGGGAAGAGGTGAAAAATAATTTGTGAGCATTACTCATTCTTATTATGCAAGTGTGGAAGAACATCAGTTAAGACATGTTCCCTGAAAAGCATGGCTCTTCAAATGCCTTCATATTCTAAATATGCATGTAACATCGTACAAATCGGGGGGGGGCCGGCTTTTTACGCCACGTGTTCGTGTAGTCCCATATACATTTTTCTGTGCTAGTGTTTGTAACTTTCTTATCAAATTTCTTATCATTTTGATAATTCCAGAACCTTGCAATACACACAAATTCGTATATGCTAGATGATCAACCTTTTCCGGTCGGTTCCACACCGTTTCTTTCACAATGCAATCGCATGACCAGAACTCAACTTCATCTTTAATCTTACAACATCCCTGCACGAATGCTGTTTTACATAGGGGTCTAATCGCATTGGAAATAAAATGAAGCAATTCAATCATAGATAAACGAATTATACAACATAAAAATCAATGATCATGATATTCAAACAAAAAAGAAAAAAGATAAATACATATAGGAATATAAAGTATAAGAGAAGACATGTCATGGCGGAGTGGTTTAATCACCTGATTGGATATGCGAAGGGCCTTGGTTCAAACCTTTTCATGGCACTTGAGCATTTGGCAATATATACTGTATGCCTTTCAACACCAAGGAGAGACATAGGACCTGATAGGATGACGATCGAAGCCTATGCTCTGTATTCTTCTTATTCAGTTAAACCAAACCATAGCCCTAGAATCATATTAAACAATGAAACCTTAGACCTCAGCATAGATACTTTTTTTGTTGAAACCGGGAGACAAAGGATATGTAGCAGAAGCGGAAATCTCATTTTCATATTTCATTAAAATTTTCAATCATAAAAATATAATTATACAGCATACAAACCGTGCAAACAAAAGTATGACACACAGAGTACAAAATTAATGACGACAATGAAATATTTCGTGTTAAAACTTTTTATTGGTATAAAAAATTACTAAAAGAACAAAGAATCGTTGCATGGATCTAGCAACTGCAACACGCATATTCATTTGTTTCTACACAAATCGTCTGTATTGCAACTACCAAAATGCTTTTTGTACATGTTGTAAATTCGACTTGATTTAGTATATAGCATAAAACCTATTGTATTAATTCTCAAAGAATGAAGTTTGCACGCATGCCTATCGTCCTATGGAAATACGAACAGCCCCATAAACATGAAGGGCAACTTCTTATATTACAAAACTTAGTTCATACAGTTATTGATTGTGTGGTGAGAAAACCAAGAGCATTATTTTATAGGGCACAGTTAAAGGGAGTGTAGCATGGCCAATACTGTTGGTGACTGCAAGTAAATGAATGGACTTAATTAACGGTCAGCGCGCGCTAGCGTTCGCGAAACAGACTGAAGTTCTCCTCACGCTTCGATTTTGCGTATGTTGCACGCACGTGAATACTGGGGTCCCGTCGTCCGTATATTAGGGACTTTTAGATTTGCGTGGACTGATACGTGTGACGTCCATTCAAGGCAGTGCATTAAAAGGACGTCGATCGTAGCAATCCCCGTTGTCTTCGTGCGAATCTAAAAGTCCCTATTATATCCGATTGGCCTCCGAGTCAGGCCACGGGAAACGCACGTAGTCTCGTCGCGCTACACCCCCTTTAACTTAAGCGACATTATGGACAACACTACCACAGCTGCGATGGTGCTTTTTTTTTTAAATAAAGTGTCACTATAAAACTATGCTCGATCACTAAGGCCTTTACAATTATTTATTTATTGTCTTGATAACGTGAAATAAATTATTATATGTAATTTGTCAAGCATATGCAGCCGAAATAATAATTTATCTTAATTTATTTTATTTCTGCATTTTTCCAAATTTAACTGAATATGTAAACGTCCCGCCCCGGCCCCCTATTCAGTGTTATTTAGGGTACGCATATGCGTGTTCCCTCCTTTTGAAAACACCCCCTATAAGTCCGGTGTGTAAAGTCAATTTTGTGTATGTACGAGCCGGACTTTGGTGCGTGAAAAGTACCCCTTTACCGGACATTTTTGTAACACGCATGCGGTCATTCCGACCCCGGAGTAGGGGGGGGGGGCGGGGTAAACGTAAGCCAAGATATGGTACAATTTTTTTCAAATACAATAACTGAACATGTAAACATAAGTTAATATACAGATATGTAAACAATAATAACTTCATGTCAAAATCTGATGTATATATTTACATAAAATAACGAACTTAATATTTCTATAACGAATGTATAATATTATGAATTCAGAGAATTCTCCTAAATATCTGTGTAATAGTGTAAGAGATCGCCACCATAAGCGATGCTTGACCAAAGGATGGCGGCCTCAAAAGGAAAATCTTAAGGTGAAATTTAAATGAAAATGTGTTCATACGATCTTTGTGTATGACTATGTGAGTGTATTGCGAGTGTGTGTCTTGCGAGTATGTGCTTGTGGCGAATGGAAGATGTGCACGTAGCTCTGAATTGTAAGATGGAGGAGACGAAACTGGCCTAGCTTTCCAATAAAGGACCAAAGAATACAAATAGCAATTAATGTCTTGCAATGTGACCAAAATTTGACATATTGCATTTTTAAATCAATTATGCTTTTTTTAAAGAGATGGTTTGGAGAAATTAAAGAGATATAAATATTGTATTATTGAATTTGACATTAAAGGAGACCCCAACAAAATTCGGCCTAGATAGATAGCCGCGGCATATCATTGATTTAAAGTCATTTAATGTGACGAGGTCAAAACCCGACCGAAATTCTTTCCAGGGATTGGATTGACAGAACCATCATAGGTGTCATGTTGTTAGATTAATGACCATGCATCATATTCAAAGTTTACTAACGCCATTCATCACGTAATGTCAGGAGCAACAAAAAAAAATCAAAGATCTTTGGAGATTCGCTATGTAAGGCAAACACCTAAATGTGCATACTTTTACACACTGTATTTCAGCCATGAATGTGAGACTTTAAATATTTCCTACATAGGAAACAAATCATTGATGATACGGAAAATATTAGAGTCCCTATAGAATGTAAACAAATAGAATGCATTGTGGGCCAACTCAAAGACGAAAAGAAACAAGGCGAACTGAGTCATCTTGCTTTGAAGATCTTCTAGGAGGAAATCTGGGAAGGCGTAGAACAAAGCAAAACCGAGCATGGCAAGAGCCAGCTTGAAGAAGAACACAAAAAGCAGTGCGATTCGAATCTCCTTGTAGAGGAAGTCAGCCCTTCGAAGATTTTGCTCATCGGTTCCCAATGGAAACAATCCTCTAAGTTGATTAAAAGGTTCGTTCATGAGGTAAAGCTTGATCCAGAGAGAAAGTGAGATGAAGATGGTAGCCGAGTATTGAAGACGTCCCTCCTGGTAGATGGTTATTGCGTTCTGTGCTATGGTCAGGAACCAAGCAAAGATAATCACGTTGTTCATCAGGTTGCTTATAGACTGGTACATGTCAGACGCATAAGCCGTGCTGAACGGGAACACCATGTAGACAATCTTCTGCACGCGGCTACAGGTAGGAAAGATGTCTATCATACATAAAAAGGAGAGAGAAAAAAATTATGAGGAGAAAATTATATTCATTACACAGACCGTTGTTTAAATCATCATGTGGTATTCTCGAACATACAGAATAAACCTGACAAGATTGGACAAGAAGATTTGGACAATAAAAATACTAATAATTAGCTAATACCACTCTATAAACATCACCGTATTTGCACCAATTAATAAAACCACCATACAAATAATATTAAGTTTAAATAAAAGGTAAAAAACAGCATTAACAAAATTAGAAAGAATTTCTTTCTTTTTTAGCCCACATGAAACTTGACATGTAAACATATACTACAGTGCGTCCCAGAAAAAACGAAACCGACAATTATCGATCTTTTATCATAATTTAATCACAATGATAATTAATAAATGACACATGCTTGTAAAGCTTAGATCCTCCTCTTTCATTTGATGCAACTCATATGATGCATATCTCACGCATGAGTAATTAAAATTAATTTGAAGAGAGGGAACCAACAAAAATTATTTGGCGGACGGTATCCGAATTTCAAAGGGGAAATCAAATTTCTAGAAAGTTCAGTTTCTGCCCTGTCATTATGACACCTCAACCGGGAAAAATGAGCTAAGAATGACAAAGTTCTGTTTATTTAAAGTAGTGCTTGTATTTCCATAATTTGATTTAAAGAATTCGATTTCACTGGCTGCCTACCGTAGCAATAAACGGTATTGACAAAAGACTTAACTCCGTTTCGTTGAAGATCAGCCATAGACGAAATAATTCATGCACGGCCGATTGTCAATTGTCAATTGTCAATGATTTGATTCAATTTAATTAATTTGATTCATACATTTTTGTTCATTGTCTTTTTCCAAAGTTACAAATTCATTACAGCATTATCTTTATAATAAACCAATTAAATAATAATCATCATTACGAAATACTTTCTTGTACTACTAATTAAAAAAATCATAAAAAGGATTGCCACATAATTATAAGCTTAGAGGCGCAAGTGGTAGCCCTTTCAGAAACGTAATAATTCCAATATACAAAAAAATATGTTGGAGATGTGATTGAAAAAGATGTATGAGAAGATAGCAGAGATTTTGTTTTGGTTGTAAATAGAGCGATAAAGGTGAAGGTTGTGCTGAATAAATAAAGAGAAATAGGCAGAATGCATATTAAAGTGAGCAGTGAAAGTGCGGGTATATAGCCATTTGATTTTTGGTAATGATTTTGGATATACATTTGACAGGGTATGATTTCCCTTTAGAGACTTGTAATCTGAAATACGAATAATATCTTTATCATATTTACATGTTCTAATGAGAACTCGAGGCCAAGAAATATCAGGGGAGATCCTATACTGCGTTGAATCCAGTAAGATCGCCCAGTTCGCCTTCGTTGCTTCATCTGGTACATGCCGACGGTCATTCAGGTCTGTAATTAAAGAAAAAAAAAATTAATATCAAGTCTTGCGATTATAGGCCTAATGCGTGCCAATTTTCAGATCATGAGCGCGAGACATTTCATCTTAAACTGATTTAACTTCCGTAATGCAAAAGAGCCACTCCATTTTTCTTTTAGCAGAGCCAAAGGAAAGGGGTGGACCATCATCAGTTGTTCAGTCCACATGGTTAACTTATTACTCGCAGATATGAATTCTCGTTCGAAATTGAGTCCTCGTTCAAAATTAAAGCACATAAAAAAAAGTTATAAATATGCTGAAGTGCCAAGGCAATGGTATACTAAAGCTTTTTACTTTGCGATGAAATGAAAGATTTGTATATACTGAGACACTTGTTAAGTTAGTTCTTCTAATGTTATTGTTATGATCATGAAAGGTAAAACTTACTCTGACGGAGAAAGGTGTACAATGTCTGTAAAGCCTGCGTCTGACTAGTCGAACTCAGAACCCTGCAAAATCGAAGGACATTCCGTATCAATAGGCCATTTTCGTAATGTAATCAAATCGAATGCACAAGTCTTTGTTAAGTGCCTCGTTTAAGATTATTTCATTCACCTTTTGCAAACAATTGTACTCCAATAGTCAGAATGTGAATTTCATAAATTACGTACTTTATGTAGGTTGCTATATAGGTATGTCCTACCTATATAGCAACAATTAATATTTGCAATTTCCATTGTGGTTATTGCAATAAAATTATTCATAACAAGTAAATGAAATAATTTGTAACGAGGCACTTCACAAAGATTTGTGCATCAAATTTGATTTCATTACGAAAAATGGGCTATTATCAGTTAAAAGGTACCTTTTTACACTGTTTTTAACATCATTACCACAATTACTATAGTCTCACACGCTTAGGCACAATACCACATAGTTAGGGATAATGATCCTTCTCTGTATTGCATGTATCTCAATTAATTCATGACGAATATACCATTGATGACTCTAATTATGGAGTCCTGTAATTAAGATTCATCATCACAAAAGAAAGGGGAAGTTGTTACTTCATTAAAAAGTATTATTTACCGCACGTTAGGACAAGAAATCGATCGATATTTGATTAGTTTCTTTGCTGTGGCGTACACTCAATACCACAAGGTTCGATCCCCTAAAAGGCAGATCTAGTTTGTTTAATTTGACAAAAATCGATTTAAAAAAATTAAAAAAAAATTATTATACTGATTAAATAAAATTGCAATGTTTCGGAAATCTGACACATGCTGACTAATCAAAGATAAGAAATTCCCTCTCAAAATAGAGGAACATAGGCATCTATACCCTACCTTACATTTTATCAGCGAAAAAAAATTCCAACACGATTCTTCATTAACTAATTAACGCATTTTGAGATGTAATTATAGAAATCGAATAGCTAAATAAACACGATCAAATCCAATAGAAACTGCGACATATTTGTTTCTTTGATTACCTGTAGAGATCTTGAACAGTTCCCTTCCAGTCGCGATGCGATATCAATGCTTCATAGATTGGTCGTCTGTATATGTCATACAGATAGTTTCTCTGATTCTCTATTAAGCCTAGTGCACGGAGAACCTCTCTGCCAACACTCTCATCAGAGTTGTCCAGGATAACGGCTAAGGACTGAATCGCCGAGAAGAAGTTGAGTAGGTATCGGAAGGGAATGTCCCTTAGGGGCAGTCGCGACGGAAAAGCCATTCTTCACTTAGTAACGTCCGATGATACGACCTTTAGTTTAAAAACGAACAAACACACATTAAAAAAAGTCAGGACAACCTATATAGCTACGAAAACTTCACCAAAAAAGAATATCAAAGGACACTTGTGCATGGGCCCCTATATTTTCTTTTTAATCATAATCAAAATAATAACATTAGTGTGTTCTTGTACAGCGCTCATGTCTATCATACTTGACACTCGATCCTAGCGCTCCACATATTTCCCCGGCTTTAGCATGGCTGCCATTATGGCGCATTTTCCTGCTAAGTAACCATCTACCTCACGAGCTAGGGTCAAGTATGGCACATGTAGATTAATGTCTCGCCAAAGATATTAGTGCCGCGGCGGGACTCGAACCGCGAACCATGTGATCTTGAATCCTGAGACTTATACACTAGACCACGACACCTCTATTATATAGATCAAGATAAGACTGAATAATGATCATTTAAGGTTGATTGTATTATATGTTATTGATGTATATTGTGAATTTTCGCAAAATGGAAAAACTGCTGAAGAAGCTGTCTTGCTGAAGGTGACCTGCACTGCACATTAAGGTATGTCTGCTCAAACTCAAGGGGGGGGGGGGGGGGGGGTAAGAGGACAATTTATTAGGTGGTCTGTCGATGACAGATCACCTTTTGATTTTGTTAGAATTTTCTTTCTTTATTTTTATTTTTATTAGGTGGTCTGTCGATGACAGATCACCTATTGATTTCGCTAGAATTTTCTTTCTTTCTTTCTTTATTTCTTTATTAGGTGGTCTGTCAACGACAGATCACCTATTGATTTCGCTAGAATTTTCTTTCTTTATTCTTTATTTCTTTATTTTTATTTCTTCCGTACACTTTTTTGTGCACACGTTTACTCGAAATCGACATGGTCAATTTCCTTTGAATTTCTGTCAGTCATCAAGCCCTATGATTTCAAGTCTAATTAACTTTTTCAAGTTCATGGGGTCATCGTGACGTCATCCAGGCGCCATTTTGTAAAAATCAGGTCAGTATCATATCTCGATAACGAGTCATCAAAAATCAACCAAATCAATTTGGTATACATCAACTTCAGGTAAAAGGTCAACGACAAATGTCAAAAAATTTTGCGCGCGCACCTCGACGCGCACGTACGCGTGCATTAAAATTTTAAAATGGTCAAATTCGTTCCAAATTAATTTTGCATACGTTTCAGGTCATTTTAAGCATTTCAAAATTTTCCGTCCGTAAGTGTCCCCGCGCGCGTTGCGCGCGCTCATAGCGCGCGGAAAAGGTCAAATTCAAAATTTTTACATGATTTAGATTCCTCTTACCGTAAATGATAATTTACATTTTTTTCAGTCACCCTTGACCTTTCATAAGGCTGTGAGCGCGCGTCAAAGTTCAAAATCCGCGCGTGCTGCTATGGGCAATATAATGCAAATTTGATCAAAAACATGCCATTTTAAAAATCATAATAGCTCTTCAGATAGTCCATTGACCCCAACTTTTATATCATGGTTAGAAAAAGCATGAGTTGGAGATATGATTTCATGTCTCATTTGACCCTCAATTAACTCATGACGTCATCATAATGGCCTCCGAACTCAAAATTTCAATTTGCATATTATAACGTCAGCATATTTTTGTAAAATTGATTGTATCTCTGTAAATATTGATTGATTTTCTTCCAAATTTTGATATGTTCTACCTGAGAATATTGTCTACAAATGCAGTCGCCACGATATTTAATTTTGACAAGGGCATCATGGCGTATTTTTGCGATTAAAGCAGGCATGTCAATTTTTCACATTTTGCGTGTATTCTCTATGAGACATGACTTTTTCTCAAAACTGGATTCTATATTCTCGTCTTTCGCGAGCAATATCTCCATCGTTTTATCTTTGTTTATGCTGAGCTTTGAGTATGTTGTAGCTGAGACAATAAGCTATTACAAGTGTGCCCTTTATTTTTCGATCAGATGCCGAGATCATGCTCATATTTCACTTACAATGTGGGATTTGAGAATTCCATTTTCCGTTTACGTGTAATCGCTATGGGAAATGTTTTGGTATATCGGTAACGCACTTGACTTCCGACCTCGAGGTCCCTGGTTCGAGTCCGGGAGTCTCCAACAATTTTTTTTCTTCATTTTTTGTTGTTGTTGAATTTTTAATGATCATAAAATTGAAAACAGACCACCTAATTCGTCCCCATGACAAATTAAATTTCTAGTTTTTATTTCTTCCGTACACTTTTTTATGCACACGTTTACTCGAAATCGACATGGTCAATTTCCTTTGAATTTTTGTCAGTCATCAAGCCCTATGATTTCAAGTCTAATTAACTTTTTCAAGTTCATGGGGTCATCGTGACGTCATCCAGGCGCCATTTTGTAAAAATCAGGTCATTATCATATCTCGATAACAAGTCATCGAAAATCAACCATATTTAGTAAACATCAACTTCAGGTCGAAGGTCAACGAAAAATGTCAAAAAATTCCGCGCGCGCACCTCGACGCACACGTACGCGTGCATTAAAATTTTAAAATGGTCAAATTCGTTCTAAATTAATTTTGCATACGTTTCAGGCCATTTTAAGCATTTTCAAAATTTGCGCGCGCGTAATTATGCACGCGCGTTTCCGCGCGTATCCCCGCGTCCTGGCAATTTCAATTTGCATATTATGACGTCAGCATATTTCTGGAAAATTGACTGTATCTCTGTAAACAATGATCAATTTTCTTCCAAATTTTGATATGATCTAGCTTAGACAATTCTCTACAAATGTAGTCGACACAATATTTCATTTTGACAAAGGTATCATGGCGTATTTTTGCGATTAAAGGTGGCATGCCAATTTTTCACATTTTGCGTGTATTCTCTATGGGACATGACTTTTTCTCAAAACTGGATTCTACATTCTCGTCTTTCGCGAGCAATATCTCCGTCGTTTTATCTTTATTTACGCTGAGCTTTGAGTATGTTGTAGCTGAGACAATAAGCTATCATAAGTGTGCCCTTTATTTTTCATTCAGATGCCGGGATCATGCTCATATTTCACTTCCAAAGTGGGATTTGAGAATTCCATTTCCCGTTTACATGTAATCTCTATGGGAAATGTTTTGGTATATCCGTAACGCACTTGACTTCCGACCTCGAGGTCCCTGGTTCGAGTCCGGGCGTCTCCAACAATTTGTTTTCTTCACTTTTTTTTTCTTTTTGACCTTTCACTATACCATCTCCTTTGCTCATTAAAACACGTAGAATCGCTAATAATGTAATAAACAACTATATTTACTTTATTATTACCCTATTATCACTTGATCCAATATTTTTTGCGTGTAATCCTTATGGGAGATGACTTTTTCTCAAATCTGGATTCTACATTCTTGTCTTTTGCGAGCAACATCGCCGTTATTTCGGCTTGATTTTTGTTGATTTTTTAGTATGTTGTAGCTGAGACTATATAATATCTAAAATATCGTTGCTGTTTTCACGAAGTGACGGTAGTGAAAAAGAATTGCATTCACTTTGCGTTACGATTTTCCTCACTACTGTCACTTTGTGAAAACAAGGACGAAATGTTCTCTCATTTTTTTCAGTCTGATGTCATCATGGTCTGTTGATGATAATCATCAACATCATCATCATCATCATCATCGTCATCACCATTACTATCAAGATCATCATCATCATGATCATCATTGTTTACATGTCTATATAACTTCTCCCTTTCTCAATATAGTAAATATTATAATCTATCATAAGACTTGAAGACAGACCACCTTAATCGTCCTCGTGACGATTTAAATTCTAGTTTATTTTTATTTCTTCCGTACACTTTTTTGTGCACAAGTTTACTCGACATAGACAAGGTCAATTTCCTTTGAATTTTTGTCAGTCATCAGGCCCTTTCAAGTTCATGGGGTCATCGTGACGTCATCCAGGCGCCATTTTGTAAAAATCAGTTCATTATCATATATCAATAACGAGTAATCAAAAATGAACCATATTTTGTATACATCAAGTTCAGGTCAAAGGTCAACTAAAAATGTCAACAAATTCTGCGCGCGCTTCTCGACGCGCACGTACGCGCGCATTAAAATTTTAAAATGGTCAAATTCGTTCTAAATTAATTTAACATACGTTTCAGGCCATTTTAAGCATTTTCAAAAAATGCCAGGACGCGGGGATACGCGCGGAAACGCGCGCGCACAATAACGCGCGCGCGTTTCCGCGCGTATCCCCGCGTCCTGGCATTTTGCAACATAGAATCGCCAAATTTTTTTCTGTTAACATATATATTACATTTTTCCAAGTATTTTGATACCTTGTTTACCTTTTTTCGACCAGTAATAACGCAATTAGCGGCTGTCAAAGTTGAACGCACGCGCCGACCTGCGCTATCTGTATCCTCAATACATGGGCAAAAACATGCCTATACAAAATTCATTTTAACTCTTCAGAATGGATAGATACCCCCCAATTTCTTTCATATTTAAATAGATTATGAGTTGGAGATATGATTTCATGTCTCATTTGACCCTTAATTAACTCATTACGTCATCATAATGGCCTCCGAACTCAAAATTTCAATTTGCATATTATGACGTCAGCAGATTTTTAGAAAATTGATTGTATCTCTGTAAATATTGATTAATTTTCTTTCAAATTTTGATATGTTCTACCTGAGAACATTCTCTACAAATGCAGTTACCACGATATTTCATTTTGACAATGGTATCATGGCGTATTTTTGCGATTAAAGGAGGCATGTCAATTTTTCAAATTTTGCGTGTATTCTCTATGGGACATGACTTTTTCTCAAAACTGGATTCTACATTCTCGTCTTTCGCGAGCAATATCTCCGTCGTTTTATCTTTGTTTACGCTGAGCTTTGAGTATGTTGTAGCTGAGACAATAAGCTATCATAAGTGTGCCCTTTATTTTTCATTCAGATGCCGGGATCATGCTTATATTTCACTTACAAAGTGGGATTTGAGAATTCCATTTTCCGTTTATGTGTAATCTCTATGGGAAATGTTTTGGTATATCGGTAACGCACTTGACTTCCGACCTCGAGGTCCCTGGTTTGAGTCCGGGCGTCTCCAACAATTTGTTTTCTTCACTTTTTTTTTCTTTTTGACCTTTCACTGTACCATCTCCTTTGAATATTAAAACACGTAGAATCGCTAATAATGTAATAAACAACTATATTTACTTTATTATTACCCTATTATCACTTGATCCATTACTTTTTGCGTGCAATCCTTATAGGAGATGACTTTTTCTCAAATCTGGATTCTACAAAATCTTGTCTTTTGCGAGCAATATCGCCGTTATTTCGGCTTGATTTTTGTTGATTTTTGAGTATGTTGTAGCTGTGACTATATACTATCTAAATGTTCTCTCATTTTTGTCAGTCTGATGTCATCATGGTCTGTTGATGATAATCATCAACATCATCATGATCATCATCATCATCATCATCGTCATCACCATTACTATCAAGATCATCATCATCATCATCATCATCATTGTTTACATGTCTTTATAACTTCTCCCTTTCTCAATAAAGTAAATATTATAATCTATCATAAGACTTGAAGACAGACCACCTTAATCGTCCTCGTGACGATTTAAATTCTAGTTATTTTTTTGGGGGGGTCTCGAAATTTGGAAAATTGACATTTTGTTTCGTTGGGGGGGGGGGGTGTAAGGTCACCTTTTTAAAGTCAATCATTGGCATAATTTTTTTAATTAAAAAAAAAAACTGAAGGTGGAGGGGGGTTTAACCCCCCCCCCCCCCCCCCCCCTCCTGCGTACGCGCCTGACCAGAAGTGTATCTGCAGATATATTAATCATGGTCACATCATCATGATTAAATATGTCATACTGTCGACTGAACTCATTTTGTATTTCAAGCTAGTCATTCAGTAAAGAGGCTGTGGATTAGTTTTAAAACGGGAGTGATCATAATGTGAGCGAAGTAGTGCCCGCCGGACTGGGTATATCGATGTCACCAACCTGGTAAGTAAAAACAAAGGGTGGAAAAACGATACCGCCTCTAAAATCAATGAGCCCTGATTTCAACAGGGGGTTTTGAAATTAGTTGTTAAGGTTGTATAAGGACCCTATACCAAGTTTAACTGCATTTGGGTTCAAACTGGCGCGAGTTTAGTAACTTCGTATTCTGACTACATTTGACATGACTTGTCTACATCTCAAGGTAGTGTAAATAGGTCTATCAAAAAGGCTAGTCCCATTGTGGGTGAACAGAGAACAATTTTTAAAAAGTAAAGTTTTTCCATCAAAAGCTGACATAAAAATGAAAAAATTATATGGAATGTATGGATTCGCATAATTTTATGAACGAGTGGCATGTATCACAAAGACTGTTTGCAATAACTACTTCCCGTATATTTTGTTTATGACATTTCAAGATCTTTTTTGTGGACACACCGGGATATGTTGTTCCCTTTATATCACAATAAGTTACAGTAATTGTGATTTTTCGCTTATTCCATGAGGATTCAAGCCATATTATAATTGTCAGAGCAGAAAATTGATATTTTTGTGAAATTTATGAACAAAATAGATAGAAAAAAGTGAGGGGATGACATCATCAACGGGCTAATCTGCCTATAGACTATGAAATTCATATTCCCGTTTCATGAAATTATTCAAAACTTCAAATTTCTATATAACTTCGTATTTTTTATCTGTTCTTGACGAATCTTTCAGTCCGTTGGTAACAATTTTATCTATTTATTCAATTCAATTTCCAAATGAGCCGGACTTACCCTTAAGTAAATACGAACTTATGTATAAGCAGACTGAGTTTTTACGTAACCACATTAGGAAGAATAATACTGCCAAATATATAGTACGAACAAACATGTTCAAAACAAAATATGCCAATCGTTCATTTTTATACTGGAAAACCTTAACAACTACAATAACAACAACGACAAAAACATCAATAGCAGAGAAACAACATCAATAACAAAAAGTAACTTTGGTTGCCTGCTTCAGAGGCACAAATTTTCAAATTTAATATTGCAGATTTCCCTAAATAAAATGACGATTTCTCGTTGTCGTACGGGACATTAAACATCACCTCAAAACAATAGTCAATCCCCTCGAGCGATTATCCTTCTTTAAGGTAAAAGAAAGAGACAATTTACATGAATTGCATTTAGCATGCAAGACAAAATAACTTATAACCGCACTTATATTGGCATGACTAATGACAAAATTACTTGTAATATATCGATGATGGTAACGAATGGATTTACCTTATTTTGTAAATAATGATGGTCGAATACTTGGAAGAACTTGGTTAGTCTTGTAGAAGATGTAGGCCTTTGATGATTCCCGTTGGCAACAAGGTTAATCCAATTTTATTACAAGTAAATTTAAATATAAATGTTCTTGGGTGACCGGAGCTCTAGCTCTTCTGCTTTGTTGGATTCGTCTAGTAACAATAATAAAGTCCTTCTGGCCTGCATGACGGACAAATATTGATTTGGTTTTCCCCTCAGCTAGCAAAAACAACACTTAGCATGTTCTTTGTCATTCACATTCATCGTTAAAATATCTTTGTCATTAATATGACGCTCGACAATTATCATTTAATAGAGCGCAACAAAGCTGAATAATGAGCTTTAAACCGCACATGATCTCCAAGGATAACAGTTTAATTCTATATGGCGTGGAGGAAATGGTTTGTGTTTACAAAACAAATCTAAAAACAAATTTACATACCAACGAAAAATAGTCTAAAATCTAAAGGATTGACTTTTAATTAGTTGGAGAAAAAAAGAATTTGAAGAAGGGAAGTTTACTATTAGTGAATATATAGATTCCTGTCATGGTCTCTCCATCTCTCTGTTCAGATCAACAGGCGTTATACTCGTAGGATCAACAATGTGTGCCCTGTACCTGAAAAATACATTGATCTTGCAACGTTTTGGACCCCCCCCCCCCGGCTCTTTTTCAAGGAAGATTGCAACAATAACACATAATAACAATGATAATCATAATGATAATGATAACGACAACGATACTAAGAAGTATTATAATAACAATAGTAATACAAAAATAACGCTATGTGTTATAATAATAATAATGATAACAACCAAAATAATGATAATAAGTACACTGTTGGTCATAAAGGTGGAATAATTATTTTTATCCCAATTTATGGAATGATTTTGTGGTGCTAGTAGTACTACTGATTGTGGTACTAGAAGTGGTTCTAGTGGTGGCGCCGGTAGTACTACTGGTGGTGGCGCCGGTAGTAATACTAGTGGTGGTGCAGTTAGTAGTTCTGGTGGTGGCGCCTGTAGTGCTAATGATGGCGGTACCAGTAGTGGTTTTGGTTGTGGCACCGGTAGTGCTTCTGGTTGTGGCACCGGTAGTGCTACTGGTGGTGGATCCGTTAGTGGCTTTGCTGGTGGTTCTGGTGATGGATCTGGAAGTGCTACTGGTGGTGGTGCTAATAGTAGTTCTGATGGTTGCGCCAGAACTAGAAGTGCTACTGGTGGTCGTGCCAGTAGTGTTCTGGCGATGGCGTCGGTAAAACTGCTGGTGGGGGTGCTAGTAGTGCTTCTGTTGGTGACGCAGGTAGTTCTACTGGTGATGGTGCCGGTAGTGGTTTTGGCGGTGGCGCCAAAAGTGCTACTGGTGTTGGTGCCTGATGTGGTTCTGATGGTGGCGCTGGTAGTGCTACTGCTGTTGATGGTAGTGCCGGTAGTACTCCTGGCGGTGGAACCCGGTGTTGCTCAGGTGGTGGAGCTGGTAGTGGTAGTGGTACTGGTGGTGTAGTCAGCGGCAATGTTGGCGGTGGTGATGGTTTTGATAGCACCTGTAATAATAGACATTTAGCAGTTACATCCTGGGAAGAGGGGAAGATAAGATTATCAAATAAACTACTTTTTCTATCGCATTTTTCCAATTAATTAATAAAATATCGAGATGCCTACGGCAAAAATGTCGCTGATGTAAAGTTCCACCTCTCGATCAAGCCTGTGCTCTCAGACGACAGTCTAAAAAACAGAAAACATAATATCATAAAAAGGCTGGTTTATGACAATGACAAGGAAATGATATACGCAAAATATTGCCAACTAACTTAAGAATACTATCACCTTAAAAGAAAAAGTAATAATATAGGTAAAGTGTACTTACCTCATTAAATGTCGACAAGGCTTAACAGAAGTGAATGTATTCTAGGTTTCCATATATTGTAATGAGAGGGATGAATAATTAAAAGCAATATATCTGCCTCCACATTTCCTAAAATAAAGTCCGTATACAAAATCCCGCTGAAGATAGAATTAAGATGTATCAAAATGCAATACAATTTGATATGTTTAAACATTCGAACTTAAAATCTTATAATCAAATGGAAATTTTTTGATTTTTTATTTGCTTACGTCAAAAATTGCATTTAGTTAGTTCTCGATCTCAAGCTCAAGAACTGCGTCTTGGACGATGGTCTGCAGGAAGAGAAATGTAGGAAAGCTGGTTTATGGTAATGAAATAATTTACGGAGGATAGTCATGATAATATTTTTGAAATATTAATGTATTACTACTACAACTAATAATAATTATTAAAACAAAATGTTAATAATAATAATAATTGTAATGATAATTATAAAAATGATGGTAATAATCTTACAAATAATAATATAATTATTATAATGAGAAGCCTACCTGAATGTAAGGCTTGATCTGATCATGTTCTTTTCGGAGCAAGTCGTCAGTCAGTCTAGAATTAAAAGCAAGAAAAAATTCATGTAACATTAGTTACTTTAATGTTCATCGCTAATTGTGTTTGGGTGGAAAGCAATAATGAGCTCGGAGCTTGACTTGCCGTGCCGCTGTATTCCGATTACGTGAGGATTCCGCCTCAAAAAATGTTTCATTTTATTACATATTTATTGAATGATGAATTGGTAAGAACTTGTAGAAATTGCCTATATATAAAGGCTAAAATGGACACTGTATTAGACAAGATTGACTTATTAATATGATCACAACTATGAGACAAAGATGTTAAGAGGCTTACAGCAAAGATGTCATTGATGAAGGTATTAATTTCCAGCTCGTAAGCTGCATCATGGACTAGAAAGTCTGAAAAAGGAATGTTTTCATTTTATTTCATTTCGTTAATAAAAGGCTCATACATAGAAATTAATGGCAAGATAATTGTGGTCCATGTTCATTATAATAAAATCGTTTCAGAATATTGTTCCTTGCATGAATTTAAAGAAAATAATGATAATACTACCATTGTAAATTCGACTTTCGTGGTATTCCACAAACAAATAAATAAAATGTATTTAGATAAAAAATGGCGTGAATACAATCATATATACAAATGAATATTGCACTGTAAAATAATGATCAGAATGCTTTTGCATGAACCCTGTCAGCGGAAAAGGAAGACGAAATCTTATTGGATAAGACAAATGATACCAAGAAATGTATCTGTATGGACTGAGCAGTCAGATGAACAGTTAATTTTGAAAACAACTCTAACAGAAGTGACACTTAAAATCTAGCGCCACGATGTCTTTATCGGACAGGCCCTCCAATCCATGAGTGCAAACGATGTGCAGCCATCGCTCGCAATAGCAGCACCCTACCTAATCGTCTGGGTCGTTGGAGTAGGTCCCCTTACACTCTGGACAGATGTTGACGTCGATATCCTCTTCTGTGTTCTTTGATTTTTGCCTTCTCTTTCCACCTTCCTTTGCTCTCTTCTTGATTTCCCGCTCTTCCTTCCTCTTTCTTTTCCTCTCCTCCTCTGCATCCTTTGCCTCCTGCTTCTCCCTTAGATATTTCAAGTAAGCTTCACTACTGATGCACTTGGACAGATCTTCTCCCTTTCGCCTCACTGTCTTTGCCTTCCTTATGAGGATAGCGAAGGTGCTTCTCGAGAGAAAAACCATGACCTCCCGAAGACGATGATGACGGACTTGCGTCGTCACCCGAGGGACCGGCATCACCGGCGTCACCCGATGGACCAGCGTCACCCGATGGACCAGCGTCACCCGATGGACCGGCGTCAGCCGATGGACCAGCGTCACCCGATGGACCGGCGTCACCCGATGGACCGGCGTCACCCGATGGACCAGCGTCACCCGATGGACCAGCGTCACCCGATGGACCGGCATCACCCGAGGGACCAGGGACGTTGATGGTTACGTCAGAGACTTCTTCCTCCTCTATGTACACTGAAGCAGGAGCCAGCTTCTCCTTGGCATAGTTGCGGGTGAAGGGAAAGATGCCGGCGGTCCGGAAACCCGACTGGACGAGTTCCTTCCTCCTGGAGACTTCTTCCCAGGGCCCCCTGAACGTGCTCGCGAACGTATATTTGGTGACATATTTTACCAGGTTGTCCTGGCGATACAGTCGCTCAGCCCTAGCCCATGCTGATTTCAATGGTTTGAAAAAAGCCACATCGCAGGGTTGGAATGTGGCATGCATGGGCTGGGAGGGGGTACAGCTCTACACCGGATTCGTTGCACAGCTTGTCAACCTGATAGCTAACATGGCTACTGATTGTGCCCATCCACCAGCAGCAGAACAGGCTTCGGGATGTTCTGCTGCTCAACCAATGGCAGGAAACTGACCTCGCTGTTCATCCAGCCTGTCTCACTGCGGCCTAAGAAGGCACCAGCCGGGCCACCTTCCAGCGGGTTCTCCTTGAACCTCTGGCCGGCAAGGACAATGGTTTAAAGTTTAGACCTAAGTAGATTGATATAAATGATACAAGAGGGGGAGAAATAAGCAACTTTCATACTTAAGTTTATGGTCTCCCTCTCTCTCTCTCTTCAGTCAGATCCTCATTTAATACGCTAGATAACTTCACGCAGACCTTCTCGCTTTCTGGAATGACTCTTGTATAGCTGAAAGACCAATGTTAGTAATGATATTGCAATTTTAATTATTGGCCTCATAATAATATCTGTCAGCTCAATCTACAAACCACCAATTGAGACAATTGCCTTCTATATTCAGTGACTGATGGCACTGTAAACGTAGCAATTGGTGACTTCAACAGCCAGAGTGCTACCTGAGACTCTGGGTAGACCAATGACGATGGAGAATGTCTGGAATCCTTGGTGGATGCTAACCACATGACTCTTATTCATGGTGATAAACTGACTCATTCATTCAACAGCCTCAGATGAAGGCATGGATACTATCCAAATTTGTTTTTGTGGTCCAACTTCATCTCCTAACCAACACAAGAAGGTCGATTTAAGAGCCCATCCCCCACATTTGATGATTTTGATCCATGTGGATTATTTGTAACCACCGTCAGTATCGTTCCGCTTCTGATCTTGTTCTTGTGATAAAAGTCATTTGAGGCCAGTGCACATTTTGTAGTAACTTATTTTTTTTTTTTTTAGATTTTACGGCAATTATATAATAGGGTGCTCAACATTTAGTATATATTTTACAATGATTACATTTTTTTACTTTGAGGAAGGTGATTGTTGCCAGATAGTCTGTTGTTGTCATTGCTACAAATAGAATATACTTTGACCAAAAAAAACATAAATCCCATGCAAATACTGTGTACGATGTTTATACAATTAAAGAGAAAATATTCCTAATGCCGCACATGTTAACTTAAATAATCTGTCACCATGAACCTTTAATTCTTTTAAGATTGTCTTTCCCCAGTCTTGCACAGAGCTTTTTGAGTTTGAATTCCATTTTAGTGGATGAAGAAAATATGATGGGATGAGGATGCATACTTTACCTGTTCAACTTCTAGCGATCTTTTCGTTAACTGGGGGACCATCCTATAAAACAATATTTGAAATACAAAATAAAGGGTACTTATTAAACAATAATTCAAATATACACAAGGGATTTCATGTCTAACAATGAAAACAAATCTTTTTACTTCTCTCCACTGATAAGTTTATATATGTTAATTTAAGTAGGTACTGGCCTGGAGACGATGTGGCGACCTGGTGGTGACTCGACTAGCCGGGTCCCAGGGGAGTCGCAGGAAATTGAGACATATTCTATTTTAGGGTAGATTTTTCCAGTCTCCAGCAGGTCTATTATATTAGAACTTGGCCACGTTGCGGGGACGTTGTCAAAACGTCCCCGCGACGGCCGGAGACGTCGCTGCGGCAACTGATCAGACGTTTCAGTGTTGATGTTTGCAAATCCTCAAAATCATTAGGAACATAATAAGCATTAATTTTCTTTTATTGATGGAGAGTTATCTTATCGAATCGACCGATTGAGAAAAATAAATTAACCAATACATCTTATTATTGCTTAGTATGTGAGATGTGTTACGTAGAAAACATGACAACTGCCACTACATCTCATATACGCCGTTAATCTAATGAAGACAAAGACCAAATAATCAAATGTAAACTATGATCTCTACATATGTATATAACATGTAATAAAATATCCTTTATACACCGTTATGCATTACAGATAATATTAAAAACGATAAAAATATGTAAATATAAATATATGATATTTTTATGAACAATCCCAATTCGGTTACCTTACCCCATATGCTGTCAATTAGGGAGCTCGAACGGGCTGCCATGCGTTCAGCTTGGAATACTTCTCTTGCACTTGCTCCACTGTACATGTGGCACATGTGCTTCGCCACACTTTTGCAAGCACTGGGGCTTAAATAATAAACGAACTCTTGCCTGCAAATATAAAGACAACATGTGGAAAGTGAACCTATTGTATTGTGACATTAACAAATGTATGTCCATTAAAAATTAGTATATTAATGTGAACATGGTGACAATGTAGTTTAAATTGTTCTAGTCAAGGAGAATAAATATCCTTCATGCATTTCATTCTTAGCTTATTAGGTGGCAGGGGTGGCAGGCCGGGCCTAATTACCATACTTGACTGTGTTTAACAATAGGTTGGAGTCTGTTGTAATAATAATAATGATAATTATAATAACATTATCTGGTTCATATAAAGTGCTTTTTATACAGTAAACTGATCTTAAAATAAATGAGGGGAATTGACACAACGGTATGTTCATGTATAATTTGAAATTATGTTTTATGCAGAGCACTGCACTGCTCGTTAAAGGGTATTGAAAATGCAAATGAATACATAATATGACTTGTTGCTTTAAAATCTTAGAAATTGATAACATTTCTCCTCCTGTTACTCATTCAATATTTATCAATTTTTCTTGTTGAATCCTTTTGCATTTATTGGCACAACATTCCCTGCAATTAGTGTATGTAAGGAATTTATACAAACATGTGTGGCTGCCGTTTTCCTGATCAACGTTGGTAAGAACGTCCCTTTGCGGCCCGCGATGGATAGGTGTTGAGAAGAATATCGAGCGTATTATTGAGTCGTGTAGGTTCCTGGACATGTTGATTAAAGCAGAAGTTGTTCACAATGTTCATACACTTCTGGTTCAGGCCTAGATCTAGGCCTAGTCCGTATTGTCTGGGTCTAACCGAAATGTCCGACTATTAGTTCTTTGGCACAAACTCGGCATTATTGGACAAACCTAACAACTGGATAAACCTGACAATTATAAGGCTCAAGTCTTGTTGCTCTGTTCGCCAGCACTGGATATGAAACCCCGCGGCACACTACTCACAAAAGCTCTAACAAGCCAAGCTTATACTAGTTATACAAAGCCTAGGCCTACTTTTAGTAGATCTACAAGTAAAAGGCTTAGGCTTAGGCCTAAGTTGATTTATCTATTTAAAACAAAGAGCCATATCCCGGTAGCTACTTCTTTAGACTTTAAGTGGCGAAAATGTACCGTACGGTACGGTACTTTACCTTTTTGTGAACGGCAACAGCACAAAGGGCTCACTTTCGTAAGAAGAATTCCTATTTTACGTTCGTAGTTTCAAAGTCTAGATCTACGAATATGGGTAGGCTATAGGCCTAGCCTATATAACTTATAAGGTTTGTTGGCGAAGTGAAGATGCGAGAAAGAGAGCTGTCGTCGCGAGGCGCGGGTCAAAGCATTTTAACGTATCGACGCGCGGTTCCTTGCCTTCTGATTGGTTGAAAATTGCACATGTTACGCACATGCATTGTGACGCTTATGCGCACATCAAGCAGGCTATAAGTCTGCGCTCATTCCGGATCCGCAAAGTTATAAAAACGTTTTTTGTCCAAATTTATTCATTACCACATTATTTTCCTTTGTGAGAATCTTCAAGGTGGATGGGATATGTGACAGATTTTTAAAAAATCAACACTACTCAACACTCCTGGGATGTGGGATAGGGGCGTGGGATTGAGAATTCACGTTCAAGTTCAAGGATCTATGTCAGGTAACCTTCAATGTAAGTGCCCTTTAAATTGAATAAAAACTAATGTATCCATGTAATATGTGCAGAATGATACACCCCCACCCTGCCCCTAAGACATACGAAATGCCGCAAACCATTCAAACCTGTCTATTGTGGCCACTCAAGGGAAACAGAGAAAGTGGCCACTGTTGATAGGTGGCCTTGCTACACCGAGCGAAAAAAAAAAAGAGTGGGGCGGCCGGGTGGCGTCATCAGACAACAAAGGGTATACACAAGACTGAAAATACATGTAGATGAACCCAGTCATTTTCCGATTTGTCATCTTCCAACAAACGCATACAAAAGTATAATTGACCAAAAAGTGAGAAAAAATCTCGTAAATTTATGTCATTTTAGCAACATTTTGTATATCATCGAATTAGAAATGAACCACGTTTGAATTTTATTTGGGGGGGGGGGCAACTGCCCCCTCCCCCACCATCAGTACGCCAGTGGGCCCCCTCCGATCTACACCTTGTTGGCAGGTAAACTTGTAACTGACCTCCTCTACCTTTCTTCTTTATCTTTTTTTTCTTTCCCTTTCTCTCCTCTTTCCCTTTCCCTCCTCTTTCCCTTTCACTTCCCTTCCTTCTCTCTTTTCGGTTTGCTGGGGGAGGCATGGGCCTTTCGCCCCCCCCCCCCCCCCCGCCCCGCCTTTCGCCCGCACCCCCCTGATTCACGCGTTGTTGGCGGGAGTTCCACTTCTTTTCACGCTTTTCTTTTTTGTTCCCTTTTAGCTCTCCTCCAGTTTTCTTTCCCTGCCTTCTCTCTTTTTTTTTGGGGGGGGGGAGACAAGGGCCTTTTGCCCCCCCCCCCCCCCCCCCGATCCACAAATTGTTGGCGGGAAAATCGCAACTGATATCCCTCTTCTTTTCTTCTACCTCTTTATATCCTCTTTTCTTTTTTTATTTCCCTTTCTTTCCTTCTCTTTCATTTTTGACAAGGGGAGGCAATGCCTTTCGCCTCCACCATCTCCTTCTTTTTTCCCCTTTTCTTTTCTTCTTCACCCTTCTTTTTTCTCCTTTCCCTTCGTTTCCTTCTCTCTCTCTCTCTCTCTCTCTCTATTCTCTCTCTCTCTCTCTCTCTATTTTTCTCTCTCTCTCTTTCTCTCTCTCCCGCCCTCCCCCCTCTGGATCCGCGCCGTGGTAGAGACATCAAACACCGAAGATAATTGAAAAAGTAATCGGGGCAATCATCTAAAAATCCCGATTACCTGTCTACAAAGAATATAGTTCCTATTGTCTAGAAATTCTGTCTTACGGCTCGTAGTCGTAGGCCTATAAAACTTGTCTAGTAGTAATAGAATATAGAGTATTTTGCCAGTTCTCTGCAGATGTAATATCGGGGCATATGTTTCACGCTCACATTTATTATATTTCTACACATTTTTTTCTCACCATATATGATTGTGTATACAGCTGTCACTTACTATTTCACTAACTGTGTAATGGGTTTATTTTAACTGCATGACGACCGGATAACCAGGGAATCCATTCCAACTCCCTGGGATAAGTGTCACCTGTATTCCTGCATGCCAGTGAATAAAACATTTTCACGATGATGTGATCATGATTGTATTTTTGTTATGTCAGTGTGATTAATTCATGCATTTGTCTCGTACAATGTCACTGCTTTCATGGTTGTAAATGGATGCAATTTGTTTATATAATACTTTTTTCCCTCTTTAATTCACCCCATACAATGATCAGTAGAAGCACTAGGCATAACGCAGGCTTACTTCGAATACTGCTCGGCTTCTTTTATCTTACATATAATAATTGTCCTTAGTTTTTCTTTATTTTTCTTTTTTTCCGCTTTTGTGTCAACATTCCCGCTTTCCTGAAATCGACACAATCTTTAAGTGAAGAAAAGAAAAAGGAAAAGGGAAAGGGATGGGAATAAGACCAAGTAGTTATTAGACTAAATAAACAATTGACCAAATGGGTAGTAGACTTATTGGAGATTAGACCTATTAGAAATTAGACCTAAATGGTCATTAGACCAAATGATAAGAAGGTGAAATTATTATTAGACCACATGGATAGTAGACGGGCAGGGTGTAGACCATATGGGAATAGACCAATTGGGCAGTAGACAAACTGGTTGTAGACCAAATGGCAATTCACCCTTTCTATACACTCTTTTTTTATAGAGTGGCTGAATTATGAAATTTTAGATTAGAATAACTTAACATGCACACAATTAATAACAGAAAAAGAAAACAAAATCATGTTAATCTGATATTTTTTTTTATTTAACTAAATACAAAAGTTTCATGACCTTAGATTTTATAGAAACAGGCAATTTCAAAAGTACTGACTTTAAAGTACCTGGTACTGAAATATGTACACAGGCAAAGGCAAAAGTGGTGATTACATGTATATTTGCATAATAAGCAATACAAATCAAGTGTATAAATTTATTTACTTTTTTATTTTCATACTTGAAAGACATTTTACTGTATAACTTTCTGATCTATTTTCGTATTCATAATTGAAAGACGTCATACTTTGATTCCACTTCTTCGCTACAGTGATATTAAAATTTGTTTCTATCTTGGGATATATAATACCTTGTGCAGGCGCAATGGACAGTGGTAGAGTAGTGGTCTTGCTACTGGGAACCAAATTGATTTGCTAATTTTTTGTTGGTAAGGTCTTGATTAAGCCTCAATGTCAAGTCCCTCAGAGAGGGCTTAAAACTCCTTCGGTCCCCTGGTTGCTTACTCAAAAACAAACACAATCAACACATGCCTTCCTTAAAAGCAGTCAAGTAAAAACATACCATCTATTCTAGAAACGATCTGCTTGTAGTTTGCAAGATAAATCTTTGTCTGACACAGATCGGAATTCTAAACTGCCACATTATTTTGGAGCATATTTTAAATATACTATGTACATGTGACAAAAGTATACAAGATGGCAATCCATGATTGTTCCATTCATTGTATGTAGCAGATGGACGAATGGAGCAATTTATGTTCTTGTTACAAGACAATATAAGATTGTACTTATATGTATGTATAATTACAAAAAGTGAAGTTTTAGATCCAGTTTTGATGAAAATATATTGAATCAATCCACAACAAAAATCAATTTATGTTGTATGCTTAATGAATCTGATACAAAATATGTGTGTGTTGTGTAGTAAAAACTTCAATATTATGTTCACAATTCACTTGTGTAAAATACCTAAACATTAGAATTAGAGTACATGTATATTATATGATTAACATTTCGAATGACTTATAAGGGCCAGCCGTATCAAATGTGGAAAGTCTGCGATTGAACTGAATTGATTACCACATCTCCATTTTCAAAACATGTATAAAACATAAAATCAATAGCATTGTACAAGCCAATGTGGTGGGATCATGAAAAGGTTGGGATAACGTTAAACCATAAACCCGTTATTAAACATGGAAACAAAATATACAATATAAGTACAAAGATACAATAGTGAAACTAATTTCCAAAGAGATTTTCAATTAGTAAACATATTCAAGATATTCATGCCATATATATCATTTTCAAATAGCTAAACAATTAGCACTAAATACTCTTTATACTGGCATTTGAATGGGTCTAAAGACATAGTTTTGTTTATACACCTCTCTTTAATAGTATGTTGAATAAATCTAGTCATCTGATTGGTTGAAATTGAAGTCATGATTTTAGCAATGCCCGCCTACCAGTCAATAGTTTTTTAAAAGATGCCCGTTACCACGGTAACGGGCCGCATAAATATATTTTGCTGAGAGCCCATTGATTAACGTGTCGAAAGTTCTTTGTGCGAGCACGGATACCATACAATGCTTTTTGTCTGCGATTCCCGAATGATCGTAACATTCTGGCAACTTTCCAGCGAAGATTTACAGACAGTGTCTCAGATTTTCTGTGATGTTTTAACCAGTCTTTACCCAAGAAAAGGATAAGGTAAGAATTCTTTGTAGATTTGTTTGTGAATTCCCTATATAAAAGATGTATTTACTGCTTTAATATTTGAAGCAAAGCTGTTTCTATACTGGCTCTCGGGGACGTTACATCCTGATAATCCCCAGCGATGCCTCTCATAGCAGTCAATGTATCTATATTATAGGTTGTCATATATATTATTCAACAAAAGGGTACCTTTGCATGTCATTCTTCATCCAGAAAAGTGGACACAACCACAATAAAACCCGATATTAACACTCTCTCTATGGTAGTATAATGATTAAAATTGTTGTTTTTATTAAAATTAATTAGTTGAATATTTTTGGTAGGAGTTTAATCTGTGCTGTACGCAGCACAAGAATACAGATGAAACAAAAAGACATACGTTCATCGTGAAGTTTTTTTCAACATGTTGTAAACTTCATTAGCATGGCACAGAAGGGCTTAATGAACAGCAGTGTTGGACTATACTCGAGGCTGGACTTGGACTTGAAACCAAGTTTTCCTCAGGCATTGTCCTGGGTCTCAGGAAAGGAGGCCTCTGACCGAAATGTCTCAAGGCCACAAAATTCTCAAATAGTTTGTTGGTGTGAAAGGTATCTAGAGTTCTCCATGACTCTGAGGATTAAGATGTTCTGCCATCCAAGCATCATCTTGTTCTTCCCAGCGGAGATCTGCTTTCTGGGGTTTCATCTTGGGTACAAAGAGAGCAGAAATATTCTCCACTTGGTCCTTCAAGTGCAAAGTAGAAATGGATTCCTCTTCCTCCGACGTCAATATATCAAATACCTGCAGGCACAGCAAAACAAAGATAGTCAAGTCTACATTTGCATTTTAAGAATATGAATGGGTTCACTAGCTATTTCTTTGCATTATACAACATGTATATGTTTAAATCATATAAACAGGTACATTGTAGCAATCGTTTCTGACTCTAATTCTTTCAATTTTATCTTTATCTAGAGTGAATTATGCCATTACTTCAGGTTACATACTGTTTCTGCACATAGATTATACATATTTCACTTTGGCATTATCATGAAGACATACGGGGAGCAGCAAGCGTGGGGGCACATGCCTCCGGGAAACAGTGTTGCATTACTTGTGTGCATACTGCAGGCCCACTTGCCGTCCAAATGCTTTTACATGTTCTTTCATATTGTTAGTTTGTATTAGTCTCTTGCTACTGAATCTTATCTGTGCTTTTTATGAACTGTCAAATAAATAAATGAATAAATGAGGATGATGATGACAATTGTGATGATGATAAGAATGATATTAACAACAATAATGATAATGATAAAGATAAAGGTAAAGGTAAAGGTACAGATAAAATAAAGGTAAAGGTAATGGTAATGGTAATGGTAATAGTTATAGTAGTAATAGTAATAATTATAATAACAATTACAATGAAAATAATAATAATATTAATAATGATAATAATAATAATAATTCTGATAATAATTCTGATAATAATAATAATAATGATTTTGATAATAACAATAAAAATAATAATAATGATAATTATGATGTATAAAATGATAGTACACTGCAACTTGTGCACCTATCTGGTGGTGATTACCTCGTTTCCAATCTTCTGGGATCCTCCAAACTTTTGATAGGCTTTAACAAAATCTTCACGTGAGATAACGGCTTGTCCTCCACTCTCATGACTTGAGATGAAATCAGAAATAAAGTCCCTGAAGAAAAGAAATAACAACAAAGAGAAATGGTGACTTAAGCTCACAGTGATTTAAGCTCACGCACGCCAGCTATTCTCCACTCCTGACAACGGATAGTCAACCTGTTCGAAACGTCGAGCCACTCCCGCTACTCATCCTCTCCAAGCGCTATAGTTCTCCTTACAACTATAAGCTAAGAAAGATAACCAACAGTATTTTTCAAGACTACACAAACAGTCCTTTTCAGGACTACACACCCCCAAGAAAGATTACCAAGAGTCCTTTTCAGGACTCCTCAATCCTCTCTCTCTCACATGGTGCACCCGCAAGCCTATTGTATAAAGAGAAATGTGTCTTATTTATTACAAAGGATTGAGTAATAAATTTCAAAATTTTGCTTTATTGATATTATTAATATAAACTAAGAGAATTTAAAAGATTAAGAATGTATTCCAAAGACTGATAATGTCATAAAGAATAAATGTAAACAAGTTATGAATATTGGATAATGGTTCAAGTTCAAGTTCAAAAGAATCACTGCATCTGGCCAATCATCAATCATGTTTCCCAAACCTCAGGTCATTTGAACTGGGTCAAGCCAGCATGCACGTCTCAATTATAACTTCTGGGTCATGCCTAATCCAGATAGCTGGATTCCTGTTAACCAAAAAAATTGATGTCTATTGACCAATGTAGTCTTTTGTGAGAAAAAAATAAAATAAAAACGTAACTACCTTATAAGACTACAAATAATTACACATGGGAAATATATTTACAAAGAGATAGATTGATGTATATATGAAAAGGAGAAAATGGGAAGATACCGGTATAGAAAAAAGCATACCTGATTTCGTTGGGCTCAAACTTTGCATACTCGTACTCTTCTGTGTTGGCAGGGTCCCTGTCAATGATGTGCGCTAACTTCTTCAGGGTTGCCAATTTGAGGCCTTGGGCTTCCTCCGTACAGGATACTTTGTTGTCTCCGTCCACATCTAGAAGCTGTACAACCTTAAAGAAAATAGTTTTCAGCTGTCATAGATCATGTAGGGTATATGAACAAGGGAGCTTCACATAAGAGATTTGCTTACAGTATGCTAACTGGTAGCTGTATAGCGTAAAAGAAAAGATTTTCAACCGTCATAGATCATGTAGTGTACTTGAAAACAAAGAAGCTTCATATAAGAGATATGCTAAGTTGCTAAAAATTACATATTCCCTAGATATACATGTATGTATATTTTTAGACCCATTGAATAGATTATGAACAATTTTGAGGAATAATGTACGTTAACAAATATACAAGTGATTTATATAACTGAATTTCGTCTTCAGTTACATTCAGGGCCACCAAGGGCAAGGAGTAATTATAATAATGATAATAATAATCTGCTTTTTTGTTTAACCGTGGAGGAATTGCCATTGGACCATATTTTGTATAACTATCCAGGGATTGTATGGTACAAAGGGTAGATCCACTAACACACCTTGATAGCAATTTACCTGATCAGCTATTTCAAGTAGAAATGCAGCACCTCCCATATTGTTCTCATCATCTGCATCACGATCATGAAAATCCTGCAAATTTCACGAAATCGCAATAGATTGATTTAATTGTCTATCAGAATGTGGCATTTCAAGTGGAAATAAAATCATCTTACCACACAAAGGAGGCATGATCGAGGATATTTTCTAATAGTATGTAAAGAATTACTAGATATACATGTATAAGAGTGCACAGAATTAAGTCTGCACGAAATGGGTTAGTGTGATGCTAATCTATTTACACATATTTTTGGCCATAGTAACAGGTATAATAAAACTTCATTCCTGTCAGTAAATATACATGTAGGAAGAAAAATTAATACATTATACTCAAACTTTTTCTTGCAATAGTTTTTACCAAGAAAAAATAGCAGCCTATTCTGCAAATCTTACACAAAATAGTTCACAGAGTGGTTTGAGTGCACATGTATGCTCGTGCAATATAAAATGGTAGTGCAGATTTGTACTGACTTCCGTATTCCCTTGAAGGAATCAACTGTAAGTACAGTCAGCTATGAAGGGTTATCTAGTCATGGGAGTTTTAAACCGGTGCATATTTTGTCATGTTCAAGATAATTTTTCCATAGTAAGAACTGAAAGTAAACTGAGAGACAATTATGAGAAAAAAAAATCATTTTTGTTTTAAGTTAATTTACAATGGAAATACTAAATCTGTAAAACCAGAAGTTTTTGTGACATGCATGCACCTTCACAAACTGAAAATGACAGTATTGTGTCAATTGCGATTCAAGTATTTTGTTGAATGAAACTTTCACATACCGGTATATATCTGAGCCATGACTCCTGAAATCTGGGAACATTTCATGCTGCACAAAAATTCTGGTTTCACAGCAATTATAGTGATAGCTATAGGAGCAATGCTGAAAGAACCGATGTCATGTTCGGTATTACTTACTCGTCGCAGGTAACCGAAGACATCTTGCGTACTCATCTTGGATCCACTGTGTTGACACCATTCTTGAAATGTGTCACTGCAAAAGAAGTGGAAAATATTTGAGTTTGCTCTGCTGGTCATCTCCAAGTGTACTTCAGACTGACAAAAAAGGGTGACCTTTTGAGGATCTTCACAAACATGTATTATCTTTTACTGATAATGCAAATAGGGTTTCATTTTCGATTCCAGTAAAGATTTTGTGTTTCACCTTAGAATATGCATGAAGTAACATTGCTGGATTTAATCTGGACAATTAGCAATATCAATAACAAATCCTAAATTCCCTTTCAGCCAATCAAATGCCCTGATTTCAGTAACTTATAACCATCATAATAACTTGTTATTGATCACGAGTTTAACTAGGGCCCAGATGTGATTCCCATGAGAGTTAAAAGGTCCGAAACATGGAATGCAATTTGCCCAAATATTTCTTCCGGTCAATCATTGTACTTCGATCAATACTTCGTGCAGTTGATTGCTGGAAAAATTGGACATGACTTAAACACTTTTCAATCAATTTTGTTTGTCTCATACAACCTACTCCTTAAATTTACAGTAATGACCCTCGGATACTGAAGAAAATGAGGCTTGTTTTAGGTCTATCTATGAGGAATTGCTACAGTTAAATAAGCGGAACCTCCTGGGCCAGTGCTTCCACTCGTCAAAATAGAGTTCCTGAAATAGAACACCACATTTCCTGGAATTCTGACAGAATTTTCTTTAAACTTTCCAAATGCCTTTTACATGCCGTTGTTAATTTTCTTTGATGAATTGCTTGGAAAACCAACGTCATATTACAGGTCGCAGAGAACCATAGCATCAACTTCAAACTTTAAATTTTTGCTAAAATGACACTTGACCCCCAAAAACTTGCATGGAACTCAACTTGCCGGACTCAAAAATAACTTTAGCTACTCAGTGAAGAGACTAGAAGTCTTCATAATTTTGAATCATTGGTAAAATTGTCACCTCTAACAAACACTCAGTGGCGGATCCAGGGGGGGGGGGGGAAGCCCCCACCCCTGGCAAAAAACAAGCTTTAAAAAAGATGGTAACCACAATTTTACCTTTACATTTTTTTTGCTCAAGCAAGGGGGGGGGGGGGGGTGGGGCTGTGTTGAGTTTAAAAAAAATAAAAAATATATATATATATAGTGCTCAGTATGCTTACACACCTCTTTATCAAAGTACACGTACATTTAGGATTCTGCTATGATTTTTTGTTGTCAACTATTTGTTTTACTTACTTCAGCTCAAATGGATCTGTATCTCCCATGCTTTGTTCTGCATAGCCATCATAGGTGAAGACCATCTCCATGTCACTCAGTGGTGTGTAAGACAGTTTGGCGCCCTCACAGTCAGACAGATCATTATCCTTGATGCGGGAGAAGAGGAGAGAGACTGCAAGGTTCCGAGAGCCATAGGAACGGACCTGGTGCCAGTAACCTGACAGAGGACAAACATAATTTAGGTAACTCAGCGAAATGTATAGTGGTACGAAAAGACACGTCTGGAAAGCTACATAGTTAGTGATGTTTGTTAATCAAAAGTTTCTTTTTTGACAAGTTGAAATGAAGGTTTAGCTAACATAAAACCTCATCAAGAATGGTGCATTTGTTACCAGCTCCATATCCTATCCATGTGGTTTTATTTATAACTGATAAAATTATGATTTTCAACAAATATGCAACTTGTGTTATTGACACATCCTTTTTGTCACCACATTTCGCTAGCTAGCTAGCTAGGCTACGTTATTATCTAGACACTTTACACATACCCCTAGAAATCCATGCTCTAGCTGTTATTGACAGTAAAATTATGAGCATTCACAATTTATCAAAAGCTGCACGGTTGGAGACCTGTGTTTTTTAACCTATATTCCTTCCCAATTACAGAGACAATATTATAGGATTGTCCCTTCGCACAAATTTTGTATCGGAACAACCTCTCCAATTGCCTATCCATGATACATGTACGTAAATTGTACCAAATGAACACAAGTTGTTTGTACTTCTGTATTCAAAGCACTTTTGAATCCCAGCATTAGCCATTATATCCATACCATTCTTCATCAATAATAATTTCATGTACATCACACTGTCGGTTTACAGACAGAAGGACGTCCTATCATGAACTTTAACACAGAGTTAATGCCCTACTAGCTCCAAACGGATGATATGAGAAGTTATTAAATACATGAAAAATTATTTAATTTAGCAGAGCAATGCTTACCCCGAGGTAGAAAGATACAATCTCCGGCCGTCACATTCCCATAGGTCCAAGGAACATCAGCAAACTTCGGAAACTTCTCTAGGTCTACGCTATCAGGGTTCAGTACAGCATACCCACCATAAGCCTCGGTCTCTTCATCAGCTATGGGGATCATATCTTCATGCTTGGAATCAATGAAGATCCAATCTTTAGTTCCGAAGTAGAGGCAGTTGATTGCATTGTCTGCATCCCGATGAAGCAGGCTCTTGGTGCCACCACTGCTGAACCAAAGATTGGCCTCCAGAAGACGCTGACTGAAAGTGCCACAGGTCATGAAGGGAGGAACAGAGACTTCCTTTGACATCGGGTCAGGGAGTTGAGAGACAATGTATGCATTGCGTGACTTGTACGTCTTGAGGAAGTACCCCACGGTGTCCTGGCCTATCCCCTTGTCTCCCTCAGGATAATATTCCTTCTCTGCTTTTGCTTCTATCTTCACTCGTAGGTCGCCGTAGTATTCCCGGAGATAATCATCCGTCCATCGATGCATCCCGAGTGAGTTGTTAGCCATCCCGCGAAACAGGACAGGGATGCCATCCCGAGCATATTTCTCCCAGAATTCCTTGGGGGATGGAGGTTCAAGGAGAATTTCAATGTGGCCCTCCGGAGGTCGGTGTTTACCAAGAACTTGCAGGTGTCCTGGCAGGGAGCCTTCCTCTGTGCTCCCAGCAAGACATACATGTAGCATTAGACAAGTTGTAACCCCAAGATATTGAAAAATCAGCTGCATCATGGCTACTGTTTTCTCTAGTGATATGAAGGAATCAGTAGGTAAGAATTAAGTGTGTAAATCATGTATTACAGAGCCTCAGTTCTTCAACTTTTCAGAGTTTTCTGGTAACTTAAATGTTGATGACAGTAAGATGCTGTTGTATCTTAAGTGCAGTAACGGTATGGAGTAACTCTAGGGGGAAGTTGAGTAGCAGTGGAGTAGTGTAGCATATAGACAGAAATAATCGTCTGGTATGGGTCATTCTTTAATAAAACTGACATGTGTTGACATTATGTATAGAGGCGGTCAGAGGAGCCAGATGCAATCTCAGCAGAACAACAGTCGATATCAGAAAATTCTGCAGATACAAAAAAAACACAGGTACGGGTGATTACTCAATACATTGTATTACACATCTATTAACTAATATTAATGATTATTATCGATGTAAGGCTTCCCAGTGGATAATAAATCAGTGTACTAGTATTTAATATCGTTAGCGCAGTACCTGGATGACTGATCAATATTGTTTTCGTATTGCTCAGTCATCCGGGAACTTCAACTATCGATATCGAGCTCACTCAAAAACAAAGCCATATTCACTGAGGTATAAGTCAAATTTTATTCCCTAGCTAGTCAGTCTGATATAGATAATAATTATCATATTATATGGCTTTCTTGTGTGTGTGATACAAGAATATATTGTCATAGCTCGAGCAATATATTCTTGTATCACTCTCAAACTCAAAGCCATCCAATATTATATTGGATGGCTTAATTGAGTGTGATACAAGACTACAAATATATATTGCTTGAGCTATGACGATATTGGATGAGTCAAAGACAAGTCTAATATTGTCTTAGCAAGAGCGATATATTCTTGTATCACACGAAAAAAAGCCATACAATATTATTATTATTATCTATATTATTTTGACTATGTTGAAATAACAAAATTTGACTTACCTCTGTAAATATGACTTTGTTTTCGTGTGATATCGATATCATGCAGTAGTTGAAGTTCCCGGATGACTAGCAAAAAGCACAAATTAAGACTTAATTAAAATACCAAATTCCCTGAATTTATGGTTCAGCTGATATTAGATCTGCCATAAGTCAATTAGAGACGACTTTTCAAGACAATAATGTGAAAAGATATTCTAATTGTTGTCCTTTGAATTTAGTTATTTTGCATGTTCTAACCCGACTGTTATTGCCTTTTGACTATTGATACACGTACAGCCTACAGCCTAAAGAGTAAAGGCTATGCTACACGTCTGCAACCATAATTGTACAGGCTACTTTTCACCCTAAATCCTATTTAACTAGACAAAGATAACCGTATGTGAGTGTGTGTGTGTGTAATTGGGTTTTTACAGATTTTTATCAATCGAATATGACCGTATGGTATTTGGGGATTCTTTTGTAAGACTGACAATAGTGTGTCAACCTTGTGGTCAGTGGGGCCTGACATGGTCTTAGCAAAACAACCATCCATATCAGAGACTGATCAAAGATTTCGGTCCATCTGTAAATGTGTAAGCTTCCTATATCATATGCCCCGCCTAAACTATGTCTATGGTTTGTGACAAATATAATATCCAATACAGAAAGAGACCGGTATGGTGCATGCTGGTGACGTACCTAAAGTCAAGACAAGTTAACACTCAGTCACACCGCACTGCACAGCTCAGCCAGTTTTGTCTTCGAGTTTTTCAACATGACATTGTCGTTTTGATGGTATAGCATAGCACAGCAGGATAACCAAGCATTTAATAGTCACGGGGCGGCATCGGTACAGCTTTTCTTCGAAAGATATAGTACATTACGTGTGATTAATTCTCTGCTCTGCTTTCCTGATCCCCAGGCCAGTCGTGTAACAGAGAATTGATGTTGACTCCCGCACACGACCGCAAAATTATAAGGGGATTTCCCCAAAACAAGTGCGCCCGCGCGCGCGACGCTCAAACACCACGAACGTGATAGGCACTTGGAGTCCTTCGGAGTGGACTGGTACCCCTCCTCAAGAGTTCCACACCAAAGAAGGAAAGGAGGAGGGGAATAGAAAGTGAAAAATCAAAAGAAGCAAAGAATTTAGACATGTGAGAAGAAAAATGAAAGGGATATAAAAAGAAAGGAAGACAAAAAAAAAAAATTCTTTCAATGACTTTTTACACCCTGCCACTAAGTTCTATTTAAGGATTCCATTGATGTTATGAAGTGAATACCATATCAAACCAACTTTTTTATCCATTCTTATAGGATCCTGTATGCCTACTGAGCTAATGTTTCATAATTTTGGGTTAATTTGAAAAAATTTAGTCCATATGTGCTCTAGCCTGGAAAAATCACATATATACAAATATTATTTAATAATCTAAATGGCTGATTTTTTTTATTTCCCCTTCCATAGGTCTTCGTTTCATAAATAAGCCAACCAGCCTCCTTATCACAGCTAGGCTTATGGGTATCATGAGATTCTTTCGACACTCAAGATAGACATACCAGTAGAGGCGACAATCGCAGGGGGGGGGGGGGGTCAACTTACGCTAAAAAACAAAATATGTACAGGAAATGATATAGGCTAGACCAAACTATTTTTCTATCAGTGGCGGATCCAGGGCGAGGGGGGGGGGGGGGGCGGGGGCCTCTCCCCTGGGGAGAAAAACGTGTAAAAACAGGTTAATTTTACCTTTTTTTGGAGATGCACCCCCCCCCCCTGGCGCTAAAGGGGGGGGTGCGATTTTTCAAACATTCGAGGGCCAAAAAAAATTAGTGCTCACTACCCCCCCCCCTATATGTCTAAAAGAAAATCTCTTCTCACTCAGCCGCTACGCTCCCTCGCAAAGTATATACTCTAAACTTTGAATTAAATAAGATATATTAACTGCAGTAGGACACATTTTACATAGGTAGTTCAATAATTCGGGAATTCAAGTTAGAGAACTCTCAATTCCTTGAAAAATATTCAAAAAGGTCGTACCCCCAAAATGGATAATCAGAAAATGTATCCAAATACAAACAACCTCGTATAGGAGTATATCCCCTTCACAAGTCATGATTCAAGGGACTGATAGGCCTAATAATATAAATTTTATATTGCGTTCCTGAGAAAATAAAAATAAAACACACACTCAGCTCCTCATTTGTTTTCGGCTATTACGTATTTTACTATCTTATTTTGTATAGCTAGTAGCGGTTATGGGGGGGGGGGGGGGCTTGTGGGGCTAAAGCTCCAAGCACGTACCCCCCCCCCCCCTATTCTTCATTATAAATTAATAACGGCGAGGTTTATGTAGAAAACGAATGTAAGAACTCCCAAGCCGCCTCCATTTATTCTTCTAAAATTGCGCCCGGCGAGAAGTATATGAATTATATATATTCAAAGAGGAAAATAATACTTCTCTTCCCCCACAACTCACCCGTACAGGCGTACACAATCAAATTTGATATAGGAAGCATATATGATTGAATTCTAATCCCCACCCCTCCACCATCCAACTAGGCGGTATCGGGTCATAAACACTACAGGCATTCGGGAACAATGGAATATGTCATAACTGCTTGCGGTTGCCCGAATATCACCTTTCTATTTTTTTTTATTTTGCCAGCAAGCATATAGAAATTCGAATCTAATTTATGCCTTTGAAAATTTGTCATAAAAAGTATAAATTACAATATGGGATCCATCTCAACGCCAAAGGTTACACCTCAGGCAAACAACCTCCCCCTCCCAACACCCCCTTAAAATGTTGTGCTTGCATTGCTCCCTGCCTCGAAAATTAGTATCAGACAAAATGGATCTGGTGGTGCGTTACAGTTTTAAAAGGGGTCCTGATTTACGGAGCTGCCGCGGATTTGAAGGGGGTAAATGTTTTAAAGAGCAAGAAATTTATACAAAAGTGTTTATTTTGTGTGTGAATTTGCACTCGTAATGCCCAAAAGAGGGTTATATTTAGATAACACTTTTGGTAGCCGTTTTTAGGTAAAAGCGAGTCTGATTTTGTTGGAAATATTTTTTGAAACTCTGCAAATAATTATTTGGGGTCGACCATTTTCGACTCCGCTAAAGATCTTGAATGAGTTACACGCTTTTACTTGAATTTACACCATCACCCAAGTATTTGTAATGTATGTAATACTTATGTTAAATTGTACCTTGTATTTTTTTTTTAATCTGAACGCAAAAATAAAATCAATCAAACAAAATTGTCAGGGGCCGGGGAGAGGTGTAAAGTGAGAAAAATCGTGCAGTACGATTGGTCCAAAAGTTGATTTTGGTCATGTGATTGTTGGCTGGGTACCATCACGTGACCCGGCAGATCTACTTGGGATCATGTGATCAACAGTTGGCATATATTGATCGTTCATGTTTACAAATACTAGGTCTAATACTGTACTGAGCTGAGTGTACTGACTGACCTAAAAGTTACCGACTTGAGAAAAATATGAAGCTAGCATTATTTTTCATTAATCTGATTATTATAAGCAACGTCTGTTCCAAAAAGATCATACAATCAACGAAGCCAAATATTGTTTTCATTCTGATTGATGATCTCGGGTACAATGATGTTGGTTATCACGGCTCCGAGATCTACACACCAAACATCGACAAACTCGCACGGGAAGGTGTCCGCCTGGAGAACTACTACGTTCAGCCTATCTGCACTCCAACCCGGTCGCAACTGTTGAGTGGAAGGTACCAGGTAAATAATGTTGAGCTGAGCATGTAATAAAAATAATGATATTGTAACAAGTCAAAAGCTGATGAAAATACAGCCAGTGATGCATTTATGTATTATTATATTTCTGTAGAATTTTCAATCTGACGACTTAGACAACAAAATTAACCAAGTGTTGAGTCTCAAACTTCAAGGATGCAATCATCTGAAAAATGTATATTACATGATATTACTGAATTAGTGCTTCTTTCTATTATTGATCTTTGAAAATATGAGTTGATTTTTGCATGCTTCCTGTAGTCCAGTTTAGATAATTTTTTACAGTTAATTGATCAAGGTGATGTGAACTTGTAATATAAAGACCAGTCTACACATGTGAATATTCATTAATTTCTCCAGATGCAGAGTCCAGTTAATGATGATATAAATAATTTCAATTTCTCTCAAGCTTTAACATACCACATACTTTCAATCAAATGGGTTTATGTAGACCTATAACTGTATGAACAGAAAAAAAAGTTAAAACTAAATCACTGATAAACATGTATATATACTAATCGAGAGCTACACAAGTCAGTTCTGTTCAGACTGCAAACAAGTTAGTTTGTTTATAGCACATTTTTCTTAGTTTGGTTAAAAAAAATTAAAAATACCAGTATATGCAATTTCAAGTTAGATCTATGCAGAGTTACCGGTAACTGTATTTTCAAAAACAACCATGAAAAACAAAATTGAATTGACAGTTAATTTGATGATTATTTCATTTGTTTGTATACTTTCTTATTGTTCTTATTATTATTAGTGTTGTTTTTGTTATTGTTCTTCTTCTTCTCATTATTATTATTATTATAAGAAGTATTATTGTTAACATTATTGTTACTCTTAAAGGTAATACAAAGTTTTGGTATGGGGTCATGAATTTGGTTCAAATGAACATATTGGAAGCATATACGATCCTACAGTATTCAGTGATCGTTGTCGCGGTCGAAATCGACTCTAAAGTTATGAAATGTAAATAATAAACATTTTATGTTGAATAGCCCCCTCTCAAGGTCAAGATATTAATGAAGGTATAAAACATTGTTTATTGACTCAAATCAACCGATTAGCTATTGTCGTTCGGAAATTATATACCACAACTACAAACTCTGAGATTTTCATGGTCGCAGCTACCATTGTACGGCCGTAGGAGCTATTTGAAATTCATCAAAATTTACCGGGAGCACCGGTAAATCTTTATATTCAATTTTTCTCGAAAGCAGAAGTGTTTCAGGGGCTAAAATTGCTGGTGTTTTTAATACATCCACTGGGGCATCCAAATATATCAAAATTGTAAAGAATTACTATCCACCCATTTTTCAAAATTTCCCAAAACTTTGTAATACCTTTAATTATTATTATTATTATTATTGATATTTCATGTACTACTACTGCAGTTATTATTATTATCAACATTATTTTTCTGTCAGATTCACACAGGCCTTCAGCACAGTTACATCCGTCCTGCCCAGCCTCTTTGTCTCCCGACCAATCTCCCGACGTTTGCTGACAAACTACGTGAGGCCGGCTATGCTACCCATGCTGTCGGCAAGTGGCACCTTGGATTCTACAAGAAAGAGTGCCTACCGACACAGAGGGGATTTGACTCCTATTTTGGTGAGCTGAAGGTTGTACTTGTTTGGTACATGTATGCTCATGCCACTTTAGACTTGGGCATCGTTTCACAAAACTATAATAAATTCAAGCTCTGAAAATATAGCCTGCTGTATTACAATCTCATAAAGAATGTGAGTGCATCAAACATTAAATGGTACTTGTGTAGAACTAGAAGTCTAATATTTGTCATTTGTCCAGAGTCTTGCAGATTTTATTGCAAGAGCAATCTCCCCATACCTGGTGTCCCCTACATGTTGCCAGCCGTAGATGGTGTGATAAAGGAATTTGTAAGACCAGCCCAGTTGGGCTTAAGAATTTAGGATAACACCATCATCAGCTGGCCACAGTTAGGGGAAACCAGATATGACACAATTGATAGCATTCTCCCTGACAACACTTGTTGATTGCTTAATTGTTTCTGTTTATAGGCTATTTGACAGCAAGTGAAGATTATTGGACCCACCATAGGGTTGGTGATTGTTTGATGCACTCTACCAATACAACAGTTGATAGCATAATTCTCCCTGACAACACTTATTGATTGCTTGCTTGTTTCTATCTATAGGCTATTTGACAGGAGGTGAAGACTATTGGACCCACCATAGGGCTGGTGATGGCCTCCTACCTAATAGCAACCACTGGCTGGGAATGGACCTGTGGGATAACGAGAAGGTAGCTTGGGAGTATGTCGGCAACTACTCTGCCTTCGTCTTCACAGAGAAAATCCAGCAAATAGTCGCCCAGCATCCTGTGGAACAGGTAACAGGGAAAAAATTATTTTCAAGCTTGCTTGCATGAAAATAACAATCTTTTATTTGTTTTGCATTGAACTCTATAAAATTTTGGGGGCTCTTTTATGACTTTCGGGGGCTCTTTTTGGCATTTCGGGGGCTAATTTGCCCCGAGCCCCACATGTATTTTTTCCCCGACAAGTAACGATCAAATACAGACGAACCTGTGTATAAAGACCACTCGGTAGAGTCCCAAAGCAAAGTCGTCACAGGCAGGTGGTCGTTATATACCTCTTTCTTTGATACACATACCAATGAGAAACACTTTTCAAGGGAAACAAACAATGTGGCCTTTATAGACAGGTCTAAAGTAGTTTTAGGGACTACCGAAACTTTGTTGCTTTGGCTGCATTTGATTTTCAAATTTTGTTCAAATGTTGTCATTACGTTTTAGCATTTAGCTGAATGGAACATAGAAGCTGTTATGCTTTCTCTCTATATTTGTACAATTCTTGTGGTTAAGTATTTGCAGTCATGAAGTAAATTGTCATTGATTGTCAAATGTCAACTGATGATCTTGTTAAAGTTAAATATTATCTTAAACATTAGCTGGTGAATTGTCCTAACATTAATTGTACCCTTAGTATTTAAGAAAAAAAAAGGCTAGTCCTGTAATTGTTCAAAGACACATTTGTAGGCGATAGCTGTGAACACCACTTAATGATTATATGCATATTTTTTATGACCATAAATAATGAAATATGTATGGATTTTTGTTCTTCTTCAGCCTTTCCTGCTTTACCTGCCGTTCCAGTCAGTGCACTCACCCCTCCAGGTTCCTAGCTCATATGAGGAGAGATACAAGAACATCAAGAATACAAACAGACGCATCTATGCTGGGATGATGACCTGTCTTGACGAAGCCGTCGGAAAGATTGTGCATTCTCTTCAACAGGCAGGAGTATGGGATAACACTGTGCTTATATTCTCAACTGGTAAGCTCTTTAAAGCCCCACTGCACTACTTATAGCTACTTGCGCCCTCTATACAGCAAACAATCCCTAATCGGTGCCTGTTGGTCCCCCATGATCCCCTTTTTCTTATGTTAATTGAGAGTTGATTTGATGACATAACCACCTGTCAGTGACCTTGCAGGGAGGTCTAATCCCCCTGGCCAAACTAGTATAGACAGTCTTTAAGGTGCTGGGCTACGTTTCACGAAACCGTCATAAGTACAGGTTCACCGACATGCCATTGAAACATGTTTATTGTATTTAATGTGTGTTTCAATAGGATGTCGGTCAACTTGTACTCCAGATGGTTTTGTGAAACAATGCCCGGTTTTACATTTTGACATGGTCTTGAGTGTAGTTACATTAATTTGTCTTAATAAAAATGTCTTAGAAAAGATATGTGGTGGTATAGAGGGCCATTCACTTGGCTCTCAGTCCAGTGATCTTTGCTAAAGTGCAGCAATTTGGTTAGATACAGGTGAATGCACAAAGTCAGAAAAAAAATTCTACTATACTTTCTATTTTGTCAGACAATGGAGGTGAGGTGGCAGCAGGGGGTAACAACTGGCCCCTTCGAGGCTGGAAGAGATCCATTTGGGAGGGAGGCATGAGGGGTGTAGGCTTTGTCAACAGCCGCTTACTACCTGCAAGTGTTCAGGGTACAGTCAACAAGCAGCTTATCCATGTAAGTGACTGGTTTCCAACTCTAGTCCAGGGTGTTGCAGGAAGCAGCCTTGATAACATAACGCTTGATGGCTTCAACATGTGGAAAACAATAAGGTACTGTAACACTTTTCCTTTTATTTCTATGATTCTGTTTTTCATGGTAATAACAAAATCATAAGTTTGGAGCCAGAAGGATGTTAATTCTTTATGAAATGATATGAGTTAATGCCCTTCAAGTTCTGGCTCCAAACAGCGACTTATAATGATAATGATAACTTATGTTGGACATGATTTTTCAATTGAGATATCTAATTCTAATAAAATAGACAATGAAATAATATGTGACCTTTACAAGAGGCAGTGTTCTTAGATGAACTACTAGAAGGAGAGTTGTATTGCCTTTGTTATAGGAATCAAAAGTGAAATGTATAATAGCATATCCAAGGGTGACATTTTATTGTTTATTTTAAAAGAGAGATAAAAGGTGATCAAATGTTTCCTATTCAATTACTAATATTCTCTGTTTCAAATGAGCTTAAACTTGAAAGATCCATTGCATTCATCTAAGGAGTTGACTTGCTTTTATAAATCTAGAAGGGGCATTTGAAATGTTCCATATATAGATTTTAGATTGAGTGGACATTTGATACATGCCCTTGGACCTAAGGTTTTGGAAGAGTCTGAGATGTCATCTGTGATAGGGCTCAGAAATAAAGCTAGAGTCTTGTCCTGGTTTTTAAATGAATTAATGCATGAGTGCCTGCATGGTAAGGCATCATTCTTCAACAATCAGGTCCTTTGGATAGGGCCACAAGCCATAGGTCCCCTGGTTGCTTATCTGCAACCATATACCATATACATGTACTAGGAATAGGGTAAACCAGGACTTGACACTGACCTGCACATGGACCCCAAATGCTAAATCCAGACCCCTAGATTTCAAAATATTAGTATGGGGCCCATGCATATATTCTCCACAAATTTAAATCCAGACTCTTTTCTGAAAAATAAAAGTGGAGTCTTGGCTACAGTAGAATTATCATTGCATATGTTGTACATTATGTTGTTTAAACTTTAGTGCAGAGTCTTGGGTAAAGTAAAATTATCAATAATTTTGTCTCCTGTTTTTATCAGTTCCAACACTTCATCTCCACGGCAAGAGCTTCTTCATAACATGGATCCCTGGCCCAACCAACCTAAGGAATTCAATGCTAACATCTCAGCAGCTATCAGGGTGGGGCACTGGAAGCTCCTCACAGGGGATCCTGGTGAGTATCATCATAACTGGTGGAGAACCACCCTTAAATCTAGCTTCCTATCAAATGTCAAAGTGATTTTTAAACATTTTCAAAATTAAGATATTATATATATCAGGCCAAGTAAAGTTGATGCCTAGTTCTCATTCAGATTTTTTTTTGAGAAGGAGGGGTTCCACATTATTTGATTATTTGTCCTGTGCATATAACATCTATTGGGTCAATTTTAACACAACACTGAATTTTCACATTTTCACATTGCAGTTTGACAGGTTCAAAACAAAGCCAAAACATATCATAGACTAGTAATGATATCATTTTTCAAATGTCCTCTGGTTATCATTTATTTTATTTTAGAATAAAAATACCCTATAAAAATTGAGGTGGGCCTCAAAAAGGATGTGGGCAGGGATAATTTTTACTTGGCCTAAGATGTTGGCCTCCCATGAAGAGACCTTACATTTCAAGATTTTTGATTTTATTTATGCAGGATCCAATAATGGACAATGGATTCCCGTGCCAGATTCAGGTATTATTCCTATCCACCCACTCAAGATCACTGGTAAGGACACGTGGCTTTTCAACATCACTGCTGACCCGAACGAGTATCATGACCTTTCGACCTCTCACCCGGAAGTAGTAGAAGAACTGATGGCCAAGCTGAAGAAGTACTATGCTGATTCTGTTCCTGTGCAATATCCGAGTGAGGTAGAGGAAGCTAATCCTGCTTATCATCAGGGTGTATGGGGACCATGGCAATGAGTGAAATAAGAATCGAACATAGTAGCAATGGTATTCATCAGCAACAAGTCACATGGTATATGGAGTTCCATATTACTGAAATATTGATTGCTTTATTTTTTTAATTAATGCTTATGATAAATTGTTTAATAGTTCTTACCAATCAAGGAAATACTACCCCTCTTCCATTGCATTCGTAATGTTAAGAACTAGAGCAAAATAACAGTGATTTCCTTTTGAAATCTTTTTATTCAGATTTTCATATCCCAGCCAATACTTAACACATTCAATTGGTTTTCAACATTTGAACATTATTTTTGATGCTCTTTCGGAAAATGAAGTTCAAATTTAGAAACTTAAAAATAGTTTTTTTAGGACGTCACACTTGACCACTCTATAGAGACTGGGATATTACAGGGCATAGAGGAAGTTTATTGATTTAGTTGTTCATGTGGTAATTAAGATGTATAATTATGGTAATTATGATATATGATTGTGGTAATTAAGATATATAATTGTGGTAATTAAGATATATAATTGTGGTAATATATAATTGTGGTAATTAAGATATATAATTGTGGTAATTATGATATATAATTATGGTAATTAAGATATATAATTATGGTAATTAAGATATATAATTATGGTTAAAGCCACAGAGTAATCTGTTTCCATGTGTGTTAATAGCATCTGAATTCGCTGACACCAGATTTATTTGAATTACCAATTAATGTGTGTACAGGTCTCCCAGGCAGCAAGAATCGTTTACCCTTCAGAATAATTTGCTCAAGCTTGCCTTCACATCTCAAGGATGTGGGAAATTCTATTTTGAGGTGGTGAAGTTTAGGGCACAGTGCATTACATAAGACATGTGGTTCATAAAAGTGAGGCTCGTTGGTTAATTCAGTGGTCTGGTAACCAGGAGATGCCGGGTTTGAAACCAATTTGATGCACTAGTGCCCTTTGGTAAGGCATTAATCCTCATTACCAGGTCACAATCATTATCTTACATTTCTATCACCTGAAGGCTTTCCAAAGACTAGTGGAATTTCTTGATTGGATTGTGCAGACTTGTACACCCATTAATGGTATTTTCACAGATTCTGGTATATTTCCACCAAGTCTGGTGTCAGCGAATTATGACCTTCTACACATGGAAACTGATGACTCTCTCCCTTTAATATTTTTTCTGTACTTAAGATAGTCTCCACAATTGGGTTTTATGGGTCGTAGGTTGGATATTGTATGACATGTTGTTGTCTTTCACTTTATGTACATTGTACACAGTACTATATAGAAATAGGCTTTTATTGCTATTATATGTGTTGATATATTGTCTCTTTTGATATTAAAAATATCTAATTGACAATCTAAGCTGTGGAATCTTTTATTTATCATATTTCCTATTCAGTATTTCATACCTACATACATATTGATATTCATATAATGCCTTTACATCGACATGCTCAAAGCGCTGCATTAGTAAATAAAACAGAATAAATATTTAGCTCTCCTAGCCCATATACAGTAAATTTATTTTTTTAAGCTGTGTAAAGTTATTCAAAAGTTGTGCACCACATGAACCAAGCCTGGTTCGTACAAGACACAACCTCATTCAGATCCCACACAAATCTATCAAGATTTCACTAGGATAGTATCATTCAAGTTAAATCAGCAAATGTAGGTATCCTTCATGATCATTTGTAAGGAAACAAATAATATTTCCTACTTTGCTTTTCATCATTGCAATCTTCAATAAAAGTTTCCCTTATCCTGTGTCTCTTACTTTTCTGAATTTAATTATAACAGTACAATTTTAGAATTATTTTTACAATATGTTGCTTATAAGGTGTATGGTGCATGAAAGACTAACTTGGTTAAATCAATACAGATATTCAACATGTATTATTTATTATTATTATCATTATTACTATTATTATCATCATAATCATCATAATCATCATCATCATCATCAATGCCTCCAATTCTGCTATGGTAGGGCTATACTGTAGATCCACATTAAAACATTAACAGATCAAGCTCGACTGTGATATATTGATGACAGAGGAAATATGAAATGAATGAGATGTAGAGGAATATATGGAAAGCATTAATTTAGATAAAAGTCAAGTTAACAAAACAAATGAAGGAATATAGTTTGCATGAGATAAAATCAAATTAAAAAAAATATGAGATAGAGTCATGTGAAATTTGAGAGAGGTATAACTGAGGGGCATGAATGAGAGTATAGGAGAGAGAGAGAGAAGCAAAAATTATTTTCAGCAAATAAAGTGGTTCCAACAATAGTCTTCTATGCCAAATGATATATTTTCATATCACATAGGTTACAATAAAGGTGGTTAGTCTGACAAAATTGCTAATTTCTCTGTTGCAATTTTCTGTCTTTCTTTTTCTTTACATATTGTATCCATTACTGGTTATTTATGCACACATACCTGTATTATGCATGCTAGAGTAGCAAAACCATTGATGCACTTGTTAAAAAATCATAAGGTTCCATTCAATTAGCAGATACACGTGTGGGCCTATGTAATGATTTCTTTCATATATAAAGAACGAAATCCAATCTGCATTATACCATAAAAAGGAATTGTATTTTTTAAAACTTTTTTTCAGGAAATGATTGTGACATAATTTATTTGTGATAGATTATTATATCTTCTTAGAACTTTATTGATCAATCTAGAGAGTCACATAATCAGACATCGATCTATGTGGATCTGAGTTAAGATATAAACTTTATCTGTCAAGAATAAAATTGTCACAATAATTAATTACCGGTAAGATCATGGATCATTGTAAACAGGATCTCTATGATATCGGGGTATGTCGCCCTCTACGTTGAATAGATGCGTTGCTATCGTCAACTATCATCAAGCAATAAACGACAGTCGAACGAAAGAACTTAAAAGAATGATAATTTCGTCAAATAATAAGGTGTGTATTACTTAAAGTATTAAATCAAAGCGTATTAATTGAGTTTAAGAATATTTTTAAAGATCTAAAGTGTGAAATGGCTAATTTGATGGAAGGTATGATGCGTGTCTGCGTCTTCCAAAATATTGAATCGTGAACGATTAATCTACGGAAACCAAGCCGTGTCTGCCGCCTGCGTGCTGGCGAGGCACTCGCGGAACAACAGTGTATATTTTGGGGCCTCTGTTGTTTAAAGTTTCGGTCGCGGCCGAACTGCTGAAGGTGTTTAGATCTGACAAAAGTGAAAGTCTAGTCACTGGGGCAACTACTAAAACAATCAGACAATATCCAGGGGGAAACTTGCCTTTTAATACATTTTGGCTCAAGACCAGGCGCGTAGCCAGAGTTTGATGTTTGGGGGGGCACATACATGTAATCGATCGAGGTAAAAAAAAGGGGTCTACAAAATTTCAATCGATCCTGGAAATTTTAGGGGGGGCACGTGCCCCCCCGTGCCCCCCCGTGGCTACGCGCCTGCTCAAGACAGTCAAGAGACAAGACTCTAGACCTAGATCATTCTGTGGTGTGTCAATTTTTCGAGGTGTTTAAAAACAAAAAAAATTCATAGTTTTTGCTTTCACTCATTTGTTGTTGTTTTTCTTCTCATGCTTTATGCCTCTTCTTTTTCCAGTTGAGTACCGGCCTTTTAAATAGAGCATTTTCATCCTTTGTGTGGTGCTTTTGTGCCTTGTCCAGTTTTGGTTTGGCTCTATAAAATTAAAAAATCTAACAACGTTATTACTGTAGTTTTATTCGATTTACTTGTGGATCTACATTACATAACATGTTTTAATAGGAAAAGATTGTTGCACTATTGACCACATTGCAGGAATAAATACCAATCCAGAAGAGCAGGATGGAAGCGTCTGTTTCCCAGCAAATGAGTCACCCTGATGAAGGCCAGCATCTTCAGACAGGTTTCACCACGGCAGACGGCACCACACCGTACAGCTACGACCCCGAGTTCCAGTCACCAGCTGTTGGAGGGAATGGCTACCCAGCTAGCTTCCCCCAGTACTCTGCGGAGCCACCTCCATCATCCTTCCAGCAGGACAGCGGCTGGCTGGGAGCTAGTGGACTGGGGTATAACAGCGAGGAAGATGCCTGGTCACAGAGTGATGATATATCTTTGGTTGGGTAGGTGCACCATGTGATTTTGTTAGGATCGGAAGGGATGGGTGTACCGTAATCTAATGCAGGAGTAATGATATAATATTTGCCAAATATCCATGTAGATCTTGTAGGATTCCCCTGATCAATCAATGTTAGTTGTATAATTATTCATATTTATTTATTTTTTTAATTACTATTTGTTTCCCCCTTTTTTATGGAGGGGGGGGGGGGTGTACGATACTGTGTTTTATATCAAGAGAAACCAACAGTTTTGTATGTATTGTCTTGAGCTCTTTTTTGCCAAATCCAGTTACTGTTTATATCTTGTACTCAAAATGGATATGTTGTTAGTTATCAAACCATTTCCTTTTTTCACTGTTGCCTGTTTACTTTGAATACATTTTATTTTTTAACGTGATTTTATTTCGTTGGTAGGGGCTGCATTTAGTAAGTTTTAGAAAATTCAGAGTTGGTCCTTACACATAGTTGTTCAATGTTGTGTGATACATATAGGTGACAATGATAGAGCTCTAATATCTCTCAAGAACACATTACTACCATAGGAATTAAAAGGAAAAAAATGGATAACAGTGGTGTACCAGTATTCTGAAATACTGCAAAAATATGTGACAGATTGTTTATATCTACATCTAACTGCTTATATCCTACAGACCCGAAGAGAGCCTTCTTGATGAAAATGGTACCAAGCAGTCGCCAACTCAGAAGTTCTCAAGAGATGACAAGTTAAGGATGCTAGCCCTCAGACGTCACTTAGATAACCTTGACGGACAGCTCCTAGATCAAGAGAACATAGTCGATACTACCAGGTAAGATATGGATCATGAATGTTAAAGGGAAATCCAAACTTATCCAATAGACCTCATGAGCATGGAGGATATTATATTTGATAAAAAAAGGCCCGTCTTATACAGAGTTGCGATCGATCCAAATCGATCCCAAGTCCTCCAATCAATCGCAAGCTTACATACATACATACATACATATTGATATTTATATAGCGCCTTTACATAAACATGCTCAAAGCGCTTTACATTAGTAAATAAAACAATAATTATTTTGCTCTCCAAGTGCATGCACTGTCAATTTGTTGGATAAAGCTGTGTTAAGTTATTCAGAAAGCTTGTAGTATATATCTTATGTACAAAGTTGTGATTGATATCAAGCACAAAGAAGTTGTGAAAATTATCAACTGTTTATAAGACAGGGCCCTGCATGATTACGATAAATCCTTTTCATTCCATTTAATTTTCACAGGGAGGAACTTCAGAAGTGTCGGACGAGCATTGAAGCGCTGACCTTGGAGCGTGACCACGTGATGATCCAGCTGGACATATGTCAGAGAGAGGGTCACTCGGCCAACATGTACCGACTTGAGAGCAAGTTAGGCAAACTGGCTAAAGAGCTAGAAGCAGAAGGCATGTTAGAAGCACAGATCGTGGATAGATTGGATATAGCAGAGTAAGTGAATGACCCATATTCTGCTTGATATCAAACAGACCATACGGTAAAGGGTCTATTTAAAGGTATAGACCAGTTTTGGAAACGCCCCCTCTCAAAAAATGAAATGGAAGCTCTTATTACCAATCATGTGAAGGATATGCTTTGACTAATAGGTGATGATACAAATTTTGCCGGGAAACCGCCTACTAATTGATATATTTAGTAAATTATCATATCATACCGGCCTGGATAGATATCGAGTAGTCCCATATAAATCTTTCTATGTACAGTGCTTGTAACTTTACCAAGACCAATTCCATTACGTTTCTTTCACAATGCAATCGCATGACCAGAACTGGTCTATACCTTTAAGTATACCGGTAGTTGAGCTAAGCAACCACATAGTCCTTATAGTCTTAATTTCTCTAACAAATTCAAAGGCCTGCATTCTATTGAAATTAAAGCATTGTTAGGCTTAAGCTAAATTGTTCATAATTGGGTTTAGCAAAGAAAGCTAGTCTGAGATCTAAGTGTTCCTTTGTTGAATCTTAGACCCAGGGTAGGGTTTATCTGAATTAGGAGAATACGGACCAAAAAGGCCAACCTCAAATCACGTATTAGTACCTATATTCAAAGAATGTATTTATTAATTGTCAGTAGATATAGGTTCATTTAAAAACTGCAAATTTGAAGGAGTAAACTATACAGTCACTTTAGAACCACTCAAAGAATTTTAACATGCCTCAAGACAGTACTATTGAAGCTGACTGGATCTATGTGATACAAAGTTGTGTTTCATGGTTATATGATATCCACTTAAGAGAGTAACAAGTTAAAATTGTAAAATGATGTCACTCTTTTGCCCCTCCATTATGACCAGGTTACACCTGTCCCAGTTTGATCTTGATCGAGGCAAGTACCTTCTGGAAGAAGAAGAGCTTCAAAAGAAGGAAGCCGATCTGGAATTGGAGAGGAAGGGCAACGCAGCTAGGCGAGCACAGAAGGAAAGCAAGTATCTATCCCAGGCAGAACAGAGGCGTAAGATAAGAGACAGGTAAGTTCATCTGTAATTGAGGTGATTAACCTTTAAAGCCTATCTGCACTAGTTTGGCCAGGATAAGACCTCCCTGCCTGGTCATCAACAGGTGGTTATCTCATCAAATCAGCTCTCAATTAACATAAGAAAAAGGGGATCATGGGGGACCAATGGGTACCGCTTAGGCATTGTTTGCTATATAGAGGGCCCAAGTAGCTACAAGTAGGGTAGTCCTGCTTTAATAGGCTTGTTCAGATATGGCACAGTGAACCACTGCCTTTTTTGAAAGTGTAAAATGAATGGCAACTGTATCATACATACATGCCAACTGTTCAGATTAAAGAGGAACATTCCTCTTTTTGGGAGAAGATAATTATCATTTTAATGCAGGTGTTCCTCTTCCTGTACAAATTTGTCTGTAGTATTGAATAGGAGAGTTAGGATTGTTCCTCATTTTTTTGAAAATAGCATAATTTGTACAGATTTCTGATTTTCAAATGTTGGCATGTATGTATCATACTGTATATCAACACAAAGCAAAATATATGGATGCTTGATATGATGATAGCCAAGATGGTGTTAATAATGTAATTACATAGTGATTTATAGTTCTACTTTAGTTGTGACTCTGTGCTGTGCTAACATTTTTATGAATAATGAAATTGGCAGGAATCATTTAGAGGATTTCTGGGAGCATGACTACATCAAAGAGTGGTTGTATGCTTTTTGTTATGAATAATATTATGTATGAAAGTTGTTCTTGTCATATATTTGAATTTGTAAGCGTTATGGTACTTATTGTTTTTAGGGCTCCTAAATATAATTATTGTTTTTTGTTCATTTTGTGAGGATCATTTTTAACAAGCCATTTGTATGCTTTTCATGATCCTCCCGCTTCAGATATATAATTATGTTTTTTTATTGGCATGGAAATAAATTAAGTGAAATGCTAACCTTACCGTTTTCGATACATTACTTGGCAGGGATCATATAGAGGCCTTGATGGAACATGATCGGAAACACCGTGAGGCATTGAGCGCTGCCAAGAAGAGCCAAGAAGTCGCTTCACAATACCTCAAACAGTCTCTGGCAAAGTAAGTCAATGTGAAATGGATGAACCGTGATGTCCGCATTCATATCTATATCTGAGACCGTTTCGTAAAACATGTTATCGATAACAAATGCAACAAAATTCTATGACAATTTTTGCTCTCAGCCATTGAAATGCCACGATATCAGAAGCTTATAACAGTTATTGTTATTGATAACAAGTTTTATGAAACGGGACCCTGGTGCTCATGCACCCTTACCCCGTCAGCCTGGTTTATTATATGACAGAAGAGGAAATTAAATGTTGCTGTAACAGAATTCATTGATTGCTTGAATACAGTTTATTTTTGTGATGAATAAAGTGATCTAAAGTATTTTGCTCAGCATTACATGTAGAAAAAAGAAAACTACAATTTACATTTTGTGTTGACTTTTTTATCTGTGTTGTTGTGTTGTGAAAGGTATAAGGTCATGGTATTGGGTTCTACAAATTGTAGCTGCATAAAACAATGGTCCACAGTGGCCTCTCTGGTCTGTGTCTAATAAGAAACAGAAATCGTGAGACATGGAAAGCAGTAATTATAGACAGTTTCCTGCCTCATGTATGAATAGACCGTTATGTACACTTTTCACACAGACATCATCAAGAGGAGGCTGATGAATTAAAAAGAGAGAAAGCTCCTGCTGAAAAAGTAAAACGAATGCCAACAAGTAATGTCTAGTGGATAAAGTTCTTAACTGTGCAAAACAATGGCCTAGTTCTCAGCATGTTCACTGATCTGTGTGTTATAAGATACAAAAACATGAAGCATGTTACACTTTATTTAAGCGGTTTAGTACCTAATGTATGAATGGACCATTATGTACACTTTCCATACAGGTATCGTCAGGAGGAGGCTGATGAATTAGTAAAAGAAAAAGCTCATGCCGAAAAAAGAATGGGAACTCTGCTCAAGCTCAAGCAAGATATCAACTCCAACAGGGTAAGTTATTTGTACGTATTCAGAGCTGTAAGGCACGTTCAGATATGACGTGGTAATCCGTCCCAAGAATAAAAATCTCTCTTTTTTTTTTCTTACGTGTAAACGATTGGCAACTGCACACAACAAAGGTACTTCACCTATTCACTTACCTCTGTGTTAAAAGATATAGAAATTTGAAGAGTATAATAATAATAATAATAATAATAGGCATTTCTATAGCGCCGTCTGTCTAGAAATTCTATTCCGAGGTGCATTTATTATTACCCCGGCTTTAGCCTAGCTGCCGTATACAGCGCTCTAGCATTTCAAGGAATTAATTCCTGCCAGGTACCCATTTGCATCACCTGGGTTGAGTGTGGCATTAAAAAAACACTGGTTTACCTCAGCATATCTGAACAAGGTTTGAGTCAAACCTTGCATCCAAGTTGCTGAATTGTCATCTATTTTCTTATGGTATCCATCTCTAATTAAATTTTACCGTTTAAACAATATAAAGTAGTTCAAGAAATTATAACCTGCAGTTTTCAATCAATAGTCAATTTACATTTAAAATGTTTGAAATGGAAAGAAACCATATCAGATTTATGTTAACACTGAATAAACTAAATATGGGTTTTAGGAAAATAGAGATAATAGTGATGTCCTCATTCAATCTGCTTTCCTAGAGGACACACCCGGCCTATGGGTGGAAAATGAGTGCATTATTGAGAGTGAGATATTCCATATTTTCTTCTTAAAGTATAAGAATTCTTTTATAAAATTCCTTTATTCTGTAGACCCTTTGCATCTTGTGCAGAAGGCAGTCTCAAATGTGGCACACAGGTGTGCATTTTCTTTTACAATAATATTGCATTGATTTGTCCAACAGGATAATCTGAAAGCTTTGCAGGCGCGCAATCGTTATGAAGCTAAACTGGATAGGAAAGAATCTGAGCAGGTGAGAGAACAACTGATTGAAGGAGGAGAGAACTCTGCCGAGGTCATGCTAACAAAGAATAGGATTGATGAAAGAGAAAACAATAAAAAGTGAGTAGAAAGTATAATAGTTTAAGTGATGATATAGTTTGGTATGTAATATTTATACAATATTGGATGGCTTTGAGTGTGATACAAGAATACATCGCTTGAGCTATATGACAATATTGAACGAGTCAGAGACAAGTCCAATATTGTAATAGCGAGAGCAATATGTTCTTGTATCACACGAAAACAAAGCCATATAATTTTATTATTAATATCTATATCGGGTTGACTAGCGAGATAACAAAATTTGACTTATACCTCGGTAAATATGGCTTTGTTTTTGTGTGATATTGATAGTTGAATTTCCCGGATGACTGAACAATATTGGTCAGTCATCCGGGTACTGCGCTAAAGATATTGAATTAACCTATTTGTTGTACCACTTGGAAGCCTTATAGAGATAATAATTTACAGATATTGACTGGTATGGTGTGTAATATAACATTCTTTGGACCACCAAGTAGAGTTATATTTTCCCGAAGCTCACAGCGCTGATTGAATATATGATCACGAGGGAAAATATAACTACCTTGCCATCCAGATATGTATATTACGTCCAGTTATTATATCTGTTATATTAGATAGCCCTGATTGCACTTTGTTGTATGGAATCAAGGGTAATTGCCCATCTCATGCTTATTTATTTTTGAGCCATCCAGTCTTCTGCGTCAAGTGCGTGCAGCTAAGACAGTGCAAACAATGGGCACACGCAGATGCAGGCAAGGTTGCCTAGATGCGGTATATGATGCAAAAATTTATTCATTTGACCAGGTCGATAGGTCAATTAAACATCGAAAAATGATCGGGAGTGAAATATGCACCATGATACAAAAATTGACAAAATAATTATTGCCTTCAGCAACTGGATGGTCCTTTTGTAAATCCTGTAGAAATCAGACAATTTAGTAGTCAAAATTTTATTACTCTATATAGCCCTCGGTCTGTAGTCCAAAATGCCAGGGGGTGTTTCATAAAGCTGTGCGTGAAGGTACGCATGGCTTTACGAATGACTTGAATATGAAGAGCTAAATGGGATTCTCATACATTCTCATTCTCGTGTATATCCTTTAAATGGCATAAGCTAAAGTTGAAATATGCAGACGTAGATTAACCTTATCATTATTAACAAAGGATTTTAATGCAAAGTGTATTTTAGGCTACAATTTTATCGAGATTATGGGAAATACAGTCATGCCTTGTTAAAATGTCAAGAAAAACTTTGGGCATCCCATTTGGCTCTTCATATTCAAATCATTTGTAAAGTCATTTGTAACTTTACGCACAGATTTATGAAACAACCCCCAGGTTTCATTCAATGGCAATATCAATCTTCTATTCACCAATAGGAAGTATAAAGCGGACCAACACCAGAAGCAAGCTCAGCTTCTCTCACACATCCTGAACGAAGAGAAACAGATGAGGAAACGGCAGAAGATGTATCCCCACCTCTATGAAGACCCTAAGCGGGAGAAGTCGTTGAGGGTGAAGCCACACAAACGCAAGTCTCCCACCATCCTCAGAGAGATGGCCTATCCCGAGGATAATTATCAGGACGAAGTGGATGATGCTGGAGAAGGAGAAACTGAGGGGGGCAGAGAAGGAGCCATTGTAAGTTTTAAGACATTAATCTACATTTGCCACTCTCCACCCAGGTGTTAATGGGTACCGGTAGGAAGGAATTCCTTGAATGCTGTGAGCGCCGAAATCGGCAGCCTAACAGAGCGGGTAATATTTGGAGCGCCTTGAGCACCTTATGTGGTGGATATGTGCGCTATATAAATATCTGATATTATTATTATCATTGAACCATTCAAAGTTTGATGCAAAACTATACTATTTGAGAAGCACTAAAAAACTAACACTAAATTAACTTAAAATATTTCTCCTTTCACTATTGCACAAAAACAAATTGAAACCCAATTTTTAGCACCGTTTCAGATTAGGGGTTAACAGCTAGGGGTAAAATTTACCATAGTTATGGGGATGACATAACATGTGGATCGGCTCGCCTTTATAGCTGAGGCGATGCGCCATGCTTAATTAATGCAAAGTCACTGTAAATATGCGTACTCCACATTAGATGATTACCTTTATGTTTGATGTCATATCTAATCATTATGTATATAATTCACAACACAATTTGGAAGCTTTGCTATTCAAAGCTGTTCATCCTTCAACCTGTTTATGATAGCGCACAGATTATCTCACCTGATGGTTTACAAAATACATGTGTTTTATGATTAATTAAAATTCCATTCAATAGATATAGAAAAACAAGCTTAATCTCCTCAGTTGAAATGGCACATGAAGGTCAGTGGATCATAAACTGTACATGAGGTAGAAACTAACCATGATGTTGCTAATAATTTGATTCATATTGTCTTGTAATTTGCTGTCTGCTAAGAGGGCAGTGTAATCTACTTTATTTACATCTCCATTTCTTGTAAAAGTGAATTGCCAATTGGTCTACAACCAGTTCGTCTACTACCCAATCAGACTATCAGAATAAATGAGCAGTAGACTTATAGGATATTAGACCAAATGACTACTAGCCTAAATGGTCATTAGACCAAATGATAATTAGACCATGTGAATAGTAGAAGATCTGGTTGTAGCCCAAACAGCAATAAACCGCTTGTGACAATGGAAGTCATATTTCTGTATTGCATGTTTGCATGAACAATAACATTTGAATAAAAGTGGTAAATCATGAATCTTGAATGAATTTATTATTTGCAGACTATCACAGAGAAGATGACCCTAGATTCATCAGATGAAGAGGAAGAGGATTTCTTGTACGGAGGATCTTCTGGTGTTACCATGGCGATGGGTACAGTGGAGGATCCAATCAAGGAGGATCTAGCAAAGCCTGAGTTTGAAGGATTGTGGAATAAACAACACAAGGCATACAAGGTGAGCATCAAATGAATATTCATGAGTTACACTTGGATTTGAATGAATCCTTAGCCAGACATGACATTTCTTTTGCTATTTTTTCTCTCATTCAATCAAATGCAACGATTTTAGTAGCTTATAACAGTTATTGCAACTTGTTATTGATCACAATTTTTATGAAACTGTTTTTTTGTTTTTGTTCATCAATTGATGGAGAAGGGGGATTCATATTATGAAAACCATCAACATTATGTAAAATCAATCATCGATATGCTTTCAGAGTTTTTTCTTCATGTAACCTGAATTTCAACATTCACTATACCTCTATTTCTATTTTGTAGTTAAAGTGATTTGATTTAAAATTGATAGTCCTCTAATTCTGCTTACATATCTTATTATTGTCGTTATCTTTTTATTTCTTATATTCATGTATGTAACTTTTGATTTATGACAGTGATGAATGTTAGTACGGAGAGTAGCCTTGACAGGTCAATGGCCTTTGCTCCTCCCTCACATCCACTTCATCACAGTGTACTCATCTTTTCTTGTCTGTATCACTTGTCTATTTTCTGTTTCATTTTTTATTAAATCGTTTATTACTGCATACTTTGTATTTTTTAAGAGATGTGAAATATATGAATTTGATTTTGAAAAATATTGTATAGATCCCTAAGGATGAAGGGCAGATCTATACCCTGAACTACCCTAGTAAGATGGAGAAAGAGATCATGGCTGCAGCACTGGATAAACATCGCTCAGGCATCGTGAGGAAACAGATTGCTGCTGGCAGGGAATTCAAAGGGTGCGCCTTCGTCAGTAAGCCCGAGATCGTCCACTTCAAGGTACAGTTCAGAGATTGTTGGTAGATCCCTTAATTCAACTAATGTTCTTTTAAATAGGGATTACTCATTATTGTTTAATGTCGATGCTCATTCGTGCTTGAATGGTATGATTCCAATTGCATATCATCTTACAGAGGATGAATTTATGTTTATTGTGATATATGAAAGATGTATTTATATTAGATATTGATATGAAAATCTTAACTAAAATTTTGTTTACTTTATTTTTTGGCTGAGTGTACATGTATTTTATAAGTTTTTGGGAGGAATGCAAAAGGACTGTTTGGTTCTTGGCATAAATATTTTGTGATTGGATATAATAATAAATTAAAAATATTTAGTCCTTGAATAGCGCATATCACATTTGAACGTCTCGATATGCTTCCAAATTTGGAAATTATTACCCAGGCTTTGGCCTAGCTAGCTGCCATTACCGCGCTCTAGCATTTCAAAGAATTAAATCCTGCCCGGTAACCATTTATCTCACTTGGGTTGAGTGTGGCAAATGTAGATTAATGTCTTGCCAAAGGACATTATAGTGCCGCGGCGGGACTCGAACCACAGACATTGTGATCCACAGTCTGTGACATATCCACCCATTAACGACACCCCTATGAAGATGATTCTTGATGATCTTTATGCATTGAAAGAATGGTTTCTAATATATCCTTTTAAATATTCTGTATTTTTTGCCTGTTTGTTCCAGGATTTTGATGTTGGTAAATCGTACAAGAAGCGTATCATCCTGACCAATATCTCCTACAGTGTTAACTTCTTGAAGTATGTCGATCTATCAGAGCACCTTAAAGACTTCATTGATGTCCAGTAAGTCTTCTCTCATCATCAATTAAATTTTATTTATTATTTAATGGTTTATTTATTCACTCTCTCTCGCAGGCTAGGCTGCATTGTACACATATGTTTGTTTATTAGAACACAAAAAACCCATATAACAAGACAAAACAATACTATACCAACATATTATAAGGAATAAAAGTATGATACACAATTTGGCATGGTAAAAACATGATTAAGAGTACATTGGACTAATTTCCATCCGAAGGGAAAGAAAATAGAAAAAGCAAAAAAATAGAAGTAAGTACAGGAAAGACGGATGAAGAGAAGAGAGAGATTAAATGCCGAGGGCTTTAAAAAGGATGAATACCAAGTTTGATCCTGTAATTAGACTGACAATATGAAATAGAAACTGTATGATACATTTATTAATGGTTATGTGTATATTGTTCATAAGATTAGAAGATTTTCTATATTGTCTGCAAATTTCATATTATCATTATCATTTTTCTTGATTTCTAGATTTGATCCACCCGGTCAGATGTCAGCTGGTATGAGCTGTGAAATGCTTGTCACATACAAACCAATGGTAAGATACACCTCAGTCTGTATTAATTCCACTAAACTGATAATGCTAGCGGTAGTAAAGCTCTCAACTCACGCTCTCAGGTTTAGAGCAGCTGCAGTAGACGGGTTAGAAATGACAACACGATTTAGCATAACATTGGCTTCGTAATCCCACCACCACCACTGAGGGTATCCAAGCCAGGATTCAGCCACAATTTTTTCAGTCTGAATTTGTCGTTGCATTTTAGTTGTTTGGAAACCATTTATTGCTGATACCAAATCTTCTGCAAGCATCAATCATATCTTGTTTATTTTTTCAAAACAACATCTTTTATGCATTGTGCATCTCTTAGAAGAGTATCTGTGCCTATTGAAGTCATATTTTTGTTCAGATAATGCGATATAAACATGTAAATGAATGGCAACTGAGCCTGCAACACAATTCCTAAGTGTATTCTCTGAGCTCTGTGTTATAAGATGCAGATATAAGAAGAGTAATTACACTTTATGTCATCATAAAAAAACTGCTGTAATTTTGCTATGTCATATCTGAACAAGGCTTTATACTGGAGAGAATTTTGCAAATTTTGTATCTTATTGTTTCAGATTAATGAAGACCTTGATGGAGAGGTTCAGTTCTTAGCCCAGACTGGTCCTTTCTGTGTTCCTGTCAAGTGCTGTACCAAGAAATGTGATGTAAGTCAACTTTCGTTCTTCATTCTTTCCTTAAATCTCTCTTCTAATGTTCAATGCTTTGCAGCAATTGTAGGGTACCATATCCACAGTAAAAGAAGCCATGTCTTTCAATGAAGTGAGTGTTGACAGTAATTCTTCTTCATTTCTGTCACAATTGGTTGCATATTTAAGTCTTAGGTATCTAGATTTACTCCTAAGGAAATATGTGTAATATGAATTGAAGCTACTCTCCAGGGCCCCGTCTTTTAAATAGTTGTGATCGATCCAAATCAATCGCAAGTCCTCCTATTTGTAAGCCTGGACCCAGATGTTTGTTTTTTAAAACTCAAACTGATATTGTAATCACAAATAAGTATTAAAAAGTATGAATATGAGTATGAATATATATATTAGATGATCACACAATAAACATGGCATGAAATCATATTGATAATGGATGCTGGTTGAAGAAAAAAAATGTTCCAAAAGGGGCAGTGCATACTTGCAATTCACTTCATACCCCAGCCAAGAATTGCATTTTAGTGCTACGATCCGTCTTGTGATCTCATTACTTGTCTGTGGATTTTGTTTGTGATGGTAGCTTTCCAGCGATGTTGACTCCGTGAACTTTGGCACCCAAGTGGTAGGAGAGACGCTGAAGAAGACGATCACTCTCTTCAATAAGGGAGCTAAGGGATGTAACTATGAGTTCATCAAGACAACAGGTCAGTCCATTGGAATTCTCTCAAGAAAATGTCTGCATGCTATTGTTATGCAATATTTTTAAGGTGTAGTAGAGAGAAAACGTTAATAAAGGCAGTCTTAAATCATGAGATTATAGATCTATAAATGTATTGGCTACGTGCAGCACAATGAATCAGTAGCCCCCAAGCATAGGTTTTAAAGTATTAAAAGGGTATGTATAATCAACAAAAAAATGATATGAAGAGTTATCACTATATGGGTGACTGCAGTGTCTTTTGTTTGTAACTCATCTTCTTTCTTGAGGGCTCAATATTTGTTCCACCATATTTGTATTATTATGTATCCATTGAGGGTAGTCATGCTATCAAGCTTTGCTTACTACCCTCCTGTTTGATGTTTTTGATTGGTTACTTTATTCAGCATTATATTCTTTTGAAATGTGTACAATTTGCAACGTTTTGATTGTAATATATTTGTAAAAATGCAAAAGAAAAAGAAAATCAAACAGAAATAAATAAATCATATTGAATCAAATAAAATTATGGATGCTTTTAAACAAAAGTACATGTATGATGTCAAATACTCATGTACATTACATATGCAGTCAAACCTGTCTATTAAGGCCACCCAAGGGAAACAGAAAAGGTGGTCACTGTAGGCAGGTGGACTTTCTAGACAAGTTCTAAAACACACGTTTCTCTCTTGAGGAAGAAAAAATACATGGCCACTATAGACAGGTGGTCTTTATAGAGAGTTGGCCACTAAGCCAGGTTTGACTGTACATGCATGCTGCTTAAATAGGGTTCATAAAATGTATGTAGATTTATATCATCACGTTTTATATTGTCACGTTCATTTGAAGGTCTGAAAGCAAGGACAGTAACATCAGCAGGCACATCACTTGGAAGACTGGTAAGAAATCAGGATTTTACCCAATTTTTGTTTTGACATTCTCAATTCAGCTGTATGTGAATAAAAGAGATTGAGTGGAAATTGGCAAAACGTTATGCCATACAGTAATAATATGTTTTGTGGTGCACATTAAAGATTTTCACTGACACCTGGATATTTATTCACAGTGAATGCTATACCTAATATGTTGGCTGTATGCATGGTACCACTCATATGCATGGAAATGAAGCTGTTTCACCATTTTCAAGGGAAACAAAAAATGTGGCTTTTGAAGACAAGTGGTCTTTTTATACAAGTGGTCGCTAAAGCAGATTTGAATATACTACTTATTATGCAGTAAATGGGTTGTTAGGACCAGCAAAATATAAAAAATAATATTGCCTTTATATTGATGCTTGCTTGTTTTCAGACCACGGCTGAAGAGACATTAGTGGAGATAGAAGTGACTGAACCGACACCAAAGAAAGGAAAGAAAGGCAAAGGCAAAAAGAAGGATGGTATGTTATTATTATTATTATGAAGTACACTCTTTTCATGAAATGATTGTGGCAATATGATTTATTCTTGATAGATAAAGTTTATATATGTTCTTAGAACTTTATTGATCAACCAGAAGAGTCTTACATAATGATCAATTAAGTTCTGAGAAGATATATACCCCAATTCGCAAAGGAGGATTAAATTTAAACCATGGTGTAAACCCTCATTTACATTACCCATGGTTTAAAATTGGCACAAATTAAGCGTACCTTGCCTTGTGCGCATCTAATATTGAACCTCTGACTGTGTCATGCTTATTTTGGTCTAATTTGAGACCATGGGTTATGTAAATGAAAATTTGAACCATGCAGATTTAAACCTCATTTGTGAATTGGGCCATTAACTCTACCTATCAAGAATAAACATTGTTGTGACAATCATTTCATGTAAAGCGGTTAGGAAAAATTATTCCAACTTTATGGGCAATGGTGTATTAGGCATCACCTGTGCCTGGGAGGTGAAAAGCAAACTGAATCACTATGACCCTCTGGTCTCTCCTCCCGGTATAACTGATTGGGGGTGTGCAGGTGGACCACTACACCGGGGTTACCCCCTACTATTTGCAGTGGGTTCTTAATTTGCAAAGGTGTTGACTCTCCTCGACACAGGGCCTCCATTTAAGGTCCTATCCAAGGAACGGAGAGCTTTCCAGTATTAAAAACTCCTTCCATAAAAAAGGATATTCTCGCGAGTATCAAAATCAATTTGTATATTGCTTATATATGTAGGAAATTCAATATATAAATAATTGATAATTGAAAAGACACCACTTGATAAAATTTGTATTTCAGCCTTCGTCCTTACACAATATTGCAAAGATAATATGTGCATTTGTTGTAATATAAATATATTTCATTTTTTCCTCTGTTTCTTTTCTTCTTTTTGTCTCCATCATTTGCCTTATAAGATGAGAAAGCCAAAGCAAGAGCTAAATCTAAATCAGAGACGCCAGTAGGTGATGCAGTCCCAAGTACATCACCTAGGAAAGAAGACAAGAAAGATGAGGAAGAGAAGAGAGAGGAAGGAGAAGGAGGAGAGATGTTAGATATTGTTAATGAGGATGACGAAGCACTCCAAGACAGACATGCATTGTCAGGCCGTAGCAAGAAATCTGTCGTCATTGCTAGAGAGTATGACGGTGAGCATGTTTTGTGAATACGTCGTAATTTGGGGTTCAAACCATCTGTGCCTTACTAAATGTGCTAGTCCTATAATGAACGTCTTGTCTAGCTACTTGATATTTGTATTCTTTATTTTCCTTCTTCAGGATGATGATAATGTGAATATTTTCATTTTTGTATGCTTAAAGATAAAGATGCTGTTTCCTTTAGTGATTATAATAGAGATGAGGATAAGGAAGATGATGACGATGATGATGATTATGATTATGATGATAGTAGTAATGATAACGATGGTGGTGATGGTTTTGATGAGGATGATGATGATGATGATGACTATGATGATGACGATGATGATTATGATAACGATGATGGTGATGATGAAGATGATGGTGGTGGTAATGAAGATGATGATAATGAAAACAATAATGGCAATGATGATAAATAGAATACTTGATATCTGTATTCCCATTGTAAATATTGCTTTCCTCTAAATGATCATGCTTCTTCTCTAGATGATGATGATGATGATTATGATGATGATGATGATGATTATGATGATGATGATGAGGATGATGATGGTGGTGGTGATGATGATGGTGATGATGAAGATGAGAAAATTTGTTGCCAATAATCATAGTACAATATTTCTTTTATTCCAGACGATGATGTTATCTCTTTAGATGATGATGACGACCTGGGACCGGGAGGACTAGATGGGATGAGGGTTGGTGAGGTGTGTGGGGGCGAGATTGGACCCTTCTCCTCCATCAAGTTGGAAATCATCTTTGCTCCACACACCCCAGGCAAAGTGGATGTGGATTTTGAGTTAAGATTTACAGATGAAGACTCAGAGACAGTGAGTAATCTTCTTCCCCCCCCCCCCTCATATTGTTTTTTTGTTCTTGAATTCCGCCCCCCCCCTCCCCTCCCTCCCCCTCCCTCCCCCTCCCTCCCCCCTCCCCCTCCCCCTCCACTTTCATTGTTATTTTCACATCAGTTGTATACATTCATTTTCATGACCTTTGTATTTTCATCCATTAAATACATTTAGGTTGGAGATACATATTTTTAAAATTATATTTGGTCTATTGCTCATTTAGTCTAATTTACAGTCTGTATAATTCCCATTTCGTCTACTTCCCATATGGTCTAATAATCATTTAATCATAAACAATAAGCATCATCAAATGATTATTAGACCTTAAGGATGGTCGACAAAATGGGCATTTAGACAAACTGGGATTTAGTCTAAATCGTTATTAGACTAAATGAACAATAGACCAAATGGGTTGTAGACTAATTGGAGATTAGACTATAAAGAATTTAGACCAAATGATAAAGAGGACAAAATTATGTTTAGACCATGTGGTTAGTAGACGGGCTGGGTGTAGAGTAGACCACATGGGAATAGACCAATTGGGTAGTAGATGAACTGGTTGTAGACCAAATGGCAATTCACCTCATTACATTGAATCATATATTTCTTGTCATACATTAGATCCACATCAAAGGCTATGCCACAGCGATAGATGTCCCTGTATGGGTGGAGAGACAAACAATAGACCTCAAGATCTGCATGTTTGATCGTCTTTACCAAGACGCCATCGTGGTGAACAACCGAGCCACCACGGCTCTGCGTCTGCTGTTCGAGGTGCAGAAAGAGCTGAGGAACTACATGGAGATCCTGCCCAAGACGGCTTACATCCAGGCACAGTCGCAGTTCTCAGCTCAGCTCAAGTTTATACCCAGGTGAAACTTTGAGAGTTTAATTGTCTTTGGCTGCTGGAGAAATAACTGATGGAAAAAGGAGAGAAAAATGTGATATCTTTAAGATGACATATGTACTGTACATGTCGAGGGGTCATAGTGACACAAAGACATAACTCCATTTTGGACATTTTGAGAAAAAGTGGTTAACAGAATGAGATCCACTTGGGCCTTAAGGAGTTATAAGTCTATGTTTCACTAGCCATTGACTGCAACGGGGTGTTGGGTGTAGTTAAGTCTTTGTGTTTCCTGGAAAGTCCACATTTTTTTGAACATTTTGATATCAAATACTCATTTTGGCAAATTATGGAGTCTTTGTGTCACTGAACCATCGATGTGTAGGCTGTAGTTGTGAAATTAATGTTGGAAATCAGGACTGAATAAGTTGTGCAAAACCAATAAACATACCGGTACATTTTTCATCAAAAGAAACTCCACAATCTCATCCAAATGTTGATACAATGTCTTTTACTCTGCTTCATTATCATTATTTACCACCATTGTGGGGAGGAAAGGGGAGGCATCATCCTTTAATAGCATCACCCTTCGTACCCCTCACTCCAAAACCTTCAGGGACCCAGTTCACAAAGCCTTTTTGCAATGACAAATGACAAAAATCAGTGACAAATCTGCTGATAACCAATCAGAAGCAAGGATTTCAGTAGCTTATAACAAAGACTGTCATTTGTCACTGATGACAAGTTTTGTGAAACAGGGCCCTAGCTGGTCTGCTTGATGTATTCATGTAGCAAGTTTGTTTTCATGGCCTCTTTGATTGTTTGCTTTAACAGACATGGTCTTATCAAGGATGCTGCACAGTTCTTTGATGAGGAGACTGGTGTCCTTGAAGTCCCTACGATCATCAAGGTCGCTGATCAGGTGGGTAACCTCTTGTTAAATTGCTCTATTGTAATCTAGGAAGAAAGTATTATCAGACATCTACATCTATTCTTTCAATTCAATTCAATTCGCTTTAATTAGATTCCATCTGCGTATTAAACATTTGTAAAAATACATCTAATTAAAAACATTCAATTTCATACATAAATACATTTCAATGATATAAACATAATACATATATATAAATAATGACAGAATTAAATTGAACACCTCTGTATGAAAGAACTACACTGGTTTTTGTCATGCAAGACAGCTTCCCTGATAAGATATGATTTAGTAAACATAAATGGTGGGAAACAAATGTAAAGTATATCGAACAAAATATTTGAGGAAATAGCATTTGGTACCCACAAACCAAGAGTAGAGCATGAAAGAACAGGAAAGCTCTGGAGGAAGGTCAGGAAAGAAGAAAGAACTCAAAGTAAAAAGGAGAAGAGAGGAGAAAGGAATCTTGATACACACATTTAGTGAGATTCCGGTATAATACAAAAACTGTTAAAGTTTTCGCTTAAAACTGTTATGTTCTTGTATTTAATACTGCAGATGATGTACACATTCTTATCATTTTACTTTAACTCGTATACAAACTAGTCTGAAACTAGGGGTGGTATTCTGAAAATGATATTTTATCTTTAATGTAAAAAATATCCAAGGTAGGAAAAAAAATTGTTATAGTGTTCCTTGTTCTACCATTGCTTATAGACTCGTCCAGTTCCATTCACCATCAGTGCAGTAGTGACCAAGTCTGAATTTGAGTTTGATGTGGAATCCATCGACTTTGGTTACTGTACCATCTACGAATCTGTCATCGCCACCGTCAAGCTCACCAACACTTCTGTTCTGTCACAGAAATTCGGATTTGTCAATTTACCAGATGTAAGTGTAGTAATATAGATTTTGCCTTATTACAACTTCCTGCACTGATACAGAATTTCATGATATATGGTCTTTCCACGCTGACTCCATTAGCTTTAGAACAATGTTCATATACCCCAATTTACAAGCATCAACAGGCAGAATCCATATAATATTTCAGTCATTGTTGATTGAACTTCCATTTTACTTCTTTCTTCAAGTGTACATATGATATATATAGAGTTCTTTGTTTTGATATGTGCTACATGTACATGTACATGTAGGATAAAAGAATATATATACATATTGTTGCTGTTACATTATTTACAGTATGATTAATTTTATGAATATTTATATGTATGTAAATGCCTTTGTGTGGATATCCAACTTTGATTTGCCACTTTAGTTGCAAAATATTATATGAAAGAAGTAAAGGAAACATTTAGTTTAGGACTAGGTATTTAAAAATCAATGCCTTACTCCAAGGAACTAGCATCTGAACTCGGTTTTGATGTCTGGGTATTGTAAATTTGAAATGCTGCTTCTGTTACTACTTTGCCGAGTCTTGATCCACTTTGTAAGCAAGCAGTTTTCATCATTCAGAGTAATTTCTACATACCGGTAGTATGAATTTTAAATACATGTCCATGCACCTGTGTAAATGTTTGTCTTGATGTAGTTCATCGATGTGCAGCCCAACGAGGGCTTTGGAACTCTGCTACCGTTTGAGACGATTGAACTGGACATCATCTTCAGTGCTCGGAAGGCCAAGGAATACAGCTTTGACTTGACATGCAAGTCGGGCATTAACAGGTATGTGGAGAGGATCTTTTTGGGGGTTGTTAGGAGCGGGGCAGCTTTTAAAGTGTATATTGTGGTGATAAACTTGGTGATTACATTAGAAAAAGAGTACTCATATTTCTAACTGAGGTATATTGGTGAAGTGCCTGACTTCACTCAATGAGCAAAATCTATGATGTCCTCTGTGTCATTTTCTATGAATGTTAGTGTAAAACATATAAATATAAATTTTAAAAGTGAGATAATTATGATTTGCAGGCCGATATTATTGATAATGAGCATTTATTACATTTGCGTGAATTTGTGTTTGAGGATCTGTTTGTGATACATGGATACATCCATCTAAGTACAGTGTATCACAGACTTGCTTTGGCAGTATTGTTTGAAAGTTAGTTTATTTAACCTGACTGCTAAAGAAAGCATGTGTATGCTTGTAATTAAACAACAAGGACAGGAGACTGATGGCTTTAAGTCCTCTCCGAGGTACTTGGTTATGAGGATTAATGTCTTACTAAAGGGCACTAGCGCAACAACTTGGTTCTAACCCCAGGAACATCCCGAGACAACTGCTCTACCACTGAGCCATTGAGCCTCTCATTGTCTCTTCCTGCAGTGCTTAATATCTATGTATCCTTTTCAATACTATTACAAATCAATCTTTCTTGCAGAGACTTTAAGATCTCCTGCAAAGGTGTCGGAGTACACCCTCCTCTCGACCTCTCCCACTCCGTGGTCCACTTTGCCGCTACCGCTCTAGAGGATAACTCCATCACGTCTCTCTACATCCTGAACACCCACACCAACGCCAATGAGTTCACCCATCCTGTACCTCGCATTGGTAAGGGGGAGATAGCCCCTGTAGGACCCACATCCTTTGAGTTCGTCGTACCCAAAGGAGCCCCTATTGCCATTGCTCCCTCTGTGGGCACCCTCCAGCCTGGAAAGGTAAGTTATATGCAATGAAAAATATGTAAAGAAAGAATAATAAAGATTATCATATCAAATATTTAGGAGCGCTAAAGACAAGTACCATAGCGCTTTCAAATACAAATATATGAAAAGAGGACAAAAATTTACAGTCTCACAGGAAGTAGATCACATAGATCACTGGGGAAAAAGTAAGTTTTGAAGGATCTTTTGAAGGTGGCAAGACTAGGCAAGGGTTAAGTGGAAATGGTCTTTACAGACGGATATTCTTAGTTGCTATTAAAGCTAGGTATATATTTACATACCAGCCAACCTTTCTCGGCAAGTATTAGGCATCTCTCAAGGCAAAATTATTTTGTATACTTTTTACACAGAATATTTCAGAAAAAGAGAGGAATTAAAGGTTCAAAACAATTACTTGAGAGATTCCTAATATTTGCTGTGAAAGGTTGGAAAGTACAGTAATTTAGTCATTTTACACTGAATACATTTACATGCTTCATAGAACTTTGGTGAAATACAATTACATTGAATCAATCCATCCATGATACCACCACCGTGTTGATCCATACAGAAAACCTGCATCTCTGTGAAGTTCAGTCCGAACCTAGGAGATGATGAGATCAGAGAAGAAGCTGTGAGGTTGGTTGCAAGGAATCAAGAAGCTAAAGCTAGAAAGGAGTTTGAAGAAGCTCAGCTAGCTGCCAAGAGGAATGCTGCTGAAGCCGCTGAGGTAAGGCTTGTACTCCATGTGGTTGGAGTTTCACTCTTTTTGTGCTTCTGGTAGAACGAGCAGGCTATTTTTGTGACATGGTGCAAACATAAAGTCTCCCTTTTTATGCATTGGAATGATAGTAAATACATATTACAGGGAAACCATGCAGTACGTTGAAAGAAATTTTTTTTTTTCAGAATAGGTAAAAAATGAGTTCTCAACAAATGGTACAAGTTTGTAGTCGAACATAGTACATATTACCAAGATTTGTTTTTAGTTTAAACCTTTTATGTATAACCATATAACTGAAATGATTATATCTATTTGCTTTTGTAATATACATATAACAATCTTTCAGCCTTGAATATTTTATTTCTGATGTACATGTATATCATAACTGTAAAGTTTATTATTTTCATTTTTTTACAACTTGCCATTTCTTGTATTACTGGTACTGGTAATATCTTAATCATTTGTTATAAGCTTTAGTATAAGTAGGTAAGTACAGTAAAATTTTATTAAAGTAAATCAGTGATTGTAATGACTTATTACTTTTACAATTTCAATCTGTATTTTAAATATTTTAATCTTGTGTCTTCTCTCTTTTGATATTTTATATCTACGTAATGAACAAAATAAGGATTTTTAAACGTTTTTCTCAAGCATTGTATTCTTAAGTAGATATAAATTTGTCACTTGATCTTGAAGGTAATTTTCAATTGTACAATGTACTGTGAAATGATATTGAGAAACTGTTGCGAACATGCACGATTCAGCCATTGGCTGCAAAGCATTGTCAAATAAAACCATTATTGAATTAAATTGAATTGAAAATGTATAATCCAGTCTGTATTGAGAGTTTGCATACCGGTAGTATAAAGTTGCTTTGATATGAAAAATGTATATTAGTTGCTTTGTAACCATGGTTACCAGTATATACTTTATGCACTGCACTGCTCACTGGCTTGCATGAACACGTTGTATCTTCTGATTCACCTTCTCTACTTCTCTCAATGCTTTGCTCACTTGCCTGTATGCTGCTTTGATCATAGGAGGAGGAAAAGGTAAGAGCACTTCTCTGCTTCAATGTAGTCCAATAGCAGTATAGTAACCACATATTGCTTTTTTTTTTTCTTCAAATTTTCTTATATATTACATTTTTGATATTTTAGAATAATATCTTGCAAAGGTGTGAGATGTTTGTATTTGTTCAAAAGTTTACTTTCTGTATTATCACTCCATTTATGTAAATATTGCTTTATATGCATCATTCTCTTTTTGTTGGCGACACAATGAAAGTAAAAACTTAAATATGACTTTTCCAATTTTGTGCATGGTACCTTTTTGTACATTAAATAGCACCCTAAGGGTGAATTTGTCCTTTACAATGACATCTGCATTAGGTACCAGTAGTCCATATGTATATCCTTGATTCATGCTGTGTGGTGGAGTACAATAATGAAGAAAAACAGTGTTTTTCTTATGCTCTCAGGTACCAGGCTCGATTATCATTCATGCTATTTCCGGGTTCCTTGTTGTATCCTTCTGCTATTGTATAAAAACTGTTTATACCTATTGTTATGTGTTCATTATTGGATAATATACATTTCAAATTATTTCAAGTTCAAGTACGCACAATTTATGCTACCAAAATCCTGTTCTCAAGTTCATTGGGTACAATCTTATCTAAACTAATCATCATGTACATCAGCATATTTTGATTCTATTGTTTGCATTTGTAGAAGGGTAAGAAGCCTGCCAAGAAACCTGCCCAGAAGTCTGCAGGAAAGAACAAGCAAGGCAAGGGTAGCGCTGGTCTCACAAGACCGAAGTCAGTAGCCCCACCCAAGGCAGAGGAACTAGACCCGATGTGAGTATCCTAACCAGAGAATACTTGTCCAACCACTAAGACTAAAGGCTCATTCACATATGCCTCGTTAAACCATATAGTGGTTTTTTGTGTACACTTAGGGAATGGCAAGTGGAGATGGAAAAAGTAGCCATATGTAACAAGGGTCCTATGTGTACTCGCTTATCTGTGTATTATAAGATACAACAATGTGAAGTTTTTTATGCTTATTTAGAATGCATCCCTGGTAAACTTCTTGCGGTTCACTGCAGTGTATGTGAACAAGCCCTTAAGGATATATAGGATTTTTCTTTTGATTCAGGACCAAGAGTAGTATCTTATCAATTCTTTAAAATCATGCAGTGCCATTTCATATTGACCCTATCATGTAGTTATATCTTGTACTTCACATTTGCGTCATAAAAAGTAACTTTTACGCTCTGGAAGTACAGTATATGACAAGATTGCGGTATTGACAATTGCTCTATAGATATAGATGGAGCTAATTGCACAAGTTACAGAATATGGAATTGCCTGCAAATAGATTTGGTTGACCCACTGTTTCGATACATTTATTTTAGAATACGTATACGGACATTTGAATAAAAAAAATAAGATGGGTAGGGATACTTTGGTAAAGAAATATATACATTTCATTGTCATTCATTGATCAAATAATTAAATGTTATGCTACATGTGTTTGTACATGCAGGTCTGATGATTATGCAGCAGGAAAGGCCTCGTTGTTGAGACAGTTTGAAGGTGATTTCAGCAGCTATTCTATCCCATGCTATGTGGCTTCAGGAGAGCCTGGGGATCCAGGGACACTACCCTATGAGTGAGTCGATCATATTTATAGTCAATTCTTGAGTAAATCAGTTAAAGCCCCACTGTACTACTTATAGCTACTTGCACCCTCTATATAGCAAACAATGCCTAATCGGTGCCTGTTGGTCCCCCATGATCCCCTTTTTCTTATGTTAAATGAAAGTTGATTTGATGAGATAACCACCTGTCAGTGACCTTGCAGGGAGGTCTAATCCCCCCTGGCCAAACTAGTGCAGACAGGCTTTACAATCAGTGCGATGACTCAGTGGTCAGAGGAGGCGCAATGGCTCAGTTGTAGAGCAGTGGTCTTGTAACGTAACCAGGAGGTCCTGGGTTCAAAATGAAGTTGATGCGCTTTTGCCCTTTGGTAAGGCAATAATCCTCATTACCAAGTCCCTCTGAGAGGACTTAAAGCCATCAGTCCCTCAGTCGTTTACTTACAAGCATATGCATGCTTTCTTTATAGCAGTCAGGTAAAACAGTCATACATGTAGATCATCAAATCATACATTATGAGTGAGTCAGTAAAATTTGTATCTTCGCGTTAGGGAATGTAACCTGTATTTAAAGACATTCACTGTGTCAATCGTAAAATTTTCATGAGCAGGTCAGTCAAACTTCTTCCAGTCCATGAGTGAGTCACTCAAACTCCCATGTACTTGTGAGTTAGGATACATTATATAACAGTCCATGTGGTGGTTTGTCAAACTTTAATGAGTTGGTCAGTCTTACTTTATTAAACTATCATTCAGTCAATCAAAATGAGATCTGTCTCCGCCAAACTGCTCTTCTATGATCAATTTGTTCATTTGTTCATATTTACATTAAAATACAAGAAAACATGAAATAAGGTTATAATTGTATATTGACATAATATAGTAGTTCAATAATTACTAAAAAAGAAGAACATAACTTCATGCATTAAAAAGATAATCTTAAACAGTAATAATTTTATGTTTGACCTCCGTATAAGTCAAGCACATTTTGTATTTATCAATGCCTGAGGTGGTAATTTGGGTGACTGGTATGGCCCCTCAAAGCACCAGTCAGACTTTTTTTGCCAGTAACTAATTACAATTTTTCACCTTTTCTTGACCCTTTATCTTTCAGTGTCCATAACACATTGTTCTTGGAGGTCCATGGCCCCACTGTACGTCCATCCCTTGTGGTCATCTCAAACCATGGCCGTAGTGCAGTGGACTTCAGCGAAGTGTCCGTTGGTCAGAGGGTCATCAAGTCTATCACAATTCAGAATGTGTCTCCAGAGGCTGTAGATGTATCCTTAAATCACTGTCTTAATTTCTTTTCTTCTTTTTTTTCTTTTTTTCTCTTTCTTGTTTAAATAATTGGTATTGAATTGATGACTTTATACAAAAATCATTACAGAAAGTGGATCAATTTTGAGAGTCTTCATCGATCTTCAATGGTTGCGCAAGAAGTTATGGATGAGAATAGACTGGTAAACTTCCTTTGACTCTACAAATAAATACACTGTGAAAGGCATATCCTGTTACAATATCCGTGTTTTAGAATTGACAAGAGGGGAGCGGTATGTGACACAAACATTTATTGGGTTTTGTTTTTTTTAGGGGGGGGGGTAGGATTCGGGTTAGATGGGAAAAAACAGGACTCAATGGTGGCCTAGTTACTGTACATGGTGGTCCTGTTGTTGGACCAGATCTTTTAGTCAAATCAGGTCCAGGGCCAAATCTGGAACTAAGTCTAGATCTTGGACTAGAAAGCCTTACTTTAGCTCCAGAATCTGGGACTTGGTAGCATTTCCCTGACAAGCACAAGCTCATTTGCCTTTTGTGTCCCTCTGCAACTCGAGAGTAATGTTTAAGACTGCTCTCATTGTTATGTCCAGAGACACTCATGATATGCCTTCCTTCAAAACCGTGCCCATCTAATGTAGTGATATATACTGTAGCTCTAAGGCAGTAGTTCATTTAGATTCTAGACTTGTTAGCTGCAATGATAATGGTCTTCATTTTGGTTCCCAAAGCGATTTTTCCAACAACCTAATGATCATACCACGGCACACTTTGTTATTCTTGTTCTACTGACCTGTCTCCAGCATTGACATCTTCAGGAGCTCTTGATTTTGGCCGTTGCCAAAAATAGGAAAAGTCAGGGTTCAAATGTGAAATGAAATCACAGAACGACTTCACGGGGAAATTTTCATCCTTTGTTTCATACATGTGACCACACTGGCTCCTTGTGTCATCACCTTTGTCTGTGATTTTTAGTAAACTTGTTCTTTGCAAGATAAAAGAACCTCCTGTTACTGGAATCTGTAGCAATGCTAAAATCATCTACCTCAGACTTGTAGTAACATCAAATTTATAAATACAGTGTTCTGGAGACCTTTAGGAGTAGCACGGTCCAACGCTCCCAAAGACACAATTTTGCCAAAGTCTTCCTTGCTTATAGGCTCCTTGTGTGTTGTTGCACCCTTTCCCTCAGTTTTGAGCTTATGAAGGACTGCAATACTGAACATGGCATTTGCACGTTTAAACTCACCACTGTTTACGATGTCCATTGACTTTTTTTTTAAGAAAGTGTTTCTGGAGGCCATAGCGTATCGTGATCATGGATCTTTTTGCTTAAATTTGGCCATTTCCTCGCTGCACCTCGGCGTAGTATAATCGAAGGCACTCGCATAATTTTTGCTCGGAGTATTCCTTCTCCACTTTTTTTAAGTCAAGAGACTTTGCCCTGCAGTAGCAGCTGAATATTATCCATCGCTTGTTTTAATTAGCACATTTTTAGTAGATTTGGAATCCTTGTCGTCCAAAAGCTGATCTAGTTCCTCATTGCTCATGAACATGAAATGGGGCTCCATTTTGAAGTGTTGTTGTGGAACTGCGATGCAAAAAAAAAGAGTAGAACTTAATTCGCGGTCAAATTTATTTCCAATTAAGACTCTCTATCGTTGATCGATCACAGACAATTGTCTACCTTAGTCCCATGTAAATAATCTATGTAATTGGCAACATACAGTCCTCAAGAGGGCTACTTGCATTGATTTAAAATATATTCATCTGACCAGCTCGTCAATAAAACCATCAAAGGTGATCGGCCAGGAAATTATAAGGATTTCGATCCTCGCAATCGATATCACGTGACGCGTTGTGGACCAATCAGTATTTGTCTTTTAAAGTTATCTAATATTTTTAACTAATTTGCCCCTCAAAGCAGTCGATATATGAACATTGATTCCTTGACTACATGATATCAGCTCACATCATCTGTCCTGGATACCGGAGGACCATTCTTGATGTTGAATGCTCTGCGTAGTCTAGCTCCAGATGAAACACATACCATACTCGTTGCCTTTGAACCTATGAAAGCGAATTTGGTGAGTCCAATTAGAAACAGTTTAATCATAATTAGAATAATGTAGCATTTTACTGGAACAGTTATTGTTAAAGGAAATTTCTTTATGACTACATGTAGGTTATTGGAATGGAGAAGTAGATGTAAACAGAGGCACATGATGTATCTGTTGCTTATACTCTCAAAACTGGTAAATCATAATTCTTTTCAGTCTTCTTTGAATGGTTTAGCATTTCGACAACCCAGGATTGATAATTTCCTCTAGAATATGAGCCTGCACTTAAAAGCTTTTAGTTTGAGATACATATCCACTTTTCATGTGTGAATTTGAAGTTTAATAACCTAAAGACTATTTTTAGAATGATTTTGGTTATAGTAGTCTCCTGTTCAATGGGGGCACCCAACATTTTCAGTAGAATTAACCCATTGGCTATGATAACTGGGTGGGTCATGTATTAATACTATGGGAATGAGAGAATTCAGTAGCCAGTGGGTTAAGCTTTGTGTACCATACATTTCCTGACAAAACACTGGGTCTACTAGTTATTTCCAAATATACTATACATGTACAATTGCCTAGAGAAATTGACCCACAAAATTTGGGTGCCCTTGTAACCAACAAACTCATTCTTATGTTGCCAATTTCTGTTTCACTGAAGAAAACTTTTTAAATTCTTAACTTTCTTGTTTTTTTAACAGGATTTTACTCAAACTTTTACTACTCTGCTTCTCTCATTTACCTGCTTTTATTAAAACCAACTTAACATCAGGTCAGACTTCCCTTTGAGTATAATAGATTTCTTTTATGGTTCTATCAAGTGCTAGATGTGTTATCATTCTTTCTCATTCTCTTGATGATTTGTTTGTTTGTAGTTCTATGAAGTGCTGGATGTCAAGTCGGGAGAACACACTCTTGGTATCACCCTGAAAGGTCATGGTCTGCTGCCAGAGGTCAAGCTCTCTCTGGCCGATGACCAGCTGGACATGGGATATGTCATAGCAGGAGAGGAAGCAGAGGAGACGTTCAAGGTATGTTGCTTGTTGACGATCAGCCATGCACAAAGAAGACGAAAGACTTGATGCATGGCTGATCGTCAACGAAACGGAGTTAAGTCTTTTGTCGACCCTGTTTGTTGCTACGGCAGGCAGCACAAACAAATTTGTTTAATCAAATTATGGAAATGCAAGCATTACTTTAACCCTATTTAGCCCAGGGGGGGGGGGCTTTAGAAGCCCCCCCCCTCGACATTTTTCGCAATAAATTTTTTAACGTAAGAAAATCTTGCACTGAAATTGTGTGACTTTTTTCTTTCGAGTCTTGCGCATCTTTTGAAAGAAATTTTTCGAAAATCGGACCTACCATTACAAAGTCGTGTGTCCTTTTGTCTTTGCATGTCAGCCCGAAAATCGCTCATTTTTGTGATTTGTGTACAAAACATATAGAAATCTCATTTTTCTAATAAAGAGATAAAACATTGGTAATTTGGTCTTGTTTATAGTTTAGGTGTTTATTTTGGGGTCAAAATAGTTGAATTAAAGTTGGAAATTAAATAAAACAACAAAAACAATAAAATAAATAAGTTAAAAAAACAAAGAAATACATAAGAAATTATCAAAACAATAGATAACATAAGGATTAACCCTGGTTTTTCTTTTTTTTGTGTTGTATTATTATTCCAAATGGTCTTAACAAATATATGTAGTGAGAAAGAATGCTTAAATATGAATAATGTCTGATTTATGAGCAAAATTGTGAATTTGATGACCTTATTTGCATAAATTACCATAAATATGCAAATGAGTGAATTTTTCAAAAAAATTGAAATTACCATAGTATTCTATACACTTCACTTGACATGTATGCAAATTTTAGTGGCGATCGGTCATTTCACGGCCGAGATCATAGGGGGGGGGGCCTTAGAAGCCCCCTCCCCCCCCCCCCCCCCCCCCCCCCCTGGGCTATGCAATTTCAAAATAGCCCGGGCTAAATAGGGTTAAACCAACAGAACTTTGTTATTCCTGGCTCATTTTCTTTGATTGAGGTGTCATATGAAAGGGCAGAAAGTGAACTTTCTAGAAAGTGATTTTCTCTTTGAAATTCAGATACCTCCCCAAAACTGACTTTTTAGTTTCCTCACTTCAAATTGTTTTTAATCACTCATGCGTGAAATATGCATCATATGAGTTGCATCAAATGAAAGAGGAGGATCTAAGCTTTACAAATATGTGTCATTTATTAATTATAATTGTGATTAAGTTAATGATAAAACATTGATAATTCTCGGTTTAGTTTTGTCTGGGATGCACTGTAGAGAGCAATTTCCTGATCCCCAGCACATCAGGGCCCTCTTTCATAAAACTTGTTATCAATAACAGGTTACAACAACTGTTTTAAGCTACTGATATTGTGGCATTCGATTGGCTGAGAGAAAATTTGTCACAGAAGTTTAGCATTTGTTTTTGATAACAAGTTTTATGAAATGGGGTCCAGTACCCCGTCTTACAAAGAGTTGATATGATTCGCAACTTATTTTGCGATTGATACCAATCGCAACTATGTACATAAGAGAATAGGAGACTTGGGATTTATTATAGGACTTGCAATTGATTTGGATCTATCGCAACTCTTTTTAAGACGGGCCCAGTGTGTGTGTGTATTTGGTTTTTAAGTCTGGGGACTGACCTTTAAATGTCACCATCAGAAAGAAGTGACTCAGTTTTGAACCTGCATCCTCGGCTGAATCAGTTTGTAACTTCCATTGTTAGCTGGATTACAGGCGCATGCCACAACGCCTAGCTGTGTAGTATTAATGAGTTTTCATTCTTTATTTTCACCAGCTGGAGAACATGTCATCGTTTGCCATTGACTACCGCATCCTGCTGGATAGTCTGTCCTATCACAAGCAGCTAAGCCAGGGTGAGCTTCCTGCATTCATCAAGAGAGACACTACGAACATGGTAGGACCGGCTAACTACGATGGAAGGAGTGTCTTTGATTGTACTCCCTCTGATGGCACACTTCAGCCAGGTAGGTGACCTCCAGACAAGTCCTCAACTCTTTACCAAATTGTGTCACCTGTACAGTTTACTAGTACTATTGCCAATGTCCTTTAGCAAAGCATTCATTTGCCACCACATAACCAGGAGAGAAATTGGGACCTGGTAGGATGATGAAAGCCCTTGTGTTAGTAATTGCTGTATGCCCCTACAGTGACCATATGGTAGGAATACTCCCCAGGGAGTGAAGATGGTGGAAATTGTGCGTGAATATCCGAAACCCGGGTTATAATATCTGTAAAGTGCCTAAAGACATTATTTTGTATAAAGCACTATATGAATCCAGATCATTATCATTATTATTCTTATTATTATATACTCCAAACAATGTGTCCGTCCGTTTTTTGATACAATGTTAGTAACCTACTGAATAAAAAATTCACAAAATTCTACATTCATCCCAGTTAACCTCTTCATTTTAGGCTCTCTAATTGCCATACATTTAACAGACAAAACTCAGAATAACTCAAGCAACAGCTTAAAGTCCTCTCTCTCTCTCTCTCTCTCTCTCTTTCACTCTCTCTCTCTCTCTCTCTCTCTCTCTCTCTCAATTACTCTGTCTCTCTTTCTTACATTGTCACTTTACATTTTACTATGTATATTCTTTATATTCCTTACAAGTTACTGGCCAATACAGCTCATAAATAGTATAACTCTCAAGTCAACTCACTTTAAATTTTCATTATTCAGGCAAGAAGGTTGAGATTCGAGTGCTGTTTCGACCTGACCATGCGAGCAACCTCTACTCTGATATGGCTCGTGTACAGCTCTTTGGGAAGCAGGAGGCGCATGCTATCCGGCTAAAGGGCGTGGCTAAGACCAAGGTCATGTTTATGGAGGGTCACGATGAGATCTACCCCACTGTGGAATCCCTCACTCTCCTTCCTGCACCTGAAGAAGAAGAGGGTAAGCTACACGTACCCTTGTTACGTTTAGATTTATTTTTGTGATTCATTTTCAATGTTTACTTGCGAAGAAGAATAACATCCCTTGAAACCCATTAAAAAAATGAATGCATATGACATGTAATTTCCAACGATGTCGTTATTAAAACCACCTGTCTATAAAGACTATGGTTTGTTTTTATTGCTTGAAATACATACTAGTGTTAATTGTAAATAATGACTGTCTGTCTGTCTATAAAGACCACTTATCTTATTTATACTTTGACTTTAGCTCTTTGGTACATGCGTACGTATCATCTGGACCCCGTCTTATAAAGAGTTGCGATTGATCCAATCAATCATAAGTTCTCTTATGCACATAATTTGAATTGATATCAATCGCAAATAAGTTGCGATTTGTATCAAATCTTTACAAGACGTAGTTCTGGTAACTGTTCTATATGCCAGTTCATCTACATCCAAAGAAAAATATGTTTAATACTATAAACAAAGTGACTGTAATATTGCTATTATTATTCTGCACATTATTTTGTTTTAGTGGTAGACCCTAAGGCTGTGCCTCCTGCAATCCTGACCTTACTGAGTTTCAAGGCTTTGAGTGTAGAGAAGGAGATCAACCCATCCACCAGACAGCTACACATTGGGTGTATCAGGAGTACAGCAGCTAGTCAGAAGAAGGTGGGTACCTGCTCTCTTTCAAGTTTTAAGTTTTATTTGTTCCACATTTTACAAAAAATATAGACATATTTTTATGAAATAAAAATTATACAATACATGTAGTATATATGAGCACGTCTTAATGATTCTCAATTTATATAATAGATTAAGAAGAATGTGGGGAATCTATTAAAAAGCAGTGCTTGTATATGATAGGTTCCTGGTAAAATAAACATTGTATATGTAAAAACCATAGCAGTGCATGGAGAAAGACGTAATTTAGAGGGGAGAATTTAAAACAAAATGGAATAAGGAAATTTGTATACAAAATTATGCATTAAGCACCAATGTGCTCTGACCTTTTTGTTTTGTATACATTAACAGGCAAAGTAAGCTCCTCTACAGGATTCTTTTCATATGATATGTGTTATGTCTAGTTAATTACCTGTTGACAACTGAATTACCACACTGTCTTTGGTTTGAAGATAGCAATCTCCTGCTTCCTTTTGACAATGGTTAACTTTCAATATGACTTGGAGCTTTAGACTGTTTAAAAAACTGTCAGTGTATACGTGAAGAATGTGTAGGCAGTGACTTTTCTCAATTCAATTTAGCTCCTGGTCTGTTACTTTCAACTTTAGACAAGGCATTATATTATTTTTTTTTAACTTGCCTGTCTTGACTACGTTGATAAAACTTTGATATTCCCTGTATTGCTCTGTGGGCTATTTAAAACTGAGAATTAATATCTAGGATGAAAATGACCAAAGCTTATGTTCAGAGGAACTGTGACATGTGGATGTTGATACTTATTACTGCTAGTAGTGGTGGTAAACCTTTGACTTTAAGTCAGAACTTTATAGTAGTATAGGGATGGATCCTTAATTAACAGTGCCCCCACTGGCTAGCTGTGACAGGCCAATTTTTCAGCTCACTGGTTGACATCTTTCAACTAGTGCAATGCAGCATAACGCTAACAACTGGTAGAAATGACCAAAGTTGTCCCAACTGAGTAAACTGATTCAATGGGATTGATTGTTCTGATATCAGCGACATTTTTATATTGAATTTGGATGTCAAAACTTACCCATCAACTGATTCTGACTGAAAATTGTCATCTTTTAAAACCCAAAAATGATCAAAATCAAAATCGTTGTTGATAGGGGTCAATTTGATCACTTGTTCTAGCATCAGGGCACATTTTTACATAGAATAGTCCCTTCAAATCTCCTTTTCTGATAATAACGTGTGGAAAAATTACCCCTGACCAAAATTGACCGTGATTGTCAGTTTTGACCGAAAAGTAACCAAAATTACAAAAAGATTTGGAGTATGGTCAAGTTTCTACCCTTGATAAGCTATTCACCACAAAACCCTCCCCACAAAACTTTTGATTAAATGCCCTTATATCCTATGGTATATAACAATGCCACAACTGTCAACTTTTCCCCAAAATGCATTGTATAACATTGACTACTAAAACTCTGGTGATGCTAGATGGCGCTGTGGATTTTGAATCCACCGTATTGCCTTACCAAAGGTAACTAGCACTCACTTCATCATATCTAGAACCTCACAGTTTCAAGACCATTGCTCTATCCATGAGCCACCATGCCTCCTCTATGGAAAATGAATTATAGTGATTATCATGTTGCTATTGACTGTCTAAATTTATTTTATTTTCAAGAATGGAGAATTCTTCTTTGACAACGCAGCAGCTCTAAGCATACAAGGTTTCCAGGTAGAGCCTCAGAGAGGCATGGTAGATGCAGGGAGCACAAAGCCTGTTACATTCACATGGAATCCACCCAAAGGGCATGACGTAAGTATATTAAATTCACTTCACCATAATTATAATCAAAGATAAAATTAATAAGTTGGTCTTCGATATGAGGATATAAAGACACACAAGATAGCCACATCAGTATTAAAGACCGTAACCACTACTGGGCCAGAAGGGATTAGACCACACAGAGAGCCATCGAGGTCACTGTGACAGGTGGCTATCTCATTAACTCAGCTCTCATTTAACATAAGAAAAAGAGGATCATGGGGGACCAACAGGCACCGATTGGGGAAGTTTTCTATATAGAGGGAGCAAGTAGCTACAAGTATGGCAGTGTGCCTTTAAAGGGAGAGGGTTGTCAGTTTCCATTTGTATTAGGTCATAATTCGCTGACACCAGACTTGGTGAAAATACAACTAATAGGTGTAAAAGTCTGCACGCAGCAAACCCGAAGTCCTATTTAAAAATATAAAAAAAATATCCCCTAGTCTCTCAGAGAGTCTTTGGGGGAATGGGAGGAAAATGCAATTACATGAGGCCTGTTGGTCATAAACTGAAGGCTAATCCTAGTGATTGACATCTCATGTTGTTATTATTATCATCATCATCGTCATCATCATTATCATCAGCATCATCGTCGTCATGGTCATCATCATCATCATCATCACTTTATCATCATCATCATCACATTATCATCATCATCATCATCATCATCATCATGACCACCACCACTATCATTCTACGTCAACCCTCGCTTCTTTATGATTTCTTTTTTTAATGATGTCATATTTCTTTTCTCTCAACAGCCTAATCTCCCAATTGAAAGCAGCATCATACTCAACCTCAAAGGGGATGTCCTGGAAAGATACAACATTCTCCTAAGAGCTTTGGTGGTTTCAGAGTGATCCCATTCTTCAGTTAACAAGAAAATGAGTGATTCAAGTTGGGTGTTAGTGTTAGTGTTTAGAGCAATCAAGAGCTCTTAAATCAAGCTAAAAATTTGCTGATGAAATTAAGATACCGATATCAATATCGATAGCTTAACACTGACACCGAAATGGAAATCAACATTTGCTTAATCCCTAGGGGCTAGTGTTCCTAAATAGGACATTTGTAAGTAAAATATTAACACCGGCCACAAAGGTCGGTTCAGCAGACAACAATTTTGCAAAATCGATAACACTATCTACCGGAAGTTGACGATATTCAAAGGGTCAAAGCCTAAACACCCGCTGAATTCCATTTTGGTGTTTAGGGCTGGTGTTAGTATTTATTAAGCACTAACACCAGCCCGTAACACCCAACTTGAAATCACTCAATGATATCATTGGAAAGAGAATAGGGCTCAGCTCTTGAAAGGCTAAAGAATCTGGGCCCTTTTTTGTATAAAACTTGTTATCAATAACAAGTTGCAACAAATAATAATCTACTGAAATCGTCGCATTTGATTGGCCGAGAGCAAATTTGTTATAAAAGTGTGACACGTGTAATTGATAACAAGTTTTATGAAACAAGGCTCTGTTGTATTAGGCTGCCCTTCACCTATGCTGTGTGGAAGATCCCATCCCTTTCAAGCGAAAAATATAACAGATTTTAAAGTGGAAGATTTTTAAAAAAAATTAAATCTACTTCTTTGTTATTAAAATGAACACTTGGAAAATTCAAACCAACAACATTTTCTTTAAACTCTCCATTATAATACATATTCTGTGTGATTTTCTAACTGCAAGATACTTGGTACTTTGCCAGTCCAGACTATTGGTGCCGAAAAGGTCCTTATTTGCCATATGGTTTCCTAGTTAAACTTTCCCTGATCCAACAAATCAAATGTGCAACTTAAAGAAAATGCATTTTCAGAGGCTACTTTTACACAAACCATGGGATATGGTTTTAAAATTGCACGGTCGTCCAGGTACTCGTGCTCGTAGCGCAAGATACACAGATTTTTCTGGTCCGCAAAAAAAACACCTCCGTTCATGTGACTTACTATATGACCCGTTTTACTTTTATCCAATCTTTCACTGTACAGATGAAGGATTTGTATCGCTGGTAGATTTTACCAAGGTTTTAATTGTAATTTAATTTCAATGGCATTATATACTTTTCAAGGATAACAATAGACTTGCCATTTTGTCGCTAAAAAAGTATGTTTTATTGCAGTTTTCTAGCCGTTTGACATGGTAGGTTATGTGCACCTCTTATTTATAACACATACATGTTTAAGTCCATCTACATAGAAAAGGGCAACAAAACATTGAATTTCTTGCATTTTGGCAATTTAATTTACTAGTATGTATTTCAAATTTATAGATGATTTTATTCTATTCAAGATTATTGAAATGTACATAATTAGGTGTATGAAAACCCGTCCATTGTATTTATGTGTATATTGAATATCCACTATATGTAAAATATAAATTATTTCTTACAAGATCGTCCGAGTGTACTTATAGCATAGGGTTGCTGTCAAATGTGAGCTTGAAAACACAATGTTTGACTATAGACGATTCTATGCTATTCAAGATTATTGAAATATACATAATTTAGTGTATGCAAACCCGTCCATTGTACTTATATTTATATCGAATATCCATTATATGTAAAATATTGAAAATGCTACATGTATATAGATTTTATGCGAGTGGCTTATGTATATTTGTTAAATAAATTTGATTGAAATTATTTCTCACACGAAAGTTCGTCTTAGTGAATTTATTATGTATGGTTGCTGTCAAATGTGAACTTGAAAACAAATTGTTTGCTTGAGATAGCTTACGGTTGTTTGCCTGAGAAAGTGTTGCAAAATTTAAAGGCTCATTCAAACATGATGTTGCAAGACTGAGGCAATTTTTGTTAGGACGTAAAGTGTTATACGCTTCAGGTTTCTGTATCTTATAACACAGAGCTCAGTGAATACATGCAAGTCCTCCAGGTGCCATTAATTTACACGTTAAAAATCGTGGCAGTTTAGCGCACCATGTCTGAACAAGCCTTCATTGATAGATGTATGAACTCAAGTAAACTCTAAACTTCACTCACTTGTAAACTTCACAATATTAACATCTGAAAACCATCAATATTTATTGTTTAAAATTCTCTGATAAAACCAAACAGTATTGTCGGAAATACATTTACATGTAAATGATAACTAAAAGCAGCATGACAGTACATAAAAACATTTGTACAGACAATGAAATGATTCCTGTGCAAATTACATTCAAATTCATGTATTGCATACATATCAATCATATATGGCTAAGGTAAGCATATCGTCTCCACCCCTTTAAAGAGCCTAGTCTTTCATAAGGCTAAAGGACAACTACTCTACCAGAAAGCAGAACAATCAGGGAAGAGGCCTGGTGAAAGTTCAGACAAAAACTAAGAAATGTAGTTTTATTTTTAAAGTTCTAATCACTATACCTTATGGGCACTTCAAATTGGCTGAATAGTAACGTAGTGATGGACAACTTGCCCATTAGTTTAAACGCACAAAAGAACAAAAATGTTAATTTTCTCAAATATACAACTCGGAAGTGTCCTTTCTTTTTCTTTTTTAAGGACCTATCAATAAATATGCTATCCACAACATATTTTTAGTCATGCCCTAATAAAGGGAGAAAGCGCGTGGGGATAAAAATAAAAGTCAGATATTATATTTTTGTGCACCTCAATGGGAGAATTGTCCATGTCTATGTCTCGATCCATTGGCCAAACTGCCAATTTGACATTGCATAGATTTATACATGAATTTAAAACAACCATTATTATCAATCTGATGATTTATTTCAAACTCCATTCTATTGCTCATATTTTTCTGCTTTCCTACAAATGAAGTTTGGATTATTGCCGTTTCCAAGTACCTGTAAGGTCTGTATATGCTAGTACAGTGTGTGGACATGTAATACAGTACGTACCAGAAATGAATAATCTTTTACAAGTCTGGCAGTATAAATCGTGCTGCTCTCAAAGGGCATACAAAACTTGCACAAACTAATACTATCATGGTAGACTGTGTATATGAATTAGCACATATTAGCACATCAACTGATTGTTATTCACTTCAAAATTTTAGTTGAAATTCACAATCATATACATGTACTTTGGCAATGAAAACTCACAGTACAATACACAATGTTATACTCTTTGGTTATACAGAAATAAGACATATATCTACCACAGAGTCATCACGCCTCCAAGATGAAAGACACCATAAATTTCACACTTGTAGATGGTCATAAGTTCGTCTTTCGTTAATACTGCCATTACAACTTTGGCAGGTCCACGGTTCTACACAGGAACAATTCTGATACAAATTATGATACATGTATTTGCATATAAGAATATCCATATTTTATGGATTAATTATTTTAACCTGTTATCTGCATGAATCTTTATACGCAAGAAATGGTCAATTTTTTTTCAAACGAACTATAAACAAAATTAAGTCAGTGGCCTAGAATCTTCATATTTATTTACATTCTCTTTACCTTTCAATAAATTAGTGTTAACCTTCATATTATTTACAAATCAATTAAACTCCATATTTTGTTATTTTATTAAATGTATAACACTCTATACTTTTTACACTTTATAAACAATGAATTGCAAACATTTACAGAAAGTCAGACACATATCCTTCATCTTCTCTAGTTCAAAGATATAAAGGAAAAGTACTGGATACAATTTGATATAGATGTAGTATTCTGTTTTGTACTGTTCATTAATGCTCAACGGGTAAAATAAACCCCTCAATAAGCGAGTTCGTAATTAGGATTTGCGCATGGGCAGATAAAGGTCATCCGGCAGTGATTATTCTAAAATACACACATGGGACGTATCCATAGTGTAAAAGATCTGTAGATATTTTAGTGTCATGCGTTCCGAAGCTATTTACGAACTGGCTTATTAAAGTTTGATCAATTATACATTGTATCTATCTTGTTAAGGGATAATTATCGCTTTGTTGCAGTACACCAGATTAAGGGGCAGGGTGAAAATTAAAAGTTGCAAAATTCACTGGTAATGATACTAAACATAGTGATGATTACGCCATAACAAGAGAAATATAATCAATCAAACTTGAGTTTAAAAACGTTTTTTGATAATTTTATATACATGTACCTTTTCTATCATACGACATAAATCACCTCAATTCAATGGCACAATTTATTACTACACAGAGTCATATCAAAGATTGTATAAACTCTTTGGCCCGAATTCACAAAGGAAATTTGTTGACAGGTTTATGTGCGTCATATGACACGTTTTGACGCGTTTCGATGCGTTTCAAACCAAGGTTCAGACAAACCTTGGTCTGAAACGCATCGAAACGCGTCATATGACACACATAAACCTAGGTTTGTCGACAAACCTCCTTTGTGAATTTGGGCCTTTGAGTACATCATTATACATGGAAAAGAGATTAATTTTTACAATGTTATACACTTTAACATTTAAGACTCGTTCACCACTGCGTTTTTTTAAAAAGATGACATAAAGTGTAATGCGTTTCACGTTTCTGTATCTTATAACACAGAGCTCAATGAATATGCACAAGTCTTTTTTTGTTGTGCGCAGTTGGCATTCACTTACACATTAAAAGAACCGCAGCATTTTATTTTGCTGCGGTTTGTCGCACCATATATGAACAAGCCTTTACTGTGAGATATGAAACGCAACAATAATTCAAACTCATTGTCATATAGGCACATCATCATTATAAAGTAATTGCTCTGATAATATCTTTGGTTTCATCCGAGTATCGAGGTAGAATACGTGAGAAGCCAATACACACTGGGTCATAGCTGGGTCAGACTTTGTAGTAGGTTCTGGACCCTGTTACATAAAACTTGATATCAATAACAAGTTACAAGCTACTGTTATAAGCTACTATTATAAGCTACGATTATAAGCTACTGTTATAAGCTACTGTTACAAGCTACTGTTATAAGCTACTGTTATAAGCTACTGTTATAAGCTACTGTTATAAGCTACTGAAATCAGGCATCTGATTGGCTGAGAGCAAACTTGATATCA